TAGGTTCATCTGAGACACCCTTACTCAAAAGATAAAGTGAAAGACACCTTATGATCACTTGTAGCCTCTTCTACAATTCAGGGCCAGTCTGGGCTTCACAGGACTGTCTCAAGTAAAAAAGCAAATAAACAAAACAGGCAAAAGAGAGAGAGACTGAGCCTTGGTACACACATGTGGAGTCAGGGAACGACTTAGTGTTAGCATATTCTTTTCCACCATGTAGATCCCTGAGCTTGAACTCAGGCTGTCAGACTTGGGGATGAGATTCTTTACCCCTGAGCCATCTCAATGATTATGGCTTTTTGTTTGCTGTTAAGTTAAAAGATTGGTTCCAGTGCCATAGAAAAAATTTATTGTGTGCACTTGAAGATGTGAATGATCAAATAACTGGTTATCTTTTCATTGAACTACAGAGATGAGGGTGATAAGGAACAAAACTGGGATACTTAGGAATTAAGATAAATTCTCTTGATTAATAATAATAATATCACTGAGACCCTTTTAAATCTAACCTATTTCATAGTTATATTTAAGTTGTGGATTTTATTTAAAATACCTGTTTGAAAATATTTTTGTTGTATTTAAGCATCAGAAACAGGTAACCTGGTATGGCTTAATCCCAGCACTCAGAGGTAGAAGCAAACAGATCTTTGAGTTTGAGGCCAGCCTTGTCTCCATAGTAAATTCCAGTTCAGCCACAGCTACATAATGAATTCTGTCTCAGAAGAGGAGGGAGGGAGGGAGGGAGGGAGGGAGGGAGGGAGGGAGGGAGGGAGGGAGGGAGGGAGGGAGAGAGAGAGAGAGAGAGAGAGAGAGAGAGAGAGAGAGAGAGAGAGAGAGAGGGGAGAGAGAGAGAGAGAGAGAGAGAGAGAGAGAGAGAGAGAGAGAGAGAGAGAGAGAGAGAGAGAGAAGAATGAGAGAGGAAAAATGAAAGTAGATATGGGCACAGGGTTACTTTGTAAGCCTTGGAAGCCGGTTGTGTAACGAGGTCACAAAAGGAATGAGGAATGCAGGGTTCTAGCACATGCCTTCAGCAAATCACATCCCCAAGACTTAATTTCCTCACCTCTAAAACGTTAAGCTACAATCAGATATTTTCACAATACACTTTTTTTAAATGACAATTTTATGAATGAAACTGAATATCCTTTGTGTAAACTAAGCTGACCTACCTAATGGGCACTAGAAGCCCTAACTTTATATAGATCTTCCCAGAGTTGTTCTTGGGAGGTTGACGGTTGGTTTTGTGTGTCTGTGTCAGCGTGTGTGAGGTAGATACGTGTTCATGCATGCACATATGTGAGTACGGGTGTGTGCATGTGATATCAGAGGACAGTGGGTGTTGGTCTTCACTCTCCACTTTGACTTTCTTCCCCTAAAAATTACTATGGAGATTAAGAAGAAAGACAACAACTTAGGTCAGTTCTTTCCTTCATCATGTGGTGCTAGAGATAAATGTAGGTCATCAGCCTTGGTAGAAAGTACCTTTAACTGCTGAGCCGCCTCACGGGCCCTTGTGTGTGTTTTAATTGTATAAGAATTAATAATTTGGGTTGGAGAGATGGAGCAAGGACCTGAGTTCAGTTCCCAGCACCCACATCAAGTGGCTTACAACTACCTTAAACTCCAGCTCTGGGGATTTAATTCCCTATTGTGCACTCTGGGCACCAGTGTGCACATAATATACATTCACACATAACTAAATAATAAATTAAATCTTGGACTCAGCAGGTTAAATTTATATGTTTATTTGAATATATGTAACAATAATAAGAATAGAAAAAGAGGCCTTCAATTTGAGGGGGATAGGGAGAAGTGGGGGGGAGTGGCAAGCTTATATAATTGTATTTTAATTAAAATTTTTAATTGCCATAAATAAGGCATACTTTTTTTTTTTTGGTTTTTACGAGACAGGGTTTTTCCGTATTGTTTTGGAGGCTGTCGGTCCAGCCTCGCCTCGAACTCAGAGATCCGCCTGCCTCTGCCTCCCGAGTGCTGGGATTAAAGACGTGCGCCACCACCGCCTGGCTAAGGCATACTTTTTAAAAATTAAATTTTAAGAATAGCAAAATACTTTTGTTTCATTTCTTTTTGGAGGGAGATAAATGTACACATACGGCACTGTAATCCAGAAGAACGGAAGGGACAAACAGAAACACCCCCCTCTGAGTCAGGCTTACCTTCCTTCCCTTTCCCTGTGCTAGAGGCTACCACTTAGGCCAGCTTTTTCTAGACAGAGCCATTATCTTCTGACTTGTAGTTTCCTGTGGCTGCTGGAACAAGTCATAAGCTTAGTAGTGTAATAGGTACGAAGTGAAGCTCAACAGGGCGGTGAGCGCCTGCGTCTGGTTACTCTGAGGGACTGCAGCAGGACTGAGAGTTGTGATGCCGGCCTGGGCGATGCAGAAAGAAACTCCCCAGAGAATGGGGGGGGGGTGGAAGGCGGAGGCTGATTTTGAGTTCCAGCGTTTTGGTTGGTTGTTTGGCTTGGTTTGGGGTTCTTTGGCAGGGGGTTGTTTGTTTGTTTGTTTTTCTAGACAGGGTTTCTCTGTGTAGCTTTGACTGCCCTGGAACTCGCTCTGTAAACCAGGCTGGCCTCAAACTCACAGACCTACCTCTGCCTCCTAGTGTTGGGATCAGAAGCATGTGCCACCACTGTCCAGCTTGAGTTCAGTTCTGTGGGTCAGAAGTTTGAAATATCCCTGTTCTACATAATATTACCAGAGCTGAACCCACAAGAGTGGGCATTCCAATTCTAGTTTATAATAGGTGTGCTTATAATAGGTGTTGATATTCTTCAACTTGTGATCATGTCATTTTTAATTAATCTTTTTTTAAAATTAAAATATAATTGCATCATTTCCTCCCTTAGATTTCTTCCCTCCAACCTCTCCCATGTTCCTGTCTTCATTTCCTCTGGAAATCATGGCCCTTTATCTGCAATATGGTTGTAATTTAAAACACAACAAAAATCATTGTTGAAGTCAAAGGGAAGATAACATTTCCCCTTTCCTTGGTTTCTTGTCATTTCTTGCTTTCCATGTTATTACTTACTACTCTTAATTTGAAATATATTTGCATCATTTCCCCTATACAATCTGCCCTAAACATTTAGTGTAATTGTATGTCTGTGACTTCAGAGCTGACCACTTGTAGTAGATAACCAGTTAGGGGCCCATCCCTGGGCAGAACTGTTTGTTGTTCTCTCGGGATTCCTTGGTTGCCTGTAGCTCTTTGTATGTGGGTGGCCCTGTAGATTTGCGCGTCCATTGCTGTTGTGCTGCTGTGTCTCGTGTAGGAAGCCATGTTGTTGTGACATCATGAGTGAAGCTTCCCTGTTCTTTTTAGGTGACACAGTCTCACGACTTTTTCCTCCATGCTCCCTGAACCTTGTGTGCAGGAGTTGTTCATAGATGGATGGGCTGGGCCTGGGCCCCCACATCACTGTTCATAGATGGATGGGCTGGGCCTGGGCCCCCACATCACTGTTCATAGATGGATGGGCTGGGCCTGGGCCCCCACATCACTGTTCATAGATGGATGGGCTGGGCCTGGGCCCCCACATCACTGTTCATAGATGGATGGGCTGGGCCTGGGCCCCCACATCACTGTTCATAGATGGATGGGCCGGGCCTGGGCCCCCACATCACTGTTCATAGATGGATCGGCCGGGCCTGGCCCCCACATCACTGTTCATAGATGGATGGGCTGGGCCTGGGCCCCCACATCACTGTTCATAGATGGATGGGCTGGGCCTGGGCCCCCACATCACTGTTCATAGATGGATCGGCCGGGCCTGGCCCCCACATCACTGTTCATAGATGGATCGGCCGGGCCTGGCCCCCCACATCACTGTTCTCTTGTCTTTCTGTACTGTCTCCTTCGTTTGCAAAGAGAAGTTTCTTTGATGGGGAAGAGCCATGGGCTATCTGCGAGCTGTAAGGTATCTGTGGGATATTTAGAATGCAGTTTCTGCTGGTTTAGTGAGGTGGCAGTAGTAGGTTCTCCTCTGAGATCCATGACCTCACCAGTCCCTGATGGCTGTTAGCTGGGTTTCTAGTCGCAGGCCTGATCCCCCTCTTGTTGAGCAGTTCGCATGTCTAATTAGACAGCTCTTGGTCACCATCACGATGTGATGGCCACTGTTGCACCTTAGGGTTGGCACCATGTTGCTCGTCATTGTGGCTCTTGGGGTCATGTCATTAGTTTTTAAAGCCAGCATCTTCAAAGTTTTTTCTGATCACTTTTCATGTGCATACATGTGTTTCTTTCTGCATTTATCATAAAGAAGATATATTTTATTTTGGATTCATCTAGATAATAAAAGTTGTCAACTATCTTGAGATCTTTAACCTAATCACATTTGCAAAGACTTTGCCACATAATATAACATTCACAGACCCCAGGATCCTTATAGAAAGGAAAAAGGTAACATTTTTAGCCTCCTGCAATGATTAAAAAACGAGTAGCATACTACTAGATCTGTGTTTTGTTTTTTTAGACAGAAAATTGGAATGACTTCAGGGTCTATTAACTTAGGACTATTTAAATTATATCCGGTATATTCACCAAATGGAGTAAGGGTAACTACTAGAGGAATGAAGTCGGCTTGTACTGGGGCAGTATTTCTGTAAAGTGGGCAATTGTGAGCTACAGAGGGGTACATAAGATGAAAATGGGTTACGCTAAGAGGTTAGGGCTGGGAGACTGTTACTTCGTATGCTATACTTTTGTATGTTACAATAAATGTATGCATTTTATAGTAAATCCAAGGGCAGTGGACTTGCATTTGGTTTTTCTGAATGAATTATGTAATAGAGATAATAGACCAAGTCAGATGTGGTAGCTCATGCCTTTAATTCCGGCACTAGAAGGGCTGAGGCAGGAGAATTGCCATGAGTTCCAGGATAGTCTAGGCTACAGAAAAAGAGTGTTTTTAGAATAAACAAAAAGCATCAATGGAGGAATGTTAAAAATTTGCCCTTTTGGTTTATTCCTAGATAGCAGACCTTACGCTAGCTGAGATGGGGAAGAACTTGAAGGAGGCGATGCAGATGCTGGAGAACGGCCAGAGGTGAGCATGTGGGGTAGAGCTGCCCACTGAGTGTCTGCTTTCCTCCATCTTTAGGATGTCAGGTTCTGCTGACTTAAAGCTACAGGTCTTGGATAGAAGGTGCTTTGCAACGAAAGGATTTTGAAGTTTTGGGAAGGACTTTTCAGTTCTGCCACTTGAGAGTGTTGTTTATGGAATACATTGACTTGAATGTTAAATACTTCTTAGTATAGATAAGCTACCAACTGACCACACAGTTGGTTGAAGTGGTTGTTCTTACTTTACTTTCCTGTAACTTTCAAGTATATCTGTAGTGTAAGAAGATGAAATGAATGTGTTTAAAATATTCCATGTTTGCATGTTCATGTGTTAGAAACTTGATTTGTTAAAGCATGCAGTCAACTCTTTATTTTTTTTCTTTTAAACCAGAAGAATAGAGGACGAAAATGGAAAGAAGCCAGTATCAGAGGATGTTCCAGGGCCACTCCAGGGCAGGTGGGTGGCAATGAAGATCGGTACCTTTAGTTAGGATATACATTAGGATATACTTTAGTTAGGATATACATTTAGTTAGGATATACCTTTAGTTAGGATATACATTAGGATATACTTTAGTTAGGATATACATTAGGATATACTTTAGTTAGGATATACATTAAGATATACTTTAGTTAGGATATACATTAGGATATACCTTTAGTTAGGATATACATTTAGTTAGGATATACCTTTAGTTAGGATATACATTTTGTTAGGATATACATTTTTCCTAATCCAAAATTTTACTGTTATTTTCTCACAAGTTTACCTTGAATGAATACCAAGATAATTTAAGTAGTTACCTTGTAGAACATTAGAAAACTGGCTGGTTGGCGATAATAGTGAGCTTACCAGCTTTGTCCTCTTTCAGAACTGTTTTTGTTCGTTGGCTTGCCTTCAACTGGTGGCAATCTTCTGTCCTCAACCTTCTGAGTACTAGATTTTGGGAATGTCCCACCATACCTGGCCTCCCTTTCATAACTATAGCCCATGGTCAGAAGCCATCTGTGAATTCTTAGCTATAACTGGGACAGCAAACTAGTTCATTCTTGAAACCTGTGCTCTCTATTGTAGACTGAGCTTTATTGTGAGAGATATTTGAATTTGGTACAGTTTTTAATTTTTATGATATAGTAAATGAACCAGGCATAGTGGTGTATGCCTTTAATCCCAGCACCCAGGAGACAGGCAGGCAGATCTAAGTTCAAGGCCAGCCTTGTCTACATAGGGAGTTCCAGGACAGCCAGGCCTACATAAAGAGACCTTGTCTCAGAAACAAAACAAAATGAAAAACCCATAATATGGTAAATGAAAGGGAAATGTCAGCTTTCATCATTGCTGGAATGATTAATTTGTTTGCAACCAATTCAAATTTATGAAGTCCTTGTGGTTTGAACTGCTAGTGAAAAAGAAGTAGCTGGCTGTCATTTTCCCAGGATGCTAGCAGTCAGTCTGCAATTAAAGTCCCAGCCCAAGTCTCCTTGGGACAAACAATTCTTCTTTTATGACAGGAAACTGCACTTAGGTCAACAGTACAACTCCCTTGAATTGTTCTTTGACCTGAATATAAGTTGTACATGATTGCAAAAGAAAGCGTTGAGGAAATGTCACACTATACAGCAAATACCATGCCTGACACTCCCAGATACTAATGTGTTCAGTTGTTCTGCTTATAGCATGAACCCTGCTGATTTGAAGTCTGTCGAGCTCTCACCTCTTAGAACAGGAAGTAGATCCTGTCTCCTCCTACCCCAGGTGTGAAGGGGCAAGAACTTGTTTCTAGATTCTCAGACTGGCAGCACATTAAAAAACACTGTTGACAGTGGTCAGGAGTGTCTAATATTTAATAATGCCAATCTAGTATTTGAGTCTTATTTTTTTTTTATTTTATTTTCCAGTTTAAATTTAGATAAGAAACAAGGTTGCTTCACAAGTCAGTTCCAGGTCCCTCTCCCTTTCCCTCCCCTCCTCCCGTGCCCTCCCCCCAACCCCCCCCCGTTATCCCCTCATTCCCCCAGGGAGGGTGAGGCCTTCCATGGGGGTGTCCATAGTCTGTCATTTCATATAGGGCAGGGCCTAGACCCTTCCCCAAGAGTTCAGGGTGAGAGTGCACCTCACATTGTTCTATGGGAGTCCAAAGTCCGTGTGTATACTTGGGATGGGTACTGATCTGCTGCCCAAGGCTCAATAGATTCCCTAGGCCTCCTCACTGACACCCAGATTCAGGGGGTCTTGATCAGTCCCATGCTGGATTCCCAGGCTGATGCCTGGGGCATTTGAGTCTTATAAGTGCTGTACAGACACCGTCTGACTATCTCCTCTCCATTCTGTAAGGCTGGGGCTCAGCCCCCTTTGGCTCTCTCACTCAGGGTCACAGGATAGCAGCCAAGGGAACTTCAGCTTCTGACCCTTCCCTTCCCTTCCCTTCCTTCTGCAGGGTTAAAGGATCAGAGCACTTGATCTTAGAAGGCACCTCGGGAACATGGGTTTAGAGCACTGCTTTGATGGTGCTTCTTTTGTGTTTAGCACCATTTTTGTGATCTTAGGGATTGAACCTAGAGTTCAAAGCTAGGCAAGCTCTCTACCACTCCCTACTATGTCCCTCCAATGCTTCTTTTTAAAAAAATAGTATTCTTATTAAAAGAGTATTTTTACATTTTATGCACCATAAAGTACTTTGCCATTTCATACTGTTTTAGTCATTGACATTTTCCTCCTCTTTCCATCTCATACAATGAGGAGTTAACAGCATATCTTGGATAGAAATTAGTCTATCTATTTATGCTCTATTTAGTATATACTTACACTTTAAGCAGATCTCAAATCTTCTAACCTGGATAAGAGTTGGAAATAAATGATTACATGTGTAAGGTTGTTGTTCAAGTGGTCAAGACTCCGCAGTCTTGTCAGTAGAGAATTTTTCTTGGCTTTATGGCCTTCTAGCATCTTATAAAGATTGACTCTTGTACTTACTATTCTCTGCTTTTCAGGAATAAAATGATCCATTATAGAAATACAGCTAGAGCAGCACTGGAAATATTTTCAATAATCAAACTTATATTTGGGTCAAAGAATAAGTAAAGTTATATAATTTGAATGTTTTGAAAATGTATAATCTGTCTCTAAACATTCTTTGTCTTGTAGATAGCTACCAAATGTTTAAAAAGAACAAAAACAAAAACAAAAAACCAGCTTTAAGATAGTTTAAATAAGAAATGGTTGGGAGATGGATGGGAGGGGCATATGTGTTCTTTCCAGCCAGCTAACCCTTTTTGTTCTGCAGTGGACAAGATATGGTGAGCATCCTCCAGCTAGTCCAAAATCTGATGCACGGAGATGAAGATGAGCAGCCTCAGAGCACCCGGTAATGGAGGAGTGTCGGCAGTTTATCTTTGAAAGTTTGTTCTTGACTGGGCGGTGGTGGCTCATGCCCTTATTCTCAGCACTTGGGAAGCAGAGGCAGGTGGATCTCTGAGTTCTAGACCAGCATGGTCTACAGAACGAGTTACAGGACAGCCAGGGCTACACAGAGAAACTCTGTCTCAAAAAGAAAAAAAAAGTCTGTTTGTGATTCTGTTCTCATGAGTGGCTCAAGGAAGAAATTTCATTGAGTAATAATTACATTAAAAGTTATATTGAAGCCAGGCAGTGATGGTGCATACCATCACTTAGAAGGCAGGCCGGATCTCTGTGAGTTCAGGGATAGCCAGGACTGTTATACAGAGAAACCTTGTCTCGAAGACAAACGAAAAAAAAATTGTTATCTTTATATTCTAAAAGTAGATCCTGACATTTTTATGCTATTAGGACTGAAATGCCCTGTGCTTTTTCTGTTTTTTTCTTTAGCTTATTAAAAATTATTGCAGTTAATTAAATTGATTGGCCTTTATTGTCTGTGAATCACCTTTTACTTTAGTTATTCATCTGTGTAGTATATTTAAATAAATATATTTTCATTTTGTCTTCTTCCTTTTTTTTTGCTATCAGTAATATAGTTTCCTTGTTCAAAAGGCAGAAGATAAACTAGGCATGGTAGTACACACTTGTAATCCTGCATTCTGGAGACATAATAAGCAATGAAGCCACTGTGGACCCAAAACAAAGCAGAATAAAACTGAGAAAATATAAGAAAGTGTATACAAAATAGTTTTCCAGGCTGTGATAGCATATATGTGCCCTGAGTTCAATTCCCAGTACTAACACACATAGGCCTCCCTATCAGTTTCTCTTTCGTGGCCATAAGTGATGACCAGTTTATTATTATTCCACAGATATTTATATGTTTATATAGATAAGCAAAACATCCATACACACCCCATCCAGAACTTAAAATGTGTCCTGATTATTTTTCAGTTAGTACTTGGAGTTCATTGCGTGTCATACGAGGAACTTTCTCTTTAAGAGCAACTTTATTTTACTTTGAATACATGAATAGAATTTTATGAATAGAATTTTGACTCATGTTCCTATTTGACTGATACAAACATTGCTGTAGCCATAACTTTAAACATATGTCATTTCTTGCAGTGGCAGTGTGTTTGGGGAGTAAGTCATAGAATTAGGATGCTGGGTCAGATAATGCATGTGTGTATTCTGAATTTCACAGAGCCCAATGCTCCCAGGAGATAAGGCAGTTCAGAGGCTCACCAGCAGGGTGTGAGAATACTTTCCCCACATCTTTACTGCAACGGTGTTAGCACGCTTAAGGGTCTTTGATAAATGAGTGAGAAATATAAGGTGAGGTATCTCAGCATAAGTATTTTTCTTATGAACTAGATTATGTCTCTTGTGTGGTTTAAGACTTATTTGATACTGGGGGTGTAGCTCAGTGGTAGAACACTTGCCTTGCATGGGCACAGTCTCAAGTTGAAGCCTCAGAACCTTTTTAGAAGTTGTTAAAGAAACAGACTTTTTAAAGACTTGAAAGAGCGTGCACATGTGTCTGTGAATGTGTGCTTTATATATGCAGGCTAGCGCCCTGTAACTGAGCTATTGATTGCCCTTACCCTGTAGTTCATTGTCATCATGGTCTCTTTCTTGTGTGTCTGTGCACCACATGCGTGCCTGATGCCTTTGGAGGCTAGAAGAGTTTGTTGGATCCCTTGGGACAGGGATTACAGATGGTTGTCATCTACCATGTGAGTGCTGGAAACAGAGCCTGGGTCCTCTGCAAGAGTAGCTAGTGCTCTTAAACTTCTGAGCCGTCTCTTCAGCCCTCCTCCATAGCTCTTAAGGCTGATATTTAATTACATTTTAAGAGAATTTAACAACAGTTTGCATTATCAGCCAAGAGAAGGATATTTATCTTTAGGACTCAATTTTAAAAGCTTCCCCCCCCTACTCCAAATTTTCAGCAGCTTATATACATTTTTTTCTGAATTTCTCTGCAGGACATGAATCAAAAGTCTGCCAGATTTCTGTGAAACACTGTTTAAACTTTACTTCTTTTTCTATGCTTTGGTGATAATCAGTTCTTAATACGCTAATGATTTTGATTGACAGAATCCAGAATATTGGAGAACAAGGTCACATGGCTTTGCTGGGTCACAGTCTGGGTGCTTATATTTCAACTCTGGACAAAGAGAAGCTAAGAAAACTTACAACCAGGATACTGTCAGACACTACTTTATGGCTACGCCGGATTTTCAGGTAAAGATGTTATGAGCTGAGCTTTGTTCCAGTTGGTTTCATTTTTAGGGGGAGAGGGTTTCGAGGCAGGGTTTCTCTATGACTTTGGAGACCAGGCTGGTCTCGAACTCACAGAGATCCTCCTGCCTCTGCCTCCCGAGTGCTGGGATCAAAGGCGTGCGCCACCACTGCCCAACTCCAGTTGTTTTTTTTAAGGATTCATTACTGGTAAAGACATTATGAGGGATGTGTTTGTTTGCTTAATTTTAGGTTTACTTGTTTATTTGTGACAAGGTCTCTATGTAACCTGATTGTCCTGGAACTTGCTATGTAGACCAAGGTGGCCTCAAACTCAAGGAGATCTGCCTACTTTACTTCCCAAGTGCTGGGATTAAAGGCGTGCAGCACAACACCCAGCTCTCTCTTTAACATGTATGAGTATTTTGACTGCATGTGTGAATATGTACCTTATGTGTACAGTGCCCGAGGAGGCCAAAAGAGGGCATCAGATCCCCTGAAACTAGAGTTTCAGGTAGCTGTGATTGCCATGTGCGTGCTGGGAACCACACCCAGTTTCTCTCTGGAAGAGCCACAGTACTCCTAACTGAGCAGCTCCCTCTCCAGCCATCCTTGCAAGTTTTCAGGTCCTGGTGGAGGTGAATCAGAATCAGACATGGGTTGTGAGAGGGCTGTGTGGTGCTCCATGTGTGTACGACTCTTCTTTGGAAGGGTTGCTTAACCTCTCTATGCGTAGGTTTTGTCTCGTATTAAGTGGGGAGAGCATAAATAGCTGTTTCATTTGAGGGTTAAACGAGCACATTGATGCTTCTTTATTTCGATGTCTCAGTGCTGACAGTCCTCAACCATGCCGGCCTGTAGCACTAGCCTCCAACTGGAACAAGTGAGCACCACTGTCTTCAGGCTCTTATTTGTGGGAACTTTAGTCTTTGTCTGCACTGTTTGTGCTCATTTTGTTTCTGGAGCTAGGTGTGGGTGCAGTGTCTTTGTTTCTCCCCTTATAGCCTGCATCTACAGTGAGCAACCAGACACTGAAAATGAAAGGGGCCCCTCCCTGTGTGCCCTCTGCCTTGCACAGGGTTAGTGTCTATGACAAGAGACTTGCTTTCATGACTTTATACCGGTGACAGCATCAGAAGTGACTAGAAAGAGGACTGTATTAACACGCAGCTGGAGAGGTGGCTGATGGCCATGGAGAGCGTGGCTGATGGCCATGGAGAGCCTGGCTGCTCTTCTAGAAAGCCTGAAGGCCTTGGCTTGGCTCCCGCTGTTGAAGATCACCCATTAACCCCAGCGCTGGCGCTCTGACGACTCTTCCGGCCTCTTTGGCTCAGCACATGGGGTGCACATACATAGATGTGGGCAAACACAGAGTAAAAGCAAAACTTTTTTAAAACTTAGAGTACATCATCATATGCGATCTGTTAATAGGTATGAAAATGGGTGCGCCTATTTCCATGAAGAAGAGAGGGAAGGACTTGCTAAGATCTGTAGGCTCGCCATTCATTCTCGCTACGAAGACTTTGTAGTGGACGGATTTGATGTGCTGTATAACAAAAAGCCTGTCATATACCTTAGTGCTGCTGCTAGACCTGGCCTGGGCCAATACCTTTGCAATCAGGTAATGTAAAAAGTGTGTGTGTGGGGGGGTGCGCACATATTTTTATGTCTGTGTCATAGGTACACATGTGTTCATGGAGGACCGGGGTCGATATCAGGAGTCACCCTCAAACACTCTTTCTTCTCATTCATTGAGTCAGGATCCCTTAGTCAGATCCAGAGCTTGCTCTGCAGACTCCCTGTCTCTGCCTTCCAGGTCTAGAATTACAAGTGGATGACTACTCCTGCCTGGTATTTGGTTCCTGACAGCCATGCTGAGATGTTCACAGTCACCTGTAACAGCAATTCCAGGGCATGTGATGCCCTCTCTGGTCTCTATGGAAACCTGCATAAATAAATGTAATACAGACACAAATGTGCAGGCACACACACATACACACAAGTAAAAATAAAATTGTATGTATGGGACTGGGGAGAAGGCTTAGAGGGAAAGCACTTGCTATACAAGGGTATGGACTACGCTTTGAATTCCCAGAAACTTACGTAAAGTTGTTTTCTGACTACTGTAGCATATGCCCCCACCAATAAAAAAAAAGAAAATTTTCACCAGCCTAGACCACATGATGTTGCTATATCTCAAAATAAATATCACTAGCTGGGCAGTGGTCTAGGTGCACGCCTTTAATCCCAGTACTCGGGAGGCAGAGGCAGGCAGATCTCTGTGAGTTCGAGGTCAGTCTGGTGTACAAAGTAAGTTGTTGCACAGCCAGGGCTACACAGAGACCCCCCAAATGTTATTGAATTTAGAAATAATGTGTATTATATACATTTCAGTGGTTTTGAATACCCGAAGACAACTAGTACTTTATTTTTTCCTGTACTCTATCAAGAGGGATGTAGATGCACTTGCATGGTTTTTTTAGGTTTAATTGCTTTTATAACAGGAGTATATCATGTTTTAATGATATTTCAAGTTTCTATGCTTAGAAAACCAGATTTATCCACGTCATATATTTATAGCTACAAAATGATCAGAAGGTTCTGTATGAAAGTGTTACCAGTGATAGATTGGTGGCTTACAGGAGGCACTGTCACTTAGAATGTTTGGCTTTGCTTTGTTGGTGGTACTGTGACTTGAAACCCAAGTGTTTCCATGCAAGTCAAGCTCTCTCCTTGTACTCAGCCATGCCTATTCCTTACCCTTTTAGAGGGAGTTTCACTGGGCTTGTTGTTCTAGAGCTTGGAAAGCAGAGGCAGGAGGATTGCCCAGAAATGAGCCACTATACCCAACTTACTTTCAGATGAGGTCTTGCCATCAGTGTAGCCCAGGCTGGTATCATTTTGTAGTTTAGGGTGGCTCTGAACTGGCCTTCCTCTTTAGTCAGCCTCCCAGGTGCTAGGATTTCAGGGTTCACTTTTTAAGTGAATCTTTGTTGTTTTTAATACTTTAAGGAAGGGGTGAGTGGTAGCTCAGTAGCAGAGTACTTGTCTAGCATGCACAAGCCTGGGTTCAGTCCCTGGCAGTGCCAAAGGAAAAGGCATTATGAAACGTCCTTTCTAGAGGATGAACCACTCACTGTATTTTAAGTTTTATGTTGCACCTGTTTATAGTTCCTAAAATTACAAACACCTGTGTTAGGAAACTAAACAATGAGAATATGAAATTAATTTGACAACTTTCTCAATCCATGACATTGACTTTCTTCTTTTAAGCAATATACTTCTGCTACTCTGTATTTATTTCTTTTAAGGGTAGGAGAGCCCATAAATAAGACCCTGTTCTCTGAATGATTAGAAAAAGAATCCCTCCCAATCACCCTCCTCACCTCAGAATGCAGGGTGCTTGGTAGTTTCTTTGCTTGGAAAAGACTTCTTTTGGTATATTCTAGAATATATCAAAGGTAGTTTCAAGACTCATTTCAAAAGGTTTAGATTGTCCTCTTATAAAGCATTTGTTAAGTCACCTTTTGGGAGTGAAACTAACTTTCCAAATGTCCTTTAACATGATGTATTTTTTTGAGACAGGGTTTTTCTGTGTATCCCTGGCTGTCCTGGTACTTGCTCTGTACATCAGACTGGTCTCAAACTCCACTACCCAGATTTTTTTTTAATCTTAAAGGTAGTGGTCTCTGTGTAGTCCAGGCTGGCTTCACACATGTGATCTCCAGCCTCAGTAATTATGCCTCACTGAGATTTGTTTTTAATAATAATTTGTGGCTTGTTTTTGTTGCTCAGTTCTCACAGGCATAAGTGAATGGTGTGTTTCTTCTTGCAGCTTGGCTTACCCCTGTCCTGCTTGTGTCGTGTGCCTTGTAACACTATGTTTGGATCCCAGCATCAGATGGTGAGTTCTTGGTTTGGGTTTGTGTGGTAATGTAGAATTGCATTATTGCTTCATTTTGTAGCTTGAGTTCTTTCCAGCCTGGTCCCATAGCTGATTAGCCCCAAATAAGCACACAGAGACATGTTAATTATAAACTGTTTGGCTGGTGGCTCAAGCTTCTTATTAGTTAGTTCTCTCTTAATTAACTCATTTATATTAATCTAAGTATTTCCACATGGTCTTATTGTACCGGAAAAGGGTCCAGACCTGTTACTCCTTCCTGGGGTACGTGGCATCTCCTTGTGGCCTCTCTCTCTGCTTCCTCTCCCCAGCATTCTCCTCATCTGGTAGTTCTGCCCATACTTCCTGCCTGGCTACTGGCCAATCAGCGTTTTATTCATCAGTCAATAGGACAAGCATATACAGAAGGACGTCCCCATCAGTTCAGTCTTCCCATTGTGGTGCTGTGTGTACGTTTGTATTGGAATGAAGGGAATTGTGTAGTACCTGAGCACCTGCTTCTTTGGGGTGGTACAAGGGGCGTTTGGTCTTGGGCCCCTATATGCTGAGGGTGTTCTCTCTCAGCTCTTTCATCCTAATTTAGCGTGAGAAACCTTTTCAAGCTCAGAGTTTTAGCTAGTCATCACTACTGTTTTCTTTTACTTTTGATTTGTTGAGATCTTCCTAGGAAGCGCAGGCTGGCTTCAGAAGTGTGGTTTCCCTACAGTGTGCATAGACAGATTTTGAAATGAGGTCATCAATGTAATCTTAGATTGGAGTTGTGATAATTTTTTACACATGCAATAGATAAACATCTTGATGCTAAAGACAGAAGAAAAGGAATTAACTGTAAGATTCTGCATTTCTATTTTCAAAATAGTTTTCTTGTCTATTTCTATGGGAATGAGAAAGTATTTGTCTTACATATGTATAGTTTTGCCTTTAATCTCAATTTTCATAACTAGTCTATAAGGAAAACTGATTTTATTGTCTATGATTATGGAAAGCAAAGTTGTTGAGAATAAAAATTAGAATACTATGAAATTTCTATGGGTTGAATACTGTGGAATCTTTAATATTAATAGTAGGAGAAAAATAAATCACTCAATGATACCAAAGAAAGGTAAAAGTCTCTTCTTGGAAACATTTACTCATATTATAGGAGTAGTCTTTTAAACAGAGGGACTCAGGGAGGCGTGGTGGCACTGTGCCTATAGTCCCAGCACTGGTTAGTCAAAGGCAGGTAACTTCCCACATAGCAAGTTCCAGTCCAGCAGGGCTACACAGTGAAACCCTGCCTCAAACAAAAAGGAGTTCAGAACTCTAAATTATCTAAATCACAAAAAAACTAATGTTTTTTTGAGTGCTTCTAATATGCATTTTGTCCAGGTAGCATACAGTGGCTTTAAAATACTTTTCTTTCATATATATATATATATATATATATATATATATATATATATATATATATATATATGAATAGATTTTAATATTTTAAGTCTGAAATTCAAGAGTAAATAGTTACCTAACACAGAAAAAAGGAATCCTAGTTGAGTTATTAATTTTGTGACCTCTGTGCTTTTAGAATTCATAATATCTCACTGAGCATTAGCTTGGGTTAGAGTGCTCCCTAGCATCATGCATAGAGTCCTGGATTTGAGCCACAGCACCACATAAAAGCAAACCTAGTACACACCATAAGGAGCTGGAAGCAGAATGAGGACTTCAAGGCCAGCCTGGGCTACATGAGCCTGCCTGGTGGGTAGGGAATTGCTTCCTGAGAAGACCTGAGGACCTAAATTCAATCCCCAGAACTCACATTAAAAAAAAATTCTCTTGTGGGTTTTAAAAATAGGATCTTCAGCTGGGTGTAGTGGCGCATGTCTGAACCCCAGCACTTGAGCAGTAGAACAGGCGGATCTCCATGAGTTCAAAGCCAGCCTGGTCTATATAGCAAGTTTCAGACCAGCTAGAGTTCTGAGGTAAGACACTGTCTGAGAACAACAGCAGCAGGGATAGTGGCTCACGCTTGTAGTCCTGTTGCTGGGGAGGTGGAGTCAGGTTAATGCATGGGCTTGCTGTTCAGCCAGTCTGTCTCACCAGCAAGGCCAGGTCAGTGAGAGACCCTGTCTCAAAAACATGGAAAATGGCGCTTGATAAAGAGCTCTGAGGGGGGCCTCTGGCCTCCAAGCACGGCTGTGCTCTAGTATCCATACATGTGTGTGTGCGTGTGTGCACACTGCACACAGAGTCGTAGTTTGTCAGTGTGTACCTTGTATACCGATGGCTCACACGTCTGTGGTTTGTTTGTTGGTCCTAGGACATTGCCTTTCTTGAGAAACTGATCAAAGATGACATAGAAAGAGGAAGACTGCCCTTGCTGCTTGTTGCAAGTGCTGGTAGGTATCATAACCTCGTACCTGTGAGGGCCCTGAGCACTTGGCCTCAGGGACAGGGCCTGTTTGTGGTGTTTTGTCAAGATGGAGTCTCAGTTCTCTAGCCCAGGCTGGCCTGGAATTCACAGGAATCCAGCCTTGTAAGGGCTGATGTTGGAGAAATGAGACACCAGGCCCATCAAGGAGTGGCACTCTATTTGTTTATTTATTATGTAAACAATCTTTCTCCTGGCACGTATGCCTATGCTCCAGAAGAGGGTGCCAGATCTCATTACAGATGGTTGTGAGCCACTATGGGGTTGCTGGGAATTGAACTCAGGACCTCTAATAGAGCAGTCAGTGCTCTTAACCTCTGAGCCATCTCTCCAGTCCCAGGAGTGGCACTCGTAAGGAAACTAAAGAAAAGCTCCTGGAACTGATTTGTAAGGTTTCTAGATTCTATTTAGCAATCAAGAATTAGAAATTGAATTTAAGGCAAGTGAGATGGCTCAGTGGATGAAGACGATTGCCACTATCCACGGTGAACAGAGAGCAGAGTCCCGCAAGTTGTCGTCTGACTTCACTGCACTCTGTGGCATGTGTGTCCACACGCACGCATAAAACATATGGAATAAATAAGAAACTGAATTTGAAGTGTCTTTATAATGGCATCAAAAAGCATAAAAGGGGCAGCAAGATGGCTTAGCAGGGAGAGCTGCTTCCTGCCTGGTGATGTGTACCTGATGTCTTAGGTATGTTTTTTGTGACCAAAAAGCAAGGTGGGGAGGGAAGGGTTTATTAGACTCACACTTGAGCACTGCTGTTCATCACTGAAGGGAGTCAGGACAGGAACTCAAACAGGGCAGCATCCTGGACATTGCAGCTGATGCAGAGGCCATGAAGGGGGAGCTGCTTACTGACTTACTTCCCATGGCTTGCTCAGTCACCTTCTTATAGAATCCAGGACCAGCATCCCAGGGATAGCATATTCCTGAAAGAAGTTTAAGAAGGCCCAGATGTACGATAGGCTCTGTCTCTGAGTCATTTCTCCCTAAACTAGTTCTAGGACAGCCAAGGCCTCAAAACAAACAAAACCAAAAAATAATGAAAGACTTGATTTGGGATATCACTCAGTATAGCTTGTGCTTAGCAAATACAAGGCTCTGGATTCAGCCCCCAGCAACAAGAAGCTTTTTCTGTTTGAGAAGAACTTTTCAAATCTTTTAATTCCAGCACTAGGGCAGATGGATCTCTTTTGTGTGCTTAAGGCTGGTCTGGTTTACATAGCAAGTTCCCAGACAGCACATAATGGACTCTGTCTCAAACAAACAAAAACAAAAGGCCCCATGAAGAATTGAAAAGCAGTGTTGGGGCTCACACCTTTAACTCCAGCACTGCACTCAGGAGGCAGAGGTGGGTGGATCTCTTTGAGTTCTAGGCCAGCATGGTCTACAAAAGGAGATCTAGGACAGCCAAGGCTGTTGCACAGAGCAGACACACAAACAAAAAAAGAAATGAAAAGCAAGCAGTAGGCTGGGAGAGGTATTTCAAAACACTTCTTCCTGGCAAGTGATTTACATGTAAAACGTAAAGTTATGTCACAGTTCAGTAGTAACTGTTGTGGGGCGTTCACCAGAGAAGACTGCTGGGACATGGGTTTAAGCCAACAGAAAGTCTTTATTAGCTGGCCAGAGGCTACACTGGGTGCTCAGGATACCAGGGTAGTTCAGCCTCTCTCAGGGGGAGCCTTTAAGCGTAAAAACCATGTCCTGGGTTGACATACTTCAGTTAACAAGAATGGTTAGCCAGAATCAGAACAGCAGAAGTTAACAGGCAAGGTGAGTACATTGTGAGACTTTCCCAGAACTGTATGGACTTTGATGGATTAGGTCTTTGTTTTCATTTTGGCAAGTGGTGCTGTCTGTGTGCTGAGTTTTACAGTCTAAAAGACACTTCCATCATGGAGTTAGCTGTGCTAAGGTCTAGGGACCTACTAAGGCCCCATTACAGTAAGGTGACAGACAGCTTTAAAATGAACAGCATTTGAATGGATACTTTACCAAAGGACATATAAACACCTGAAAAGATGTCTAATATCAGTAGTATTAGAATAGTACAGTTCAGCTGCATATATTGGTACACACTTAAATCATAGTTTGTGATCCCAGTACTTCAGAGGCTAATGCCTGAGGATTAACAGTCAACATCTGTCTGGGCTAAATGGAGAAGCCATAATAAGGCCAAAAGGGATGTTATGGTTCAGTCGGTAGAGTGCTTGTTAGTGTGTTCACAGCTCTGGGCTTGATCCTTACGTGAACCAAATGTGGGTGGCATATGTCTGTAATTTCAGCATTCTGGAGGTATGGGCAAGAAGTCAGGGTTGTCTTAAGCTTCATAGTGAGTTTCGGACTAGGCAGTCTCAAAAATATAAAATAAAATAAAAAAGTAAAACCACAGTGAGAGCTCAAGATGTAGTATAGTGATGGAATATCTGTCTGCTATGCCTGAGACCTGGCTCTGTTGCTTATGTGCTTATTGATTGATTGATTGATTGATTGATTGATTGATTGTTCCACTGCTAGGGCAAAAAGTGCCTAATACTGATGGGGATCAAGCAGCCACATACATTCCTGGTGTGGTGTTGTGTGACACAGCACACATGTCTGTTCACCCCAGATAGGGATGCCACTACAGACTAAAGTGCAAACGCCTTCAAAGTCCAATTAGATGTTTTATTGGGGTTAGATACAGGCGCAGAAATGACTCAAAAGACAGCTGCATCACCAAAACGAATCCCAGCATGGGTAACAGCTCATAAGGCTGGGAACCTGTAAAACACTGCACAATCTGCAGGCAGCTCAATAGGTGGGAGTTGTTATGGGTCTGGGTCACTCAGAGATTCACAATGGTAATGGATGAATTTTAATAGGAAGAGGCTTTATTAAATACTGGTTCTGGGGAATGGTGGTGGTGCACACCTTCAATCTCAGCACTCAGGAGGCAGAGGCAGGTGGATCTTTGTTGAGTTCAAGGCCAGCCTTGTCTAAAGATCAAGTTCCAAGACAGCAAAGCTACACAGAGAATCCCCGTTTCAAAACAAAACAAAACCAAAAATACTGGGGTTGGATGCTCACAGCACCAGGACTTCAACCAAGAGCTCTCTCCAGATGCAGCAGCTGGCCATGTCAGCCCAGGGTTTATACAGACAGACCCCACAGGATTACAGGTATCTGCCTAAGTACAGGCAGGGTCTTATTTTAACATGTATGTCTTGCAGTTGTCCTCTTTTTGAGCAGAGTAAGCAAGTTTGATTACAAAATCAGAAATAGCAGTTAGTTAGCCTTATGATCTATAATCTGCAAGAACAGCAAATGTTACAAGATCAATAAATTTAAGAATAGTCTTCAATGTCTGGGGGGAAAAGGATATGGGCTGCTAGGGTACAGTCTGTACAAGTTAACGGCTTACATGTTAGAGGCGTGTTTTGGTCTCTCAAGCACAGTAATTCTAAACTTTAAATGTAATATGAACATCACAGGAATGTCCTTTCCAGGTGCCTTGGTTGAGCTAAACACCCTCCAGGCCACTGGTCTCAGAGTCGACTTTGTTGTTTGCTTGTCTGAGTCTCTTGGCAGCCTGGCTCTGCTCTTCTGAGAGGGACTCTCAGCTTTTACTGCTTACTCTTGCAGGGAGGGGCCTAGTGAATCTAGTCAGCTTCAGGAACTTCCTGAAGCTAGTTTGAGTTTTACCTTTCTGCTTCAGGAGCTTCCCTTAAGGATGGAATGTTTCAGTCTCAGGAAACTGTTACACAACCTTGATACAAATGTTGCAGCTGTTCTGTTGTAAATCCCTCAGTGTACCAAGTACAAATCCTTGTGATCCACTCATCCCACTACTATGGTTTACCAAGAAGAAATGAAATGATCTCCACACACAAAAAATTCTATGCATGTGTTTGTTCATTAGTGAGGCACTTGAGTGTTCTTCACATGGTGACTGGATAAGCAGATTGGAACAGATACCTATAGTAAGACACTAATCAATGAGTAGAAAGTGTTGATGCACACTTCAGAGGCATGCTGGTGTACAAAGAGTTGCATACAATATGGTGCATTGATTTGACACCTTAGGAAAGACAGGACTTGAGGCAGGAACAAGTGAGGCAATTGTTGGGTCATGAGTTAGGGAGGGGAGTGGCTGCAGTGAAGATGGGGGAGCTTTTTTAAAAAAAGTTTTCTCCTTTTTTTATTTAGAAACAATCATTTTACATGTCAATCCCTCCTTCTCTCTCTCTCCCTTCCTCCCATATCTCCTCCCAATCCCCCAATCCACCCCTAAGGATGGTGAGTCCTTCCATGGGAGATGACCAAAGTCTGTCACATCATTTGGGGCAGGGCCTAGGCCCTCCTCCATGTATCTGGGCTGCAGTAGTATCCCTCCATAGGGAATGGGCTCCATTTGTGCACTAGGGATAAATACTGACTCCACTGTTAGAGAGCACATAGACTGCTCACACCTCCTAACTGGCACCCACATTCAGAGGGTTTGATTTGGTCCAATGCTGGTTCCCCAGCTTTACAACTGGGGTTCCTGTGCTCTCACTAGGTCAGATCAACTGGTTCTGTAGGTTTCTCCAGCACGGTCTTGACTCCTTTGCTCATCCCTCCTCCCTTTCTACAACTGGATTCCAGGAGTTTGGCTCAGTGTTTAGCTGTGGGTGTCTGTTTCTGCTTCCATCAGCTATTGGATGAAGGCTCTAGGGTGGCAATTAAGGTAGTCATCAGTCTCATTATAGGGGAAGGACATCAAAGGCGGCCTCTCCACCACTGCCTAGATTCTTAGTTGGGGTCATCCTCGTGGATCCCTATATTCCTCCCCTGTCTCAGTCTTCCTTATCCCTCATATCTTCCTCCCCCCTCCTCCCCTTCTCTTTTTCTACCTACTCCCACAACCCCCCATGCTCCTAATTTGCCCAGGAGTTCTTGTCCCTTTCTTCAGGGGGCCATGCATTTTTCTCTTAGTGTCCTCCTTGTTTCCTAGTTTCTCTGGTAGTGTGGATTGTAGGCTGGTAGTCCTTTGCTCCACGTCTAATATCCATATATGAGTGAGTACATACCATGCTTGTCTTTCTGTGACTGGGTTATCTCACTCAGGATGTTTTTTTCCAGTTCCATCCATTTGCCTGCAAATTTCAAGATTTCGTTGTTTTTTCTCCTGAGTAGTACTCCATTGTGTAAATGTACCACATTTCCGCCATCCATTCTTCAGTTAAGGGGCATTTAGGTTGCTTCCAGGTTCTGGCTATTACAAATAATGCTGCTACGAACATAGTTGAACATATGTCCTTGTTGTATGAATGTGCATCCTTTGGGTATATGCCCAAGAGTGGAATTGCTGGATCTTGTGGTAGACTGATTCCCATTTTCCTGAGAAACCATCATACTGATTTCCAAAATGGCCACACAAGCTTGCCCTCCCACCATCAGTGGAGGAGTGTTCCCCTTTCTCCACATCCTCCCCAGCACACACTATCATTGGTGGTTTTGATTTTAGCCATTCTGACTGGTGTATCTGATGTATTCTGATGGTATCTCAGAGTTATTTTGATTTGCATTTCCCTGATGGTTAAGGATGTTGAACACTTTCTTTTTTTTTTTTTTTGTTTTTTGTTTTTTGTTTTTCGAGACAGGGTTTCTCTGGGGCTTTGGAGGCTGTCCTGGAACTCACTTTGTAGACCAGGCTGGCCTTGAACTCGCAGAGATCCGCCTGCCTCTGCCTCCCGAGTGCTGGGATTAAAGGCGTGCGCCACCAACTCCCGGCTTGTTGAACACTTTCTTAAGTGTCTTTTAGCCATTTTAGATTCCTCTATTGAGGAATTTTCTATTTAGTTCTGAACCCCACTTTTTAATTGAATTGTTTGATGTTTTAGAGACTCCCTTCTTGAGTTCTTTGTATATTTTAGAACTCAGCCCTCTGTCAGATGTGGGATTGGTGAATGTCTTCCAATTCTGTGGGCTGCTGTTTTGTCTTGTTGACTGTGTCCTTTGCCTTACAGAAGCTTCTCAGTTTCAGGAGGTCCCATTTATTAATTGTCAATCTCAGTATCTATGCTACTGTTGTTATGTTCAGGAAAGTGGTCTCCTGTACTAATTCATTCAAGGGTACTTCCTACTTTCTCTTCTAAGAGGTTCAGTGTGACTGGATTTATGTTGAGGTCTTTGATCCATTTGGACTTAAGCTTTGTGCATGGTGATAGGTATGGATGTATCTGCAATCTTCTACATACCAGCATCTAGTTATGCCAGCACCATTTCTTGAAGATGCTTTCTTTTTTCCATTGTATAATTTTAGCTTCATTGTCAAAAATTATGTGTTCGTAGGTGTGTGGGTTAACATCTGGATCTTCAGTTTGATTCCATTGGTCTATCTGTCTATTTTTGTGCCAATACCAAGCTGTTTTCAGAACTGTAGCTCTATAATAAAGCTTGGTATCAGGGGTGGTGATGCTCCCAGAAGTTTCTTTATTGTACAGGGTTTTTTTTGGCTATCCTGGGTCTTTTGTTTTTCCATATAAAGTTGAGTATTTCAAGGTCTGTGAAAAATTGTGCCAGTGTTTTGATGGTGATTGCATTGAATCTGTAGATTGCTTTTGGCAGGATTGCCATTTTTACTATGTTGGTCCTACCTATCATGTTGGTCCTACCTATCCAAGAGCATGGGAGATCTTTCGATTTTCTGGTATCTTCTTTAATTTCTTTCTTTAAAGACTCGAAATTCTTGTTATACAGGTCTTTCACTTGTTTGGTTAGTGTTACCCAAAGATATTTTGTTGTCTGTGGCAATTGTAAAGGGTGGTGTTTCTCTGATTTCTTTCTCAGACCAGTAAGGCTACTGATTTTTTTTAGTTAGTCTTTTATCCTGCCACTTTGCTGAAGGTGTTTATCAGCTGTTGGAGTTCCCTGGTAGAGTTTTTTTTGGGGTCACTTATGTAAACTATCATATCATCTGCAAATAGTGAAAGTTTAACCTCTTTCTTTCCAATTTGTATTCCCTTGATCTCCTTTTGTTGCCTTATTGCTCTAGCTAGAACTTCAAGTACAATATTGAAGAGATATGGAGAGTGGACAGCCTTGTCTTGTTCCTGATTTTAGAAGAATCACACTGAGTTTCTTTCCATTTAGTTTGATGTTGGCTGTTGGCTTACTGTATATTGCTTTTATTATGTTCAGGTATGTTCCTGTTATCTCTAATCTCTCCAGAGCCTTTATCATGAAGGTGTGTTGGATTGTGTCAAAGACTCTTTCAGCATCCAGTGAGATGATCATGTGATTTTTGTTTCTCAGCTTGTTTATATGGTGGATTACATTGATGGATTTTCGAATGTTGAACCATCTGTGCATCCCTGGGATGAAGCCTAGTTGATCATGGTGGATGACTTTTCTGATATGTTCTTAGATTCAGTTTGCCAGTATTCTATTAAGTATTTTTTGCATCAATGTTCATGAGGGATATTGGTCTGAAGTTCTCTTTCTTTCTTTCTTTCTTTTTTTTTTTTTTTTTTTTTTTTTTGGTTTTTCGAGACAGGGTTTCTCTGTATTGTTTTGGAGGCTGTCCTGGAACTCACTTGTAGACCAGGCTGGCCTCAAACTCTCATAGATCTGCCTGCCTCTGCCTCCCGAGTGCTGGGATTAAAGGCATGAGCCACCAAGCCCAGCATTCCACTCCCCTTTTTTGAGATAAGAATTTCATGTATTTCATGCTGGCTTTTGATTCAGGTATCCAAGGATGACCTTGAACTTTTGGTCTTAGTGCTAGGATTGCAAGCATGTGCCACTGTGCCTGCTTTATGTGGTGCTGGGGATATGACTTAGAGTTCTCTATATGCTAGGTAAACTACCAACTAAGCTACACTGTCAGCCAACATTACCTGGTTTTTGTTTTTTAAGATGGGTTTGTTAAGGCCATGGTAAGGATGCAGAAGTTCTTACTAGTTGGGATTTTATTAAATGAAAATTCAGGGCATTTTGGGGGAATACATGACTATGGTTTACTTAAGTTCTGTCTGAAAAGGTATGCGCAGCAAAGTCTACAGTACAAATTACTGAGGGGTGAGCTCCAAGTCTTTGATATTTGCTTAAGTGTCCTTCAAAATACATGTTTTATAATAACAAAGAACCTGTGTGGTAAAAACCCAAAGTCATATATTGTTTTTTATAAATGAGACACCTAAATCAAAATAACTCAGGATGTGGAGATAAAAAAAAAGAAAGGATATCTTGAACAATGGCAACAAACGTACTGTACCTAGAGTAGTGAGTGTAAAACAGTTCACATTGATGAGATGTAATCTGAAAGGAAATAGTTAAAATGCTTGTAGGCAAAGCTTTGAGGTCTATAAAGAAAGCGCTGACAGGATGCAGGCATGAATTGACAGTCCCACAGTCTTGATGGCAGACTCGGCATTTCCCATGACTCAACAGTTCTGGGAGTTTAAAAGCCAGTACACAATTTCAGTACAAAATTAAATACTTGTAAAGAAGGAGGCACATTCTTCAAAACTTACACAAACCAACTTGCAAGTGTTGATTTTAAGTATCCTACAAGGAAGACTTCAAGGTAGGATTTCACTGCTTCCCTCCTATGGAGATGCTGTAACTGTGAAGATTCAGAAGGCACTGGATTGCTTTTTAACGCTCCTGTGTATTTTGTGGTAGGAACCGCAGCAGTGGGACATACGGACAAGATTGGACGTCTGAAAGAGCTCTGTGAGCAGCATGGCATCTGGCTCCATGTGGAAGGGTGAGCAGCCTGCAAGGCTGGCCAGTCCCATGCTGTCCTCATGGGGAGGGGACACTCAGAGCAGCACCCAGCACCCAGCACCCAGCGATGTTTATCCTTAAAGGCTAAAGCAAAAGGAGATTTTATTGCTTTGTACAACTGTATTAGGACTGGCTTTAAGCACAGTGTCAACCAGCACCCCGTATGTTCCTCTCCACGTCCCCCCAGTCACGGTCACTTGACTTGGTTTCCTATGCTGTGGCTCATGGAGAGACATTTCCTATTGTGGTAAGAAGTGACTACAGAAATCCTAGTCCCCGGTCCAGCTTCATGTCCGTGGGTCCCTCTGGTCGTTGAGACGCTTTGGACACCTCTGACGTGGGTGGGTGACTCCGCCTGAGCTCAGAGTCCAGCAAAGGTGATAGCGTGGTTTGCCGGGTGAGCCCGGAGTGTGTGTAGGGAGAGGAGGAGCAGGTGCAGGGCAGCCACATGCCCATGTGACCTCATCATCCAAGACAGGAAAGGACGAGCGGCCGAGGAAGAGTGCCCGTGAAAGACGCACTCTAGACAAGCAGGGCAGCCCTAAAGCATGGTGGGCTTGTTTGTTTGTTTGTAAGTATATTCTGAAGCTTTGTTAGAAGTCCTATAGTGCCCATCTTTCGCTTTAATAAATGCTGATGAAACAAAAGACAAAGGTGAAGATGTTCACATGTCATCTTGTGACGGCTCAGCTGGTTCTTTCTGTCTTGTAGAGCACCTACTTAGGGAATAAGTGACATTACCTATTTGTTCTTAGACTAGCCCTTTTTCTTCCAGTGTGACGCTGGCAACATTGGCTCTAGGCTATGTCTCCTCGCCTCTGCTGGTATGTTGTTGGCTTTACTGAATATTGGTGGCGATAAGGCCTTTCTGTAGTTTTCACGGCTACAGGAGGGACTGTGTTTTGTGTCCTCTGGTCACCTAATGAACGAAGCTCTCTTTTTGGTAGGCTGCAACCAAATGTGACAGCATGACTCTGACTCCTGGCCCGTGGCTAGGTTTGCCAGCCATGCCTGCAGTGACACTCTACACACATGACGACCCTGCCTTGGTGAGCTGACTGTCGCTAGGGAGTGAATGGTATTCGTAATTGCCCTCCGGGATAGACTATAGAGAGAGCAAGGGTTTTTCTCTTAATTCTTCTTCTGTTCTTAGTTCTACTTCTGTTACCTTTTTTAAGTTACTTTTTTTTTGGCAAATGTACAAAACAATGGGTTTCATTATAGCCTTTTTGATACATGTATATTATACCTGGCTCATACCCTCCATCGCCATTTCTTTAAAGTGGGTATAACAGCCCCCACCTGTAATCCCAGTACTCAGAAGGCTAAGGTAATACAATCTCAAGTCTAAGGCTATCTTGGGTTACATATCAAGTTCTAGGATAGACATAGTGAGACCCTGTGTCAAAAATTAAAAAAAAAAAAAAACCAATTGCTGGAGCTTTTGCCTAGCACGCTTGAAGCCCTGGATACCATGCTCAGCACCACATAAAATAGGTGTGGTAGAATGTGCCTGCTGTTATGCTAGCTTAGGAGGTTGACAAGAAGATCAGGAGTTCAAGGCCAACCTGGGATACATAGGTTAAAAAAAGTCGAATCCATACTTTTTAAAAAAAACATTGAGGGTGGTGGCGGGGAAGCTCATGTACCGCGGTACTCGTGGCGGTCAGAGGGTGACTTTGTGAAAGTCTCTCCCTCACCTCCCCTTGAGAGCTAGTAATCAAGCTCCCACGAGAGCCATCTCCTCAGCCCAGGAACCCACACTTTAAATATTTCAGGTATGCCCTGTATTCCCTCGTATATATGAAAGATTATTTTTGTGTGTGGCATTTTATGACTGATTTTCTTTCTGTTGCTTGATCACATTTACTTAAAAATGGTCATTTGTGAGCTTTTAGGGTGTTGCCAAGTTTTTGTTTATAAGACAATAAACATCCTTTTACATATTGAATTATTTCCAGAGATTAGATTCCCAAAAGTAGAATTACCATTTAAGTCCCCTGATCCTTATTTCCCAGGACAGGTTGTAACATAATATTTCAGTTTAAACCCTAAATTGTGTTTTTTGGCAGATGTGTTAGTGATAGGTACATGCAAAGTAAATGTTTAATCATTGCTGCTTTAACCGTTGATATCTTGCTTAGTTGAAAATGGCCAATCATAACAAAGATGATCATAGTAACTTGTCAAGAGGCTGCCCCCTAAGTGGCTAGGAGCCGTGGCTCTAGAACACACCTCATCTGGATTCTCCCCTGGAGTAGCTGCCTCTCTTCATCGGGAATGCTTGAGCACACCTGGGGCTCTGAGCTGGCTCACCTAGGGTAGTTGTTGAAGGTCAGATGGATAATGCAAGCCCAGTACCCAGCATGGCGTTGGATGCCTCCCGTGTGTGGTGGAGAGTAGCTGGTCAGTGCATTTGTCTGTCTCTTTTAGACTCTCGTAGCTGGTCTTACATCCAACAAGCCTGCAGACAAGCTCCGAGCCCTGCCGCTGTGGTTGTCTCTACAATACTTGGGCCTTGATGGCATTGTGGGAAGAATAAAGCACTCCTGTCAGCTGGTGAGTAGACGTGTGAGCGTTAGAGACTTACAGAGGCCCCTCAGAAGCAGACACGGGGAAAGCTCACTCTGGTCTATCTGTCAGTATCTTGGCGCCTTGGTGTTCCATCTCATCAGCAAGCAAGCTAGGTGCTCCTTGTGTATGTGCATGTTCCTTAAGAGTGCTGGGAATGACTGGTGGCATTGGCCAACATTACTTCCTGGTAAAAAAGTGTCACAAGATGACTTCCAGAGAGAGAAGGTGCATAAATACTGCTCTTGGCTGACTGGCCTTCCGGGGAGACGGAGTATAGAAGTTGAAAATTGAATGTAGAGGCCTGGTTTGGTGGCCCACACCTTTAATCTCAGCATTTGGGGAGGCAGAGCTAGATGGATCTCTTGAGTTTGAGGCCAGCCTATGCCTCTATAGCAAGTTCCATGAAAGTCAGGACTGTATGGAGAGACCTTGTCTCAAAACAAAAGGATAAAAAATAAAACTTAAAAAAAGGAAGGAGAAAAAATAAAATTCAATGTAAGTGGCATTTTTATATGTGTTTTTATTAATGGTTTTAGAATTTCATATATTGTATTTTCACTCCCCTCCCCTATCTCTTGCAAACCCCATTCCATTCCATGCCCACCTGACTGTCTGTTTTTGTTTGTTTTGTTTTTTGCCTATCAAGTTCCATTCATGCTGCCAATACACTCTTGTGTGTAGCCATTCACAGAGCCACACCTTAAAGGCAGGAAACCCTCCCTCTCCCAGTGGCTCCCAGTACCAACAGCTCTAAACTGCTAGGCTTGGGTATTTTTTTACGGTCTATTTTATTTATGTGTATGAGTGTTTTACCTGCATATGTGTTTGTGTACCATGTGCATGCCTGGTGCCCTGAGGCCAGAAGAGGGCGTTGGATTCCCCTGGAACTGGAGTTTCAGGGTTGAGAGCCATCATATGGTACTGGAAATGGAACCTGGGTCCTCTGCGAGAGTAGCCAGTGCTCTTAACTGCAGGGCCATCTCTCCAGCTCCCAGATATGAGTATTTTTAATATAGTAGTTTGTTTTCTATTTGTAAGGTTCTGGGGACAAATCTCTCTTTATATTAGAGGTATTCTGAGGATGGAAAACATAAATTTTGTTATAGGTTAATGTCATCTGTTTGGTTGCTATAACAAAATACCTTGGACTGGGTAATTTGAGAGTCATGTTGCTTATATTTGTAGATGCTCAAATCTGAGGTCAAGATGTCAGTAGATTCAGTGTCTGCTGAAGGTCTTAGATGGTACCGTCTGTGTATTCTCACCTGGAAACAGGGAAAGCACTCCCTTCTGTTTTGTTTGCTTTTTTCATTTTGTTTTGTTTTTGAAACTGTTTCTCTGGTAACAGCTATGGATGCCCTGAAACTTGTAGACCAGGCTGACCTCAAACTCATAGAGAGCTGCCTACCTTTGCCTCTCTAGTGCTGGTATTGATGGTGTGCCCCCCACCGCCATCCGTCACCCCTTCATCCTCTTTTTATAAGCATGTTCACAAATCTTTTATAGTGAATCCTTTTTAGTGCATGATGTTCGACCCATCATATACTAACCACTTTCATAGGAATATCATTGTTTAGGGTATTAGGTTCCAGCATAGCAATTTTGGACAGACACACATATTAAGAACTTTGCCCTTAAAAATAAAAAAGTCAAATTAGGTACGGTAGCTCAGGCCTGTTTTCCAAACATTTAAGATGCAGGCAGAGGCGGGAAGACTAAGGTTCAAGGCCAACTTTAACAGCATGACTGTAGTCCCAGCTTTCATGAGGTGGGGGCAGGAAGATCAGGAAGGAGACCAGGACCAGTCTCACTACATAGTGAGCTTGAAGACATCCTGGGTTACATGAGAAGCCATCTTAAAAAGGGAAAACAGTCATATTTGTGTGGTGTGAACATTGATCCCTGTGTGGTTTAAATACACGGTGTCATCTTTTGACGTCTTTATTTTCTCCCCTGTGATATGTAATAATAGTTTAAGTAATGTATGTTAAACTACTAAGTAGCACTTGGTCACATAAATTATTCATGTAAGTTTAAATCTTTGTTGAAGTGTATTTGGGTTGTGGTTGCAGTCAGTGGTAGAGCCCACACTTGGTATGTGCAAGGCCCTGGTTCAGCCTCAGGACCCAGACAAATTCTCCACGGTTTCTCTCCACACCCAGGATATAGGCATTTTCTCCTGTTGTTTTTATACTTAAGAAAAATTAGTATTTCATCCTTTGTTTATAGATTCATTCCTTTCTATATTAATTTTAAGGTTTATGTTTATAAAAATCATTTTTAAAAAAGTGTTTTCAGCCGGTCGGTGATGGCACACGCCTTTAATCCCAGCACTCGGGAGGCAGAGGCAGGTGGGTCTCTGTGAGTTTGAGACCAAGCCTGGTCTACTGAGCAAATTCCAGGGCAGACTCCAAAACAATACAGAGAAACCCTGTCTTGAAAAACCAAAAAAAAAAAAAAAAGTGTTTTCATCATGCTGTTGGCTCATATCATGATTTTGTTCTTAGGAAATATAAGCCTTTACTACCATAGCAACCTAGTCAAATTGGGGGAAGATTTGAGTTCTCACAGGAGAGGTTAGATTCCCCTTGACTTTAGGAGTGTAGGAAAATAATGATGATATTAACTACCAAACCCTTTCGGTTACTACAGCTCTGGAAACTGCCTATAACCCAAACTGTAGCTAATCTCCAGTGGTCTTGTGGGTTTGAATGACAGCCAGCCTGGGTACCTGTGAAACTATGTGGGGCATTAGCAGGTGTCTTCATGTTCACGTCTTATAGTCCATACTGTGTCATGCATTCCTGATAAAAGAAAGCTCTCTTGTGATTCCTCTCCTCCTCCTGTGTCCTCTTTGATCATGTGTGGCAGCTGCTGAGCATTTACTCAGTGCCAAACACCATGAAACATTTGCATCATTCCATATGATGCCCACAATTTCACTAGAACGTAGGTTTTACTGATGACACATTTCAAGTGGGGTTCCTTGAGGAGCAACATGCAATATCGAGTATCTGCTGAATTCATAGGCCTCTATTCCCTGAGTTAGGGACTATAGTGACTCTCCTATCAGGGTTATTGGCTTGAGACTGTATAGTAATGGTAGTTGTATCCATCCTCATGGCTTGGCATGCCATATGCCTTCACTTGCTAGCCCTACATGTGAAAGATTAAAAAAAAATATACAAATGTTGAATTATAAAAATTGGAATCACCAAGTTGCAGATGCCTTTGTCTGTCTAAGTGCTTATTTGTGTACTGCAAAGACCCTTGTGAAGCTTGCTGACATATCATGCCAGTCTAGTAAAGTTGTGCACTTTTTATGTTGTTGTTTGTAATATATCATGCCAGTCTAGTAAAGTTGTGCACTTTTTATGTTGTTGTTTGTAATATATCATGCCAGTCTAGTAAAGTTGTGCACTTTTTATGTTGTTGTTTGTAATATATCATGCCAGTCTAGTAAAGTTGTATACTTTTTATGTTGTTATTTGTAGAGTCAACGATTGCAAGAAAGTTTGAAGAAAGTGGACCACATCAAAATCTTGGTATAGTATATTATTTTCTTTTTTGTGAGGAGGATGGTTCAAGACAGGGTTTCTTGGTATAACAGTCTAGACCAGACTGGCCTCGAACTCACAGAGATCCGCCTTCCTCTGCCTCCTGAGTGCTGGAACTAAAGGCATGCGCCACCATCAGCAGCAGTATGTAATTTTCCCTGCTTTTGCATTAAGTTTTTAGCTCCAGTAAAGAAAATGATTTTCCCCAAGTGTTATAACATTTCATTTGAGTTGTGACAGTTCCACTGAACAACAGTCTTAGGAAGGAATCACACATATGTTTATGACCTAATTATATAGTTAGTCTGAAATTTAAAAATCTGTACCAAACTATGTTTAAATTTTAAATTCCTGTAATTCTTTTAAACTCTAGAATTTCACAAAGATCTTGGGTAACTCCTTTGACTTCACCTTCCAAGGACTTGAGGTCACCCATCCTTGGCGATGACTGTCTCAGAACACTCTGGGCTGCCTTCTGAAACCTGCTCAAAGTGGAGCAATAAAGAAAAAGCAAATGCCCCACATCTTGTCTTCTGGGATCTTTGCTCCCTCAAGTAGTAACTCACAAGGAGATAGGCACTTAGCAGGACTCACAAGTAGAAGTATCAGTCTAGGAGTGTAGCTTCTCACATTTTGCTTCATGGTATTTTAGAATTTCAGGAAATAAATAGGTCAGGTTTTTATTTAAATGTGCTCACTGAGTGTTTCTTTGGCACTTTTGCAAAACATAGGTTTATTCCAAAGTTGATCCTTGAGTTTATTTGGGTTCCAGATTATTATAATCACTTTTGTTTAGAATTGGTTGCAAGGTAGAAGTCAGTACTGGGGAGCAGGCACTCTGCATTGTGCTCTGAAGCCTGTCAGCTTGCTGCATTCTGTTGAGAGGAAACTTGGAAGAGGTTAGTGGGCCATTGGAGGAGACTTGAGTTCTGCTCTTAGCAGACCCCGTGACACTGACTCATTTTCTTATTTTCATAAGATTGTTTGTATTTTTTGTGTATGGATGTTTTGTCTGCAAGTATGTTTGTTCACCATGTGTGTTGAGGTCAGGAGAAACCACTGGTTCCCCTGAAATGGAGGAAACGGAGCCACAGACGGTTGTGAGTCACCATGCGGATGCTGGGAATTGAACCCAAGATCTCTGGAAGAGTAGCCAGTGACTGCACCACCTCTCTCCACCCCCTGAGTTATTTTCTTAGCCTCTCATTCTGTTGTCTTAGCTGTCAAATGAAAGTGCATTGGTTGGACACCTCTGCCTGCAGAAGAGATTCAAAGTGGAGTAGAGTGAGCTGTTAGGAATCGAGGCAGTACTATGCCCGTGTGGTTTCCTTCCCCTTGCCGAGCCCCTCAGGCTCTCCTCATGTCCCACCTTAACCTTCAGTTCTCTTGGAGTGTCTTTGTAAAACTGCCCTGAGCCCAGCAGACCCTCCAGCACCCTTCTTTCAAAGGCCGCTTCCTGCAGGGGAGGACACGCAGCGAACAAGGAAGGTAGCGTGTCAGTCACCAACTGTCCCAGCTACTGTGGGCTGCTTGTCACCAACAGTCAGCACATCGCACCCAGAACCTGTGCCGCATTGTTTGCTTAATCCCACAGCAGCCTCCTTTGTTCCCTCTGCTTGGAGACACTCACTGCTCCCCATTTCTTCTCTTGACGGGGTTGTCAACTTTCAGGTCTCCCTTCAAGCGTCTCCTCTTCAAGAAGCCTCCCCTCAGCACCTGGAGGTCACACACATAGGACATGCATCGCTTGAGTCCCTGGGATTTCTCTTCTTCCCTGAACTTATTTTTACTCAGGCTCTGTGTGTGTGTGTGTGTGTGTGTGTGTGTGTGTGTGTGTGTGTGCGCGCGCGATGTAAATATAAATCTATCATATAGTTGTCTCTTTTCCTGCAGAAGCTTCATTAAAGGCTCTGTGTAAATCCACCATCCACCGCATGGGCATTAACATAGGGGACCTCAACAATAAACGCAGAGGCTCACAGCCTCTCATCTCCCTGTCCACGCAGTTCAGATCGTCTTCACAGCTGCTGGGCTGCATTGTTGTCTTGTTCCCTGTGTGGCCCTGGCTGTCCTGGAACTCACTCTGTAGATGAGGCTGGCCTCGGACTCAGGGATCCTCCGCCTCTGCCTCCCTCCTGCACCACCAGTCCATCTTTCACAGCTGCTTCTTCTGTTTACTCTTTTTTCTAGATTTATCTTGTTTTGAGCCCAGAAATGGTTTAAACTTTTTGTATTTAATTTGACTTAATGTAACGCTTCAGAATTTAGAATTAGAGAACTTGGTCTATTATGTTGGTAGAATCTTGCTTTCTGTATGTAACTCTGCACAGTATTTCTTGTGCACATTGACACTGAGATCAAAGTTCAAAGAAGAAGGAAATGGTGATTAGAATATATATATTATAATTACATGATTATATAGCGCATAATTATGTGATCTCACACACACACACACACACACACACACACACACACACACACACACACACGCACGCACGCACGCACGCACTTTGTGGACTGGATCACTCTGCCTTACCTCAAAAGATGGGGAGGTTATTTTGCCACCATTTAGTTTTTTCTTCCTATGACCTTACCCCGTTCTACTTAAACAATAAGTCCTTACTCTCTTAAAGGCATTAGTAATTTTATTTATGTGAAAGTTAGAGATGGCAGATGTAAAAGCATTTTAATATAAGAACCAGCTCAATAAATAATTAGCAAATTTAAATATAAATCTTGCTAGATCAGAATCTCCTCTACATATATCTCCTTAAAGTGTTTGAGCCAGACTTGGTGGTGCACAACTTTTTTTTTTTTTTTTTTTTTTTTTTTGGTTTTTACGAGACAGGGTTTCTCTGTATTGTTTCAGAGGCTATCGGTCCAGTCCCGCCTTGAACTCACAGAGATCCGCCTGCCTCTGCCTCCCGAGTGCTGGGATTAAAGGCGTGCGCCACCACTGCCTGGCGGTGCACAACTTTTAACACCAGCAGATGGGAAACCAAAGCAGATTTTTGTATAAATTCCAGGCCAGGGGTCTACATGTTGAGTTCTAAGCCAGCTAGCACTGCATAGTGAGGGAACTTATCTGTGAGTTAGCACTTCCTGTTGTGGTCCTATTAAGTGAGTTATCAGCCATAGCATAATTCAAAGCAGAATTCATGACTACAGTGATAGATTACAACTGTTAAATGCTGAAAGAAAGCATCCCCAAAGCTTTATGCAACAAAATGCCACAGAGCCTGCTAGCTGTTGCTGCTTGGTGTGTACCATGGCTGTGTGGTACAGCCTGATGCTTGGCTGTAAAGAGAAGCTTTTTCCTTGAGAAGAGCCTTCCCGCCAGCCTGGTTCCAGAGCCGCATCAGTCCCAAATAAACACACAGGAGGCTATATTAATTATGAAGCTGTTGGCCTTGCTTGTTTCTTACTGGCTAGCTCTGACTTAAGTAATTACCCCATAATTGTTAATCTAAGTATGTCTCTTACCAGAGAATAGTTCCGGGCTTCCTACCCCGTGGCGTTACATGTTGACTCTCTTGTGTTTCTCCTTCCCAGAGTCCTTCTGGACTCCTAGTCCCTCCTATCTAGATTCCCTATTGGCCAGACAGTGCTTTATTGACAAATGCACAGGACTTCCCCAACAGTTGGCTTATGCCATTGTAATGCAGTGAGCATTGTCATCAGTTAGGAAACACGTTGAGCTACTTGTCTGACAATGCTTCAGCATATGTTAGACTGTGGGTACATGCATTGCTGGAAGGACTTGATTCCTGTTCTAAAAGCAGTGCCTGTAAAAAAAATCCCTGATTTAGGCTGGAGAGAGATGGCTCTCCAGTTAGGAACACTTTGCTGCTCTTGTAGAACACCCAGATTTGCTTCTCAGCACCTTCACAGTGGCCCACAACTATCTGTAGCTAGAGTCACTACAAGGGACCCAGTATCCTCTTCAGGCCTCTGTGGGTACCAGGCATAAACATGGTTCACACACATGCATGCAGACAAAACACTCCTATGCATGTTTTTAAGGCTGCTGGTTTGCATGATTTTATAGGGTTTGTTGGGTCCAGAGGGTAAGGAACCATCATTTTCATTTCAAATGGCCAGTTACAGCCTTTGAGCTTTTTAACATTCCTATGAACAAGCAGCATCTCTGCCTCTTTTTTCCAAAGATACCACCTCATCCTGTAACAGCCTGTTTCCCTTTCTGCAGATGGAAGGTGAGCTCAGTTCTCCAGTAGTGGTGTTCAGATTTTTCCAAGAATTACCAGGTTCAGGTAGGTGGTTTAAAAAAGTATCTATGTTTCAGGCTTTAATATTATATGAAATCAAGTAAATAGTCTATACGTTTTTATTGCAAAACATCTTCAGTCATTTCTTTGGAAGCATAGTGTGTTAAATCCCTATGACCAAACCAAGGGTTCCCAAATGCCATTGCACAGCCTGTGCTGAGCCAGTTAGAGCACACAGGGCTTAGTGCGCCAGTTGTCAGCTCTACGAGAGCTCCTCTAAGGAGAGCGACTTCTTCGTTTGTTCTTTTGGTTTTTTTTCTGAGACAGGGTTTCTCTGTAGCCTTGGCTGTCCTGGAACTCGCTCTGTAGACCAAGCTGGCCTCAAACTCACAGAGATCCACCTGCCTCTTCTCCCAGAGACTGGGATTAAAGGTGTGCACCACCACACCTGGCAAGAGTAATTTTTTAAGAAATGGAAATAAAGAAGTGTGTTTGTGGGGATGTTTTTAGAAATGACATAATGAGGGGAAACTGTGGGACATTAAGCCTCCTATTCTCCTGTTACATTCTTAGCCCCTACTTCTCAAGTATTTTGCTTAAGGAGGTCTCCTCCCCCACCCCACCCCCTTCTCATTTTGACTGGCCTGGAACTTGCTATATAAACTAAGTTTAGTCTCAAATTCACAATGATCCACCTGCCTCTGCCTCCCAAGTACTGGGATTAAAGGTGTGCACCACCTGGCTTTCTTATTTTTTTCTTACCTTTGAGAGTTAATTGTCCCCTGGGGCCCAGGCTGGCCTTGAACTCATAACAACCCTCTGGCCTCAGCTTATAGCTGTGTACCACCAAGCTGGTGTCAAAAGCAGATTTTAAAAGAAAGAAAAGAAGGAAGAAGGAAGGAAGGAAACAAACTAGGAAATTAAGAATTCTTTTCTAAGCAGGCAGAGGTAGTACAGTTCTGTAGACACAGCACTTAGGCAGAGGCAGGCGGATCTCTGTGAGTTCAAGGTCAGCCTGGTCTACAGAGCAAACGCTAGGACATCCAGGGTTACACAGTGAAACCCTGTCTTGGGAAACCAGAGTGGGCAGGAAGAATCCTGTTCTAAAAACCCTACTGAGAAGTCACTTAGTTCATCAGAAAAGTGTAGGACCTTAACCTCCCAGACATTTTGACTCCACTAATATATGATGCTGTTCTTGTAGGACTCACACTAGCACCTACCTGAAATGAGATTGAGTTGTAATGTTTACTGTAGCCTTGTTTGTGGGAAGTAATCCCTTCTGTGTTTGGCCTCAGATCCGGCCTTTAAAGCTGTCCCAGGATCCAGCGTGGCCCCTGCAGCCGTCGGCCGGGAGAGAGATTCCTGTGATGCACTGAACCGCTGGGTAAAGATGGCTGCTGTCTACTTTCTCTTGTTTGATCTGGGGCAGTGTCCCCTGGCCTCACTCCTGCCGATACACGGTCATCTGTGGTCACAGCCACAGGAAGGTGCCTCTTACAGAGAGACCACAGTTGTTCTCTTCTCAGTCAGACCAGCACCTCACACACTGTCACTTGGCAAGTCCCCGCTCTCCTGGGACCATTGCCTGCCTGCGGGGTGAGGCTAAATACAACGCAGCATGCACATAAAGCCCAGACTTCAGGGCCTGCTTTGGGCAACAAGCGTGTGCCTAAAGCTGGGCGTGGTGGCGCACGTCTCTAATCCCAGCACTCGGGAGGCAGAGGCAGGCGTGTCTCTGTGAGTTTGAGGCCAGCCTGGTCTAAGAGTGAGTTCCAGGACAGCCAGGGCTACCTAGTAAGACCTTGTCTCAAAGAAACAGAACAAACAGTGCATCAGAGGACACTGGTGTCCCCTGAGCACCTGTGCAGCCAGGCGAAGTGGGCCAGCGCAGCACTCTGCTTTAGCGGCTTTTTGGACACTTACGTGTAATACCTCTAGACGTTAGACTTCAAGTGTTCTCAATAGGGTGACGATGTTGTCAGGGCTCCTATTGCTGTGAAGAGACACCATGACCATGGCAACTCTTATAAAGGAAACCATTTTTAAAGGTTTAGTCCATTACCATCATGACAGGGAGCGTGGCGGCTGGGAGTATGGCAGTGTGCAGGCAGACGTGGTCCTGGAATGGTAGCTGAGAGCCCTACATTTTGCAGGCAACAGGAAGTGGTCTGCCTCATTGGGCGTGGCTTAAGCACATATGAGACCTCAGAAAGCCAGCTCCACAGTGACAGACTTCAACAAGACCACACCTACTATAAAAGGCCACACCTTCTAATAGTGCCACTCCCTTTGGGGGCCGATTCCTTTCAGACCACCCCAGATGTTCACAGCAGCATCATTTCCTGGGCTCTGGTAAATATATAACACATCCTTGCAGTGCCATTCAAAGAAGCCATTATAAACCTGTAGACATGTAGGAAGTTTGTTCTCCCAGTCCCCAAATGAACCACACATGGAGTCTTATTCTTAGTCATGAATGCCCAGCCTTCGTTTGGCTTGTTTCTAGCCAACTTTTCTTAATTAACCTGTCTACCTTTTCCCTCTGGGTCTTTATGTTTCTGTGACTTCTGTAAGTCTTCTCTGTGGGTGGCTGTGTAGCTGGGTGACTGGGTGGCTGGCCCAATGTCCTCCCCTCCTTGTTCTCTTGCTCCTCCCTTTCCTGGGTTCTCCTTCTACTTAGACTCTCTGCCTGCCAGCCCCATCTATACTCTTACTGCCTCACTATTGGCCGTTCCGCTGCTTATTAGACAGGCAAAGAATCATAGCTTCAATGAGTTAGACAAATGCAGCATAAACATGTCACATACCTTAGAATAATGATACCACATTTATCCTTTTGTCTGAATAAAAAGAAATGAAAGGTTTTAACTTTAATAAGACTGTACACAGTAAGAACAGTTATCAAGTAAAGAGTACATTCACAGTGTAACGAGTTCCAGTTCATTTGTGTCTGGCAAATTAAAAGAAAATACTCCGTAATCCTATCTTAGTAAATCCAAATTTTTCAATTTAACTTTCTATCATAGCTAAGGAAAACTGCAACTATAACTATCTAGTCTTCAACTCCATCAAAGGCACCAGAGGGCTATAATATTATTTTAGTAAACAAAAAATGCATTGCAGACAACTTCCAGAAACTCTAGAAATGACAGGGATATCGGACTGCCTGACAGTCACTCAAAGTTCCCCTGCAACGCTGGGGCATCCATCTTCAGTCCACAAGCCCTAATATCTAGCAGACCTCTCAGTGAAGCAGGAAATTTGAAAGACTATCCTGCCTGTATTGACAGTTGTCAGTCTCCTGTGTGTCCTGCAGAATGCCTGGCAGTTTCTTCTGGGATGAAGGACCATCCCGCCTTGTTCTGGCAAAGTTCCGTGGTCACTTGCCTGTGGGTCCTGCATATGCAGTCCACACAGCACACCGTAAACAAAGGCAAGAGCAGTTTCTTCGCCCAGTGCTAACCTTCCACAATGAAAGCACACTCCATAAGGAGTTTCTTCAGTGCCCACCATCTCTCAAGTAAATTGGTGCTGCCAGGAGCAGATGTGTCTCGTCGCCATGAAAAGCTCTAACAAAATGTTTTAAATGCCATATTCTGAAGGTCTTTGAAAGGTTTGAAGACCATCTATCTACAATATCTACAAGTTTGATAGTTATTGATGACTACTAACCTGTGTTTCTTGATTACTTAACCAGTTCATAATAATCACTTTCTAAACTAGAATTTTACCTTACATTTTTAAGTGAACTGCTTACATACCTTAAATAAGAGCAGAAAGGTATACACAATATGTTGTAACTAAAATAACCTTAAATTTGTATCAATATACAAAAATCCTTTAAACAAGAATAGAAACACATATACAGTGTGGTAACAAAAATGATCTTAAATTTGTATCAGTAACAGAAGTCCTTTAAACAAAGAGTAGAAGCATACAGTGTAACAAAATTGGCTTTGAATTTGTATCCATATACCAAAATCCATGCCAATACAAAATATCTGAGATAAATAGTTGTTTTTATCCTACATTCCCCTAAATTATAATAAACGTCTATAACCCACAAAATAAGCAAAGACCACCCACACCCTTTTTCTCCTGGGACTGTGGGTGCAGTCCTCTCCATACCATTTCCTGCTGGCTGTGGGTGAAGGCATCCCCAGGGGTTCCTGAGAAAAATTAGAAATAATAACCAAATCCTGGTTAGACTAGCTATAACCTTAGCTGGTTAATATCACCTGTCAAGTTTCAGTGGCTCTCCCCTGATCAGACCAGATCCATATCAACCTAGAAAGAATCCACAGCCTCCCCCACCCATGGAAACAAGAGCAAAACCACTTCTCCAAAGCATTTTTGATTTCTGTTTGATAAATACATTTTTTTTAAAGTTAAGCATTCTTAAAATGTCTAGGCTGGTTTATTTCCACAGTCCCTCTTTCAATTTCAGGTCTCTTAGCAGCTGTCCTTGTTTTTCAACAATCAAAAAATTCAGAAACAGCATAATAGCATACAGGATCCAGGCTCCCTGGATTTCCCATCTTTACATGGCTTTTTTCTTTTATATTACTTGTACTGTCTGTTTAAAGACTTGTACTGTCTGTTTAAAGATTTTTAAACTCTTGCTTTCTGTGACTGTCAGTAGCCATTTTCTTTCTTTCTTAAGCCTACCACATTTTTAAACACACTGGAACCTATTCAGAGTTTTTTCTGCCTGGGGCCTTTTACTGCCTATCTTTTAGCCTTTCCTGATGGCGGGAGCAAAAGGTAAACTGTTAAGCCACTCCACCAGGCTCCTCCCCGGGCTGCCCTATAGGCTGGCTCCGCCCACTCTTGGGTTGGGTCCTGAAAGAAGCCTAAAGCTTGTATCCTGGTGGGAGGTGGGAGGTTCATGACTGAGAACTGCATTAAATCTTTCTAGTTATGGAAGCCAATACCTGAGTTGTTGCAAGCGTTTTTTACTTAGCTTGGCATTTCTGTTTCTATTTAGTGCTGCTGACTGAACAGCAGCGCCTCCTAGAGGAACTGTATGCTCTTTCTTCTTTCCTTTCTTCCTTTCTTTCCTTCCTTCCGCCTTTCTTTCTTTCTTTCTTCCTTCCTTCCTTTCCTTCTTCCTTCCTTCCTTTCTTTCTTCCTTCCTTCCTTTCCTTCTTCCTTTCTTTCTTTCTTCCTTCCTTCCTTTCCTTCTTCCTTCCTTCCTTCCTTCCTTTCTTTCTTTCTTTCTTTCTTTCTTTCTTTCTTTCTTCCTTCCTTCCTTCCTTCCTTCCTTCCTTCCTTCCTTTCTTTCTTCTTCTGCTTTCTGAGGCTGTAGATGACTATGAGAGCCCCGTGACACTTCACCACTTAGAACAATATTTTACAAAGATGGACATGATCAGCACAAATTAGATGGGGAAAAATGCAGGCCATTGGGACTGGGTAGGCGGCTCTGTATGGTAAAGTACTTGCAGTACAAGAATGGTACCCCAGTTCAAATGCCAGGGTCCATGTGAAAAAAAAAAAATAGCAAGGCACGGCAGAATGCCTACAGTCCAGCACTAGAGAGGCAGACGGGTGGTTCAGCGGGTTCACTAGCCAGACGGTATAAACAAATCGATAAGCTACAATTTCAGTGAGCAGAGGTCCTGTCTCAAAAAGTGAGGTGGCGATATGGTGTGTACTCACTCATAAGTGAATATTAGGATCACCAGCCTATAATCCACTAACCCCAGAGAAGCTAGGAAACAAGCAGGACCCTAAGAGAGACAGACATGGTCCCCCAGAGAAGGGGAAAGGGACAAGAGCTCCTGAACAAAATGGGAGCATGGGGGGGGGGGTAGTAGAAAGGGGGGAGAACATGAGGGGTCAGGAAGGAGAAGGAGAGAAAGAAAGGAGATACCTTGATAGAGGGAGCCATTATGGATTTAAAAAGAAATCTGGCACTAGGGAAATGTCCAGGGATCCACAAGGATGACCCCAACTAAGAATCTAAGCAATAGTGGAGAGGCTACCTTAAATGCCCTTCATGATAATGAGATTGACGACTACCTTATGTGTCAACCTAGAGTCTTCATCCAGTAGCTGATGGAAGCAGAAGCAGAGATCCACAGCTAAGCACTGAACAGAACTCCTGGAATCCAGTTATAGAGAGGGAGGGGTGATAAGCAGAGGGCTCAAGACCAGGCTGGGGAAACCCACAGAAACAGCTGACCTGAACAAGGGGGAGCTCAGGGACCCCAGACTGAGAGCCTAGGACCAAACCATGCTCCCTGAACGTGGGTGTCAGCTAGGAGGCCTGGGCAGTCTATGGGGCCTCTGGTAGTGGAACAGTATTTATTCCTAGTGCACGAATGGACTTTGGGAGCCCATTCCCTATGCAGGGACACTCTCTCAGCCTAGACACCAGGGGAGGGCCTAGGTCCTGCTTTAAATGATGTGACAGACTTTGATGATCCCCCATGGGAGGCCTCACCCTCCCTGGGGAGTGGATGGGGGATGGGATGGGAGGTTGGTGGGGGCATCATGGGATGACAGGAGGGAGAGGGAACTGAGACTGGTGTGTAAAATAAGATTGTTTTAAATTTAAATAAAATTATAATAAGGAAAAGAAGTAAGAATGACTGAGGAAGAGTCTGCATTGACCTCTGGCCTCCACGTATGCACGTACACACACACAGGTGTGTGCTGGCACACGCAGAGAAGAAGAGTGGGCTCCTAAAGTGTGTACAATGCCCTGTTTGTTACAACACAGGAAAGACCCTGGGGAATGTATTAGACATCAGCAGTCAGGGTTAAGGCAGTATGCTGTGAGTCATTTTTATTTCTCATTTTAACTATTGCATGTTTTTCTAAAGTGAATTTGTGTTTGGAATACATAAAAAGTACTGTTCGGTGGAAATTGGAAAAGGGCGGGACACACACACACACACACACACACACACACACACACACACACACACACACACACACACACACTGTCTCCTGGGCAGGGTCTGCTTTTAGGGCTGGAAACAAGAAACTGCTGTAAAGTACTGAAAGATGTCCTGGGGAATAAGGGAAACTAGCTCTTGGAGCCTCTGTAGTCTGCGCGAGGTCATGAGGGTGGGTGGTGAAGACGTTTAAGTCCCCTGTTGCAGGAATGGTCTCTGTCCTTCCCCTGCAGCTAGGAGAGCAGCTGAAACAGTTGGTGCCTATGTGTGGTCTCACTGTCGTGGACTTGGAGGTAGATGGTACATGTATGCGGTTCAGCCCTCTGATGACGGCAGCAGGTGAGGAGTTCCAGCTCTGCCCTGTGGCTAGGGCAAAAACAGTCCCCTTGTGCCTGCTGATGGCCAGCGGTCGGGTGATGGCTCTCCCTTACGCCCTCCTGCTCTCCTGTAGTTGCAGCATCTCCCTTTGTGGGAGCTTTTCTTTCAGCCTAAATTTAGGCTTCAGCATAACTTCTCAGTGCTAGAGTGAGACATCTGGAGGCGTCACTTCTGTGTGTTGACACCCTGTGACTCCAGGTTCTCTATTCTGGTTACTCCTCACATCCACGTGCACATCTGAGTAACCTGAGTAGCCTTCAAACGTCCAGCACCTCGACTGCAGCAGCGCACACAAGGCCTGCACGGGCTCAAGGCTGATTGGGTCCCACACTGAGAAGGGAGGAGGACAGGCCATCCCTGCCCCTTGTCTCTGCAACAAAAAGCTGTGTGCAGTTAAATACCTGCTGGCAAGGGGGCGTGCCAGGGCGGAGCTGGCAGCGCAGAGCTCGCTCGGTGGCCTTCTGTGAGCTTTTTAGTTCCCTTCTGCTTTGCTTTGCCCTTTTCCCTCCCTTCTGGGTCTTTTGCTTGTTTCAGGGTTAGATTTGGGGTGGAGGGGGCGATGTGTTTCTTGTTTGTTTTGGGTTTTTCCCCCCTCAGTTTTTTGTTTGTTTTAAAAGAGAAAACATAAAGTTGTGTAGGTAAGGAGGTGGAAAGATCTGGGAGGAAATGGGAGAGAGGAAATCATGATCAAATATATAAAGTGTTTTCAATAACAGAACCTCTTCCACCCCAATCAATCAAATCTTTCAGCAGCAGGGCCACCACCAGCATTTTGACACTGTGTATGTCTGGAATAGAGCCTAGACATGCCTTTATTATGTTTAATTACATTTTACTAGTATATAAGGTTGCAAGGTGTTTTAATACTCATCATTAAGGATAGAAACGTATAAGGCAGCATGGCAGTGGTGGCGCACACCTTTACTCTCAGCACTAGAAGGAGGCAGAGGCAGGTGGATCTCTGAATTCAAGCCAGCCTTGTCCACAGACTGGGTTCCAGGACAGTCAGGGCTACACAGAGAAACCCTGTCTCAAAAATTTTTTTTCAACTAATACTAAGAGCTTTGACCTTTGACCTTGTTGGTAGTCAGAGTCTCCCTTTCATGTACCCCCTCTAACCCACCATCAAGTCCTTCTTCAAGCATTTTTCGAACATTCTGTGGATGTTTTCAGGGTTGGGAACTCGAGGAGAGGATGTGGATCAACTCATCACCTGCATCCAAAGCAAACTTCCAACTCTGACCTGTACACTACAGCTGCGGGAGGAGTTCAGACAGGAGGTGGAGGGGACAGCCAGCCTCCTCTATGTTCACGACCCCAACTGGCCTGGAATCGGGGTTGTCAGGTACAAAGGACTACTTTCACAAGACAAGAGGGTCCTGATGCTTACATATCCAGGTGTTATTAGAGTATATTTGCTAAGAACTCACTGGGATGTTGTGGAGTATTTACAAAGGCCTAATGTAGACAGATAGTTTGGCCCACCATTGGGCTCAGTGGGTCGGGGGTCACTGTGTCTGCCCAGGGCAAACACGTATGAACAATTGGTTACTCTCTGGGAGGGATATACAGAGCTTTCCAGAGTAAGCCTGGTTCCCAGGGAGAGCTGCACTGACCTCACTGACTTCTGGGTCATCTTCCTTTCCTCTCACTTTTCCTCCTTCCTTGCAAATAAAAGACCCCCAGACTCTTGGTTTCCTGGGCCACAAGCTGAAGCTCATAACGTTATTGGAAGATGACCTAAGTCTGTGCCCATCTCTGGATGCTCAATCTTAGATGCGTTCCTGTGCTGTGATGTTTTAGGTATGAGCATGCTAACGATGATAACAGCAGTTTGAAATCTGATCCAGAGGGGGAGAAAATACACAGTGGACTTCTGAAAAAGTTAAATGAACTGGAATCTGACCTCACATTTACAATGGGTAAGAACTAGTCTAAGTCCTGTGGACTTTAAGACCATGTTGAACAGGCTTAAGGAAGATGCTTTCACAGCCACAGCAGGGAGGGGCTCAGAGTGAGGCCTCACTCCCTCTGCGGCTGCTGAGCCTTCCTTCCTTCCTCAGAGGCATGCTCCTCTCCCTGGGTGCAGTCTCAGTCTGGTCGTCAGGACAGACAGACTGGTCTGAGGACTTGGGAGCCAGCCTAGCCCTGTTTTTCCTCCCAGGCCCTGAGTACAAAAGCACGAAGAGCTGTATTTACATCGGCATGGCAAGCGATGATGTGGATATTTCTGAACTAGTGGAGACCATAGCAGTCACAGCCCGGGAAATTGAGGAAAACTCAAGGGTCTGTAAGATGAATCCGTGTTCCATGCCTGTGGAATATCTGTTCACTTTATTCTTTCCCAGATGTTGCTTTCATGAGAGCTAGGTCCTATGCCAGGCATCAGGAATGCTAAGTGACCTTGACACAGTTGCTGCCCCCAGTGACCTCACCAGGCAGTGTAGGGGAAGAGCCATATACAACCAAGCAATGTAGCAGATGCTATGGCTTGGGCAGCTGAGTCGTTGGGGACTTGCTCACATCTGCGGCACACTGAGGTCAGGCTTCCTAGAAGGAGCTGGGTCTTCAGGACAAACAGCACAGGAGTTCCTGATGAGGGCCACGCCACCAGAAACACACTTTCCTCTGTTGGTCAAGTAGCAGGGGAGACCCGGCTACAATGTCGGACTCCAGCCCACCCTGCCTGAGAGCGCACAGAGATGCTCACTTTGGGGTAGGGAGGGAATGAAGAGATTTGAAGAGAGGCCGAGAAGCTGGCTGTGCTCACTGTTGGTTAGACTCTGGGTTTTCCCAGGCTTGAGGGTAACTTCTTTCTTTCAACATTTAATGGTGCTTACTAGTCATTGATAAAACATTCAAAATGTAACTAGTTATTTCTCTTCTTTGGCAAAGGAGGCCAGGCAACAAGTTGTATCTGCTTGGGCCTGCATGAGCTTTTATCTTGTGTTTAATTTTCTGTTTAACTTTTGTTCAAGTGTTTCAGTGCAGAATTCCATCTGCTGACATCCTTGTGGGAAAATGTAATCAATGCTGTTGGTTGTGTGAGTAGTTCTAGGCACCCTGGACAACGTGTCTTCCTTGGTTTTACAGCTTCTAGAGAACATGACAGAAGTAGTTCGGAAGGGAATTCAGGAGGCCCAGGTTCAACTACAGAAGGCAAATGAGGAACGGCTTCTGGAAGAGGTAGGGTTACTGTTGGCTCCCGGCTGGCGTCCTGGCAGGGCAGGCTCAGCAGGCCGCCCTGAGCAAGGGTTATGTTTTACAGGGAGTGTTGCGACAGATCCCTGTAGTAGGGTCCGTGCTGAATTGGTTCTCTCCAGTCCAAGCTTCACAAAAGGGAAGAAGTTTTAACTTAACAGCAGGTAGGACTTCCTATGGACCTATGCCTAGATCTGTTATTTCAAAGTTTTGACCAAATGTCTTTACCTCCTAGTACCCTTCATGCTTTTATGCCTCCCTGGCTTCTCTGCCAGGAATGTGAAATGAGGCAGTCTGTCCCTACTGTCATTTCTCCCAGTTCTCGCCGAAACAGCGAGAAAGCAAGCAGCCACCCTTCAGCACGCACATTGCTCTTCCTTGGAACAAGGGCATGCCTGCCCAACTGGCCCACATCGGGGACAGTTCACCATGGACAGTGGCATAAGGACTATTGTTTCCTGCGGTCCTCGAGTATTCTGTGCAGGACAGGGCTCTTTCTGAAAGGGGAACCTCAAGACTGTAGCACACAGTATTGATTTTAAACCAGTGACTGGCAGTGTTGTCAGCTTGCTGGGAAATATCAACGACTGTGACTCCTTTCCTGTTGTGCCGAAGAAATACTCCCAAAACTTGATGTTCCTTCCTTTGCCCTTCTCCAGAAAGTAATAACTAGATTCTCATGATAGCCAAGGATAGCGTTAGAGTTTCCTGGTATGGTTGCAGAAAGAAAGAACCTGGCATTTAGGGAGACAAAACTGGAGGATCAGGGTTTTATGAGACTTTGTCGCTAAATCGCATTTTGCAGCTGGGTGTGGGTCCCAGCACCCTGCACACAGGGAAGGAACATTCCCCGGAGCTGAGCAGCTGCAGGGTGGGTTTACTCCAGTCAGTGGGAAGCTAAGTGGCTGATAGACCTGGTTGAGACACGAAGCCAGTCGAAGGCAAGTGACGTCTCAGGATGGCTGTGCCGGGAGCCCCTGCCACTCCTTCCTTTTCCGGACAGGCTCTCTGGAGTCCACAGAATACACTTACGTCCACAAAGTACAAGGAACGGGAGTGACACCGCCTCCCACACCGTCAGGCATTCGAAGCAAACAGAGACTTCCAGGTGAGTTAACCTTCCACAGTTCACCTTCATTAATAGAGTAAGAAAACCAATTTTATTCCACTTCGGGAATAGACTCATACATGCTGCTGAGGGTCCTTATGCTCCTTTCTTTAATCCATAATTCTATCCCCTCACTGAAAGAGCCATTCGGGCGCCTGAGATTTAGCTCCAAAGACTTGCCTCCATGGCACTCCAAAGGCAAGCATTGCCTTAACTGAGGTATTCACTCCCCTCAGTGCCACAGTGTCTGTTAGTTCCCACCTCATCTCTAAGATGTAAGCCAGAATTCAGCATCCCTGCCAGTCAGTGGCCATGCAGGACTGACCACAGTGCCTGTTACAGGACGTCCCCACGTGTCTCAGCAGCGTTCATCTTGTCTCTCTAGGCCAGAAGCCTTTTAAAAGATCCCTAAGAGGCTCGGATGCTCTGAGTGAGACCAGCTCAGTCAGTCACATTGAAGACCTCGAAAAGATGGAGCAGCTGTCCAGTGGGCTAGAACCCAGCAACCTAGAGGCCCACTGCCCTGAGGAGGCCCCCAGGGCTCCTGCCCCCACAGACAGCCAGACAGAAGCCCTGCAGAACAAGGCCCAGCACCCAGAAGATGACCACCCCCAGGTAGAGGGGTTGGAGCGCTTAAGATAAAGCCGGGTGATCCTGTGCTGACTCCTGCTTCAGGGAAGGTGAAGTTTCATGGAAACTGTGGACTGTGCCACATGCTAATAGGGTAGAATTCCTGTCACGTGTGCTGAACGGGGGTTTGCACACGTCCATGCGGGGAAACCAGGGCTTCTGGGGGCGGGGGCTGGCAGTTATTTTATGTGTACGTACAACAACCAACAGTTGACTATTTTGGCCTGCCCAACCTAGGCATACCCTTTCTTCCTGCAGCATAAACACTTTGTACTGAGAGAATCTCTCCTCTCTCTGAACCTAAGCGTGATTAGGTTGCACAGTGACTCTCTGGGTTTTCCTCCATGCTTGTCTTACCAGGTCTGTAGTTCTGTCAAGTTGTGGTAGATGCCTGCCTTACTGGCTGGCATCAGAAAATGGGTTTCAGTAGGACCTGAGTGAGAGTACAAGGAGCCTCTGCTGCTGTCCCTGAAGCCTCAGTGAGGACTGTATACACAGGAGCTGTGGCGAGGCCTGTCCCCTGCTGCACCTTCCCCTTTATACATTGTTTGTAACAAGTTTAAGGACTCATCTGTTAATAGTAACTAACGCTAAGACCTCTTCCTGACCATATTTAAGTATATTTTTAAACACTGGAAATGCTGTTAAGTTGGTGCCCAGTGTGCCCTGTGCTTGTCTGTTTAGGACAGAGAGCCCTCTGGAGGCCACCATGAAGAGCCTGGCGTCTGCTGCGCAGCACGGCAAAGGCAGAAGCAAGCCTTTGACCTGCTTGTCATGGTGCGGCCCAGCTTCTCCTCTGCTCACCCTGGGCCCAGCTCAGGACAGACCAGAGAAGTTGCCTCTTAAACAGGCTAACAAGCCAGAGCTAGCTGCCTAATTCCCATCCATTTCTATTTCCCAGATACTGCATCCCTGCAGTACCCTAAGATGCCCCACCCCGTGCCTTCTTAGTCCCTAAGAGTCAAACAATGGAAGATGCTAAGATGGTGGGCCTCTGGACTGTAGTATTGGAAGCCTTAGTTATACCACATTAAGCCTATAATTATACTGATTTGATGTGATTTTTTTGACAGTTGCCACTTGTCAAAATGCAATCTTTCCATATTTTGGGTGCAAATGATTAAATATAGTCTTCCCTGTTTATTTGATGCAATTAAGTATAGCAGGTGACATGGGAAGGGGTTAAATTATCACCTTTAGCAGATTGATTTTTAAATGTTTTTATACATTTGAAATTGCTACCTGGTTTTGCTGCAACAGAATTTTACCTTGAGACACTATCTGATGTTGGCTTAAATAAAGGCTCTTGAAACTGCTACCTGTGAACTCAGTGTAAATCTTACTTTTCATCAGATAACATAAAAGCTCCTAAAAAAGTAACTTCCATAACCCTAACTGGGCATCTTAAAAGCATCGTATGTAAAATGTTTCTCTGGTTTTGTGGGGTTGAGATTGAATCTGGCCTGCCAGCAGCTTGTCTGAGTCACACTGAGGGTAATAAGCTCAACCGTTTCTTCCCGAACGTTTAACCTTGCCTAGAATAGAGAGCTTTTGATAGGAAGCGTCTTTTCCAAGACAGAGTTTCTCTGTGTAATGACCCTGGGAGTCCTGGAACTCACCCTGTGGACCAGGCTGGCCTTGAAGTCAAAGATCCTCCTGCCTCTGCCTCCCAAGTGCTGGGATTAAAGGTGTGCGCCACCGTGGCGAGCTGATAGAAGTTTCTAGGAGTAATTTTTCCTGACCAACCTGTCTCTGAAGTCACTGCCCACTCACCAGGAAGCCAATGGTTTCTCTTCCATCCTCAAGACTGGTGAAGTCTATTTTATAGTGAAGCAAAAAAAAAAAAAAAAAAAAAATCATCTCAACAAATGCCTTTGACAAAATAACACTTTATTTTGAAAGACAGTAAGCAAGGAAGAATCAAACTGCACAGATGTAGACTCCAAACACCAACGGTCTCCATCAGGCCAAAAGTTGTGTCCTTTGGTAACTTTGATGTTAGCTCCCTGGAGAGGTCTTTTCCCATAAACCGTCTTCATTTTTTTTATAGAGGAGAGCTTTATTTCCAGGAAACAGTATATTTGCTGGAGATGGGAATCTTTTTAGAAACATCAAGGTAGATCTAATATGTTCCACAAAGTGGGGGGGCTCGGCCAGAGGAGAAGTAGAAAGGTTCTGAAAAAGACGAGACAGTGGGCATGAGAGGGCCAGGCGGTGTGCCTCCCCGGTGACAGCGTCAGAGCAGCTCCGGGCTGCACACACATTCACCAGGCCGCTCACCGTGCTCCTGCGCGTCTGCTGAGTTGCACACTTTTTACTGCTCACTGCGTCCCTGTGTAAATGTCTACCAGGACAGCACTAATCCCCCACTGCCATACAAGTCAGAGTCTCAATGGCAACGGAGCATCGTCTCCCCCACTGAAGGAGAAGCCACTGTTAGCTGCTCTAAACCTTTTTTTTTCTTACAGATGGGGAAACCAGGGTCCAGAGATTTAAGATTTAGCCAACCTGTAAATTCTCACCTCTAGTATTTGCTTGTCATCTTGCTGCAACCAGAAATCCACATGTGGGAATGGCGTCCAGGAATACGGGCCTATTCGAAGTTGTTCTGTCTTTGCATCATAAATGCTAATCATCTAAAAGAACCATTTCCATGACAGGCTGTAAGGACACTGCCCTACCACTGCTGTAATCTAGCTCCAAGGTTGTTTGTCCCCTCAGCTGATAAACTGTGAATGTTGACCTCCCATAATAACCAAGCTGCCGCCACCAAATGCCTTCCCTGTGTTTGGTCTGTGTAGGACACATGCCCAGTGCATCAGCGATGCCTCAAAGACAGGCTGGTCTGACTAGAGCCTGTATTCTTCATGGCTGCACAAATACCACATCATCTTATTCCTACCCCAAGCAGCTGGTCATGCCACATAAGCAGCCCACACTGCTGGATGCCCGGGTGGATGCTCACACCTGCCATCCCCACTCAGGAGGCTGAGGCAGGGGGATCGCCTTGGGTTCCAGGACAGCCTAGACGACAGCGAGACCTCATCTCACAGAGAGCACGCGAGAAAGGTTTGGGGGTTTTTGGTTTCTTTTTGTTGTTTGTTTTGAGACAGGGTCTGGCTATGGTAGACTTGGCTTGCCTCAAACGCCGAGAGATCTGCCTACCTTAAAAGTGTAGAGCACCATGCCTCACCTGGTTTTGTTTTTGAGAGGGTCTCCTGTAGCCCAGGCTGGCCATGGACTCAATACATAGCCAAGAATGTCTGAGCTACTCGTCTTTCTGCCGCACCACCCAGTGTGGGGTCACGGGGTGTGCCCCTCCCAGTGACTCTGCAGAAGGATTTGCCAGCAGACCCGTTCCCTGAATCCCCAAATTTCAGCTTTGAAAGGGGGTACTCAGTCTGAAATATATTCTGTTAACTAAATAGCAAAAAGAAGCCTAAAGTAAGTTCCAGGCCAGCCTGACTGCAATGTTATCCTCTGTCTCAAAAGAGAAAAGAAAACACCACAAAGCTGGTCATGGTAGTTGATGGAGGCTGATGCAGGAGCCTTGCCACAAGTTCCAAGCCACCCTAGGCTATATAATATACATAGCAAGACCACGGCAAACACAAAAGTTTTTAAAAGATAAAAATAGGAGTCTTACAAAGGGTAAAAACAAACAAAACAAAAAACTGGCAAAACAGATCTCTCTCTCTTTTGTTTTTTTTGGGGGGGGGGGATTTGGTTTTACGAGACAGGGTTTCTCTGTATTGTTTTGGAGGCTGTCTGACCAGCCCAGCCTCGAACTCACAGAGATCCACCTACCTCTGCCTCCCGAGTGCTGGGATTAAAGGCGTGCACAACCATCGCCCGGCTCAAAACAGATCTCTTAAGTCCAGACATCTTTCTGAATGTTGAGTTTCTGGCTTGCTGTGGCACATTGTGAGGCCAGACTGTCCGTATCCCGAGTCTTCAGTTGCTTCTGTACCTGACCCCGGGTCTCCCACAAAAGCTGGAGCTCTAGACTCAGCAGTCTCCCCAGCACTAGGCCTGAAAGCACACCCAGCTTCTTTTGTGCTCAGCAAGCACTAATGGGCCCTCTCCCAGGCCCTGCTTGGCCCAGGCTGGCCTGCACCTCACAGTGAGCGATCCACCTGTCTCCTGAGTGCTTGAATTAACAGTGTGTGCCACCATACCAGGTTCACAGTGGGCATTTTACATTCTACCTGTTTCTCAAATGGGATGAGTAAGTCTTTTAAATTAATGATTTAATTAAGAAACACCCTGGAAGCCGGGTGGTGGCGGCGGTGCACTTTTAATCCCACCACTTGGGAGGCTGAGGCAGGTGGATCTCTGAGTTTGAGGCCAGCCTGGTCTACAGAGTGAGTTCCAGGACAGCCAGGAAGAAACCCTGTGTTGAAAAACAGAAAAACTTCTAGAGACCCGGACACAGCTGTGTGCTTGTGTAATCCCAGCCCTGGGAAATGCTGAAGCTACGTTAGATAACAGAGTCCTGTCTGAAAATAGAAAGGACCTAGGCTAGGAGCACTCAGCGGCAGAGCACTTGGCTAGCGTATGCCTCTATTCCATCCCGGCACTACCACAACAGTAAGGGGTTATACAGTACCTAAGGAAACTCAACTTTTGGGAGGGCAGATCAAAACAGGGTCTCTCTGCACAGCCCTGGCTGTCCTGGTACTCAATTTGTAGACCAGGCTGGCCTTGAACTCACAGAGATCCACTTGTCTCAGCCTCCCGAGTCCTGGGGTTAAAGGCGGGCGCCATCACTGCCCAGCTAGAAAATTAAACTTTTAAACTGACTTATTATCTTTTGGAGTGACTCACCAAACGACTCTTTGGTGACTAGGTCCAAAGTGTGGATGACGCAGGGTCTTCTCTACGGGAAGGTTAATGGGAAGAGTTCCCTTTGTACACAGATCTTACCACCTCCTCCGTCTTTCAGGGAGAGAACTAGTATCTGGCACTTAGAACGCAAACTCACTCTTTCTTCCTCTAACCCATGAGGAAGTGGGCTGGGTCCTGGTAAGGAGGTAGCCACAACTTTGATCCAGTCTAAAGACTTGAGACTCTTGGGGTCCCTCTTTACCCATCCCACAAAGATGAGCTCCCACTCACTGGGCCTCCTGCTAACGCTCTGGCAGCACGAAGCTGCTCCTCTGGACCGTGATCTTGAAAGGAAGCTCTGTAGATCTCTGCAGTTTTAATGTTGACAGCTGGAAGGGACAGGGAGTGACTCTAAATTAGCAAAGATTCAAAACAGACTTCACGTTTCCACCACACACATGAAAGAATGGAATCTGAAGAAAAAGTCTGAGGTGATTGCAGCCTTGGTAGCAACCCAGGAGGACGAACAGCCCACAGGCACTCTGTACCCTCAGGGAGTGTGGCTTCAATGCTTTGTGTGACCACAAACCCTGGTGCAAGGCTGCTGGACTTTAGCTCATATCAGAGCTGTGCAAACTGACAGAAAATGAAGTAAGCCTGCCTGTGTCCTCACCACTCAGCAACTAAGCACCACGGACAGACAGACCAAAAGCCCTCAGCAATTTGCTGGCCTCAGGACCCGAGAGAGGAGCCCCTGGGCTTCCTTTACTTTGACAGTTCCGCACTTGGGTTCGGGGGAGCTTCATTCCGAATCAAAACCTTACGCCATTCCTATAGTATACAGAGATCCAAATGCTGCATACCTTCCCCATGAGCACTGGCTAGAGAAATACATGCCAGACCACCCACCCCTGTGACACGAAGCTGCAGGAGTAGGCATGGCGTGGGCATAACCTATGCTGTCACTGGCTGTTTCTCTCCATACACTGTGGTTACGGCATTGACAACCTCACAGCTGAAGGGCGGTCAGTGAGGCTCCTTGCCCGGGGTTTCACAGTAAACACACAGGGGCCAGGATCCAAACCCAACAGCAGTACAGATGGGATCACTGCCCACTCGGACATTTACGCTGACAGCCTGCTTTAACCCACATGCAAACGACGTAGCCCTCCCTCTAATACAAATACTACTTACCGATGCCATAAATGATTGGAAAGTGGTTTTCATTTTCTTCCCGGTCATTTAATTCTAAGAAAGGGAGGAAAGCAGAGGCACTAAACAGTTCTTGTTCCACTGAAGGAAAAACTCAATACGGAGCCACAGGTGGGCCGCTAGTAGGTCCTGCCTTGCCAGCTCTGCCACACAAGGGCAGCCCCCCCCGAGAGCAGACAGCCCAGGAGGCAGGACAGCATGGACAGCATCAGTTGGGTAGGACCTGGGGTTGAGAGGGAAAGGAATAGTGGGACAGGTCATCCAGAGGGGACAGTCTCTGGAGTATCTCCTACATTCCTATCCCATGGTACCTGTTGTAAGGGGATAGATAAAAACCTTCCTGAACCCTTATACCCCTGTCTGGATGACAACAGCACAACTCACCTGTCACACATAATGTCACTAAGTGAATGTCCTCATCTTGTTTGTCAAATTCACCTACAATTAGAATTTCAAAATTGATGTCAAAAAAAGTGCCCAAGAATGAGTATATGTATGTGAATATGATCAAAAGACATTGCATATATGCTTGGAAATGTCCTGTTAGGGGCTGGGGCTGTACTCAGCTGACACTGTAATTGCCTAGCATACTCAAGGCTACGGATTTAACCCCTAGCACTACAGAAACCGCCATGGTGGCACATTCAAGTTCAGGGTCAGTCTGTGCTACATGAGATCCTGTCTCAAAAAGGGGGGAGGGTGTAAAGGTAGAAGTTAGGCCAGCAGGAAGACTCAGTCTGTAGAGCAACTAGTAACTGTGTTCCATCCCTGAGACCCACATGAGAAAGGAGAGAAAACCCACCCCACAAGCTATATGGTACACATGTGCCTGAGTGGTGGCATGCACCTAAATGAAAAAGGAAATGAAATCGTTGTTATGTGTAATTAATAGAGGCTAATATGAAAGGCCTCATGGGGGCTGGAGAGATGGCTCAGTGGGTCAAAGCACTTACTCTGCTCCTGCAGAGGACCTGGGTTCAGGTTCCAGCACCACATCAGGTGGAGTCCTAAGAGGAGACCAACTCTTCTCGAGTCTATTAGATCAAAAGGAATATTTGTGTGTGTATAGATGTTTTGCCTGCATTGTAGCGTGCCATATGGAATGGTGGTTACAGGATCCCCTGGAACTGGAGTTACAGACAGTTGTGAGCAACCATGTAGTTGCTGGGAATTGAACCTGGGTCCTCTGGAAGAGCAGCCAGTGCTCGTAACTACAGAGCCATGTCTCCAGGCACCAGAGCAAATATTTGAGAATGTTTTTGATAAGGGAACAGAAGATAGTAGGTTCTAATGCCCACTGTAGGTTAGCCGTTAGTTTCTGGGATGACTGAGCTCCTAACAGACAAAGATGCTCCAGTCACACCCTATAGTCTTATGCAATTAACACTTCTTAGTAAGGTCTGTTTGAGACCAGGCTGCCCTGAACTCAGATCATCTGCCTTAGCCTCCCAAAGTGCTGGGATTAAAGGCGTGTGTTACCACACCGAACTGTCACAGTGGGTTTGTTGTGCAGTCCTTTGTTGGCCTCACTATGTAGCTCAGGCTGGTTAGGAACAATCAACCCTCTGCCTCAGTCTCCCCCCAAGTGTTGAGCTGCAAGCACAGACCTCCAGACCTGCTCAGTAGGTAACAGCCTCTAGCAGCTTTGTAACTCTCCTCAGACGCTGAGTATTTGATGTCAGAGCTTCGGGGTTGCTCACATGGGTCAGAATCGCTGTGTGAGGGTTAGGGTTTTTGTTTTCACATTTCCTTACTCATATGAAAGCACATGGGGACATCAGAGAGCAACTTATGAAAGTCAAACTTCCCCTTCCATCAATGGGCCCCAAAGTCCAGACTCTGACTAGGCTTGGTGGGAAATGCCTTTACCCAGTGAGCAACCTTGTCAGCCTCTCTGCACCTTAGATGACGTTCTTAGAATGGCTTCCAAGAAAGGGAATTACTGAGTCCAAGGATATAACCTCTCAAAGGCTTAAGCCACAGTGCCAGTTTCCTTGCTGACAGGCTGTTCCGGTGTAGCTATGACAGAGCATACAGCCAATGCACAATTAATATACACCATGTCTGTCCTTCTGACTCAGGAGAAAAGGCTAACAGTGCTATGTTCATTTTGTGACGATAGCTCAGAGTATGTACTCGCCAAGAACCCACCAACCGCTGCTCTAAAAAAAATCTTTGACATGTCTGTAATTATCACTCAGCTGAGGCCACAGCTAGCCTGGGCGTCAACAGCATGCACCTGTCAAAATGGGAGGACGATCTTGTCCTCATGCCATCAGCACTGGGAATTAGCGCCACACTGCACTCCGTGTATAGTCCACACAGTTCCATCCACAGGGCAGTGTCTGCAGCCCCACACTGTTTTGGTTTGAGATAGATTTTCACTGTGTATACCAAACTGGTCTCAGACTCATGATCCAGCCTCTGCCTCATCTGGCTGCTGGAGAGCTTTTTCATTTCTTATTTATTTTTGTTTTTGAAGACAGGGTTTCTCTGTGTAGCCCTGGCTGTCCTCAAACTCACTCTGTAGACCAGGCTGAATTGAAATCAGAGATCTGCCTGCCTCTGCCTCCCTCGTGTACACTGTCACCTTTAAACCAACCAAAACTGGGTATGCAAACCAAAAGTGGGTATGCTATTGGAAGGGGGTGGCAAACTTACTAAGAAGCTGATGGGTAAGTTTCTGTGACAGCTGCCTGTCATCACTGAAGCCTCCCACCAGGTGCACTTCCAACCTGCCAAGAGAGGGTAGTGATCAGAGTCAGGACACAACAGGCCGTGTGCTGCTATCACGACACTTAGTTCCTGGCTCCTGCGGTTAGAAGCCTGTGGGCACAGTGGGGGGCATCTGAGGCTGCTACGGCCAGCAACAAGGCTATGCGGGCGTCATCCGGGTCCTCAGTTCACGGTCACCTGGCCATCTACATGGAACATTCTACGTCAGCACCTGCACTGAGAAGGAACTGCCTTTGACCAGTAACTGCGAGCTCGGGTGCTCTCAGCCTACACACCTAGGAATCACAGCATGGTATTTTCTACCAGGCAAGCAGGATGGAGCTGAATCAGGCTGGGAAGTTTCCCATGCTGGAGCCCCTCCTCCCCAGGACAGTCCCAGTGCATACGCACCCAGCAGGGCTGTGACGAGTTCAAAAACCCAAGCTAACTTTGCTGCACCCTGCCTCCCGTGCTTGTCTTCCTCAGCCCCAGTAACCAGGGGAGGGGTGTACTTCACGTGAACCTTGTTTGAACAGCCTGTGCTGGGCGTGGTGTCTGAGGAGGCCTGGATGGCCGCACCAGAAATGTTAAACAGCAGGAAGGGCTTTGCCATGCCGTACCAGACTGGCCCTGATTTACAAAGTAGCTAGGTAGCTGTCTGCAGGCAGACCAGGAATAGCTAAAACTTGTGTTCTGAGCCTGTGCGACTAGTCTGGGCCAAGGCAAAAAGGAAAAGGCAATTTTGCAGTCACACAAGTCAAAGCCTGTGAAGCCAACCAGCTATGGCACAGACCCAGCCTGGAAATTTCAGTTTTAAAAAGGGGCTCAGTGCTAACCCACACTCTTAGCACATGCAAAGCCCAGAGTTCCATTCCTAACATACATGCTTACACACACATAAAGTTTTAATTCGGGTTATTTTTTGAGACAAGGTTGGCCTGGAATTCACTATGTAGACCAGACTGGCCTCAAACTAAGAGATCCTTCAGTCTCTGCCTCCACCTCCCCGTACGGGATTAAGGTGTGTACGTACATGCTTTAGCCCTCAGCCAGCCCTCAGCTGCAGGCCAGAACGTAACTAGCTGTGAGGCTCTGGTACATGACCATGTGTCCCGGGTTAAGGAAAATGCTGAGGCAGAGCCAGTCTGGGCTGGTCCGTGCCCTATACCCACGCTCAAACTCTTGTCCACTGAAGTGTGGCACGGTCACTGCCAACCCTGCCTCCTCTCCAGTCCTTCCTACATATTTACTGACACCTGCTTCCAAGTGTAAGCAATGTGCCTACTCTGGACCCTAAGGCAAGTGGCTGCTCACAAAAACACCCTCTGTCTGAAGATCCCACTTAAAATTCAGCACAGAAGCCTAGCGGGTCTCATCCCCCAATCCAAGCACTAGGGAGTCTGAGTCTGAGGCAAGCAGACTCCACAGTGAGGCCCTGTCCAACAGAGTCCAGTACTGGCTGTCCCTGCATGACTCCGTGCACCCATGCTCACGGTGTACAAGCGCAGCGTCCCCAGCGTCCACAGAACGGCAGAATGGCACTTACCTTCCACACTCGGTGTGATCAGAAAAGGATTTGATGGCACTCATTATCAAGGGGACTTCAGATTTGGTGTCGCTCCCGTCACAATGTGTGAGGCAGGTTGCCCCATTTCCTGGAGAGCAAGAGTCAAATGAGGTAGTCCCTATATTCCAGGAAGGGAACCATGTAAAGCACCTCATCTTTAAACGCCCTGTGAGAAACTGGAAGGGTCCGTGCTGCCCAGCCAACCCATCTGACCAGTGCACCAGGGAGAAGCCATGCAGACGAGAGAGACATGGCGTCAAATCCTACACCAGGAAACGCCAACTGAGAAGTCAGTGGTCCCTCATGGTTGGGGTAGTCTAACAGTTTCCTTCATCTCCTGTCATACCTGTGTGCCTCAGGACCACAATGTGACAAGTAGTGGCATCGTCGGAACCCAGAATGGAGATGGAGCCTGTTTAAACAGAGAAAGAGCATGAAGCAGCCAGGAGGCTTTGCGCTAACACCCGAGGCGCTGCTCCCTAACCTACCGTCCTTTGGGGTGGTCACTGCAAGCTCTCTTTGCTGAACATACAGAAGGCCCTGGGGTCCCACTTGTCGGACAGACTGACCTCTGAGGAGTCTGGCTCTTTCCTGTTTAATTGAAACAGAATTAAACAGATGTGTGAATTAGGGAGGCTTCAACTGGAAAGAGCCAGGGTATACCCAGAAGTGGGAAGCAGGCTGGCGTGCGCCGACTGTGCTGTCCTGGCCCCCAAAGGCTGACGGAGGAAGACAGCAGGAGCACCCCTCTGGAGCACCCCTCTGACTAGGAGGACTACATATGGCACGAGATCCCGGTGCCCGGGAGAGAGATGCCCAATCCTGTATCGTAGGTCAAGGATCTGAGGCTCGACCTTATTTTGGGACAAAGTAGTCCATCCAGGCTGTCCTTAAGCTATCCATGGTCCTATTTCACGAGTGCTGGGATCACAGGTGTGGCCGCTGTTTTAAAAGTATAAGAAAGAGGCAGGAGGGCGGGTCGTGCTTACACTCCCAACACTGGAGGCACGAGCTAGAGGAAGACTGTCTCAACGGAAAGCTGGCTGGGCGTGGACGGACACAGCTGTAGTGCTGACAATCCCAGCACCCAGGAGGGCAGCCCTGGCACACAGACTGGAATGGGGGGGGCTGACATACTCCTAAAATGAACTCCATCTTCCTTCCAACCTGCAGCAAATTGGCCAGTACGCAAGCGTAACCTATGTCGATGTACATGGGCCTGCCCCGCTCTTCATCAACCTCTTAGCATTTCTCACGCCTGGTGCGAATGTAAGTCTGTATCTAATTACGTAATAAATCCAGAAACCTGATAAGCTTAATGATTAACCTGACCAACTAAGCACCATCTTCTTTTAATGAACTCCCACTGTCCGGATGCTAGAAGATAATTAAAACAGGACATGCCCCTCAACTTAAGAACTGAACTAAGCCGGGCGTTAGGGCGCACGCCTTTAATCCCAGCACTCGGGAGGCAGAGGCAGGCGGATCTCTGTGAGTTCGAGGCCAGCCTGGTCTACTGAGTGAATTCCAGGACAGCCTCCAAAACAATACAGAGAAACCCTGTCTCAGAAAACCAAAAGAAAAAAACAAACAAAACAAAACAAAAACCAAAAAAAAAAGAAAGCTGAACTACGAGCAATCTCCAGCAAGAAAGGGGTGGGGCACAGGAAAGAAAAAGATACAAGTCAAACTGCTGTGAACCACGTAAGTCAGGCTGGTGGGGCAACATGGTTCGTTGTGAAACCTGGAGTAATCAAGAGGACCTCCAGTCTCGTAGTCACACCCTGCCAGGTGACACACACCTGCCCCTTTTACAGTCCCTTTCCTGTGGGGAGGAATTAGGCAGATTTTTACCATGTCTGCTGTTGCACCCTTCCCCCATGGGGCCTGTTGATTGTTTTACTAGGAGCTTTTAGTAAAACACTTCTCGCCCCCTCCTCCTAGTAAGGCCTGTATGCAAGTTCCTGTTTATTGTCTAAATGCTAATTTCTGGGGAGGGCCCTGGGAACGCAGGCTTCTGACCTTGGTGTTTTTCCACCATGGCAGACTTTGGTATATAAGGCTCCACTCTTGTAATAATAAACGCCATTCTCCTTGTAAGAATGAGCCGCTGTCTTTGTCTTTATTTTCATCCTTAGCCCTTAGCCTCGGATCGTATGGTAGCACTGTAGCTGTGAACACACCAGCTGCTCACTACAGTTCACAACTGGTCACCACCAGACAGCAAAGTTGCCATGTCAAGACTAACACAAGAAACGGAAGAAAGGTATCCGGAAACGCCACACCACAGGACAGTGCAAGCCCGCCTCCTCTCCCTCTTGATAAAAGCTGCTCCTGGATGCAGCCTCACATCATCACTTTTGTGTACATGAGAGAAACAGAGATGCAGACAGCATGCACGCGTGTGAGGCGTGCATGAGTCAGAAATGTGTGTGAGAAGTGTGCACATGAGGAGTGCACACGGGAGAGGTGTGTACATGAGGAGTGCACACGGGAGAGGTGTGTACATGAGGTACGCACACATGAGAGGTGTACACGTGTATACACTGGAAGCCAGAGGTCAATGTCATGCACTCCTGTTAACTCCACCTTGTTTCCTATTTTAATTTTACATTCGTGTAGGCATGTGTGCAGTGCTGCATACATGCCGTGTACATGGAGGCGGGAAGACAACCCTCAGGAGTTAGCTTTCTCCTCCACCATGTATGTTCCAGAGACTGAACTGGGATGCTCAGGCATGACACCAAGCACCTTACCTTACGTGCTGTGTGGTTTTGAGGCAGGTCTCTCACTGAACCTGCAGCTCAGCATGTTGAGTGCCTGGGAGCCGTGGTGCTCTCCCCTCAGCACTGGGGTTACACAAGCACCCCAGAGCCTTTTCACGTAGGTCCTGGGGTCTGTGCTTGGTCCCCGTGCTTCCCCAGCAGGCATGGCATCCCGAGCCAAGCTCCCCAGGACATACTTCCTAAAATAACAGCGGCCCCGTTGCGGCAAGGTCTCAGATTTCTCGGCGTGTAATTCATGTGTTCTCAGCCTCTTAACTTCCTTTCCCGAGGCACTACTTTCTTTGCTGGAGGCCAGCAAACTTTTCTCTGAAAACGACTAGGTAATAAGCCTAAGGGTCTCTGCCACTATGTAGTGAAAACAGCCAGAGCTGTACCTGATGTGGCTGCATTCCAATAAAATGTGACGGGTGCCATGCAATCTTGAGCCTGTGTAACTCAGGGCTATGGAGTAGTAGTGTTCCTTTACTTTTCTAGCCTCCTAAAGAGACAGGGGCTGGATGTCTCAGATCAGGCCCTTGTCAGCGTGTGTGAGGCCAGGGCTCTGTCCCCGCAGGACCAGGAGGAGAGGGAGAACCCTTCCTACAATTTAGGGACCAGCCCACACCTCTCACCCTTGCTCAGTCCACCTTTCCCTCCCGCGACGTCTGCGAGGGCACCTGCGGCACTGTGAAGCATGGGTGTCTACCAGGCCACTAGCGCAGGTCTGCGTGTGGCCCAGTGGCGGGAGTGTGGAGTGGGGTGTCCTGGGTCCCCCCACGCAGTACTGCAAACACTGACTGCAGACTCTAAGGAGCGGTGCCCTGGCCACTCAAGATTACTGTTCCTCACTATGCTCTACCCTGGAGCACACTGTGAAGCCCAAGATCCATTCAGTCCCCCATGTCCTGCTTCAGCCTCCTGACCATTAGCGCCTACAGATGGCCCCATGCAAGGGACTGCCGTACTGAATTACACAGCATCCGGGTGAGGGGAAGAGAGCAGGGTTCTGGTCTTGACTTCTAAGCATGGGACCTGGGACAGTCTCACTGTCTCGATGGGGGACGTCCTTCTGTGTATGTTTCTCTTATTGGTACATGAATAAAACACTGTTGGCCAATAAGGCAGGAAGATAGGCAGGACTAGGAGAAGAGGAGAATTCTGGGAAAGGTAGGCAGACAGTCACCATGTAGCCGCCGAAAAGAGAAACAGGTCGGGACATTCTCCGGTAAGCCAAGCCCACGTGGAAATACTTAGAATTATAGAAATGAGTTAATAATTAAGACATAGCTAGTTAATAAGAAACCTTAGTCATTGGCCAACAGGTTAATAATTAATGTGTGTTTATTTTGGAGCTCAAGGGCAGCAGGACCTGCCTGGCCAAGAAAAATCTCCTATAACAGTGTCTTAGTCACTATTCTATTGCTGTGAAGATACACCATGTCACTGCAACTCTTAATTGACAAAAGTGAGAAACTTGGAGTCAGTAATCTTGAGTGGCCAGTGCACTGCTCCTTAGTGTCTGCTGTTAGACTTTCCTGTGTTGACGGTTTTAGAGTCCGTGGCAGGAAGCAGACGGGCACGGAGCTGGGGTGGTAGCCGAGAGCTTTACATCCTGATCAGGCAGAGAGAGACAGAGACCGAGACACAGAGACACACAGACAGACAGACAGACAGACAGACAGGGCCTGACGCAGGCTTTTGAAACGTCAAAGCCACCCCAGTGATGCACCTCCTCCAATACGGCCACGCCTAATCTTTCCCAAATAGTTCTAACCAGAGGCCAAACGTCAAACATGAAACTACCCACCGTGTCTGACCCTCACCCCCATCTAGAAGATAAGAGCAACGGTGCTCATCATGTTGGGCAGTGTGGGCCAGTGCCACTGTGGCCGGCCCGTGGGTGCCCGAAACCAGAGAGCACTAAACCCAGACATGCTGGTGAGTAGCCGAGGGGACGGTGAGGGACTGCCCTTGTAACATCGAAGATGGCAGGCATTTCACACGGTTTAGCCAGCACAGGCACAGCTGTGGTCCCAGCCTGGAAGGGGACAGCATCAGTTAGTGTTCTGGAGTCCTCCATTTAAAATGTTCAGACTGCAGTTGCCCAAGAAGCGTAACTGCGAAAAGGACGAGGGTGAGGACAAGACACTAGTCAGGCTTACTACTTGCTGGTGCTGCGCACTCACAAAACACAACACGTGAGATTCACACAGGATGATGGGTGTGGTGGGGCATGCCTTTGATCCCAGCACTGGGGAGGCAGCTCTGTGTTCAAGCCAGCCTGATCTGCAGAGCTGCCAGGACTACACAAAGAAAACCTCGAACCCTACCACCACCAAAAAAAAAAAAAGGACAGACACACAGGAAATAAGCCGGGCATGGTAGTTTATGCCTGCAATCTCAGCACTTGCATGGCCAAGGCATTAGTGTATGTAGCTTGGGCTACACGGTGGAGCTGTGTCAAAAATAAAACTAAGACAGCCAGGTAGTGGTGCACACACTTTAATCCCAGCACTCGTGAAGCAGAGGCAGGCGGATCTCTGTGAGTTCAAGGTCAGCCTGGTCTACAAAGTTGAGTTCCAGGACAGCCAGGTCCACATGGAGAAACCCTGTCTCCAAAAACCAAGAAAAAAATTATATATGTACACACACACATATATATACACACACACATACATACATATATATACATACACCCACATATATACATACATACATATATACACACACACATATATATACATCTGTCATTCAAAAAGTGTATCTTGACGAGCACACTGGGTAACACCTCTAACAGTATGTCTGAAGCAGGCATCCAAGGTCAGCACTGAACCCGGGTCAAGCTCGAGGCCTACCCGCCTATCTGTGTGTGGTGGGGACGCAGAGACAGGATGCTACAGAGATGCTCAGTAGTTCAAACTGTTTGCTGGGAAATGGACGAGAGGTTAGGATTCGCACGCAGGCCGGTAGCCCCAGCTCTGAGGACAGTGAAGACAAGAGAGACGCACTGAGCACTGACAGCGTCTTCAGGGAGAGACCCTGAGTGAAGAGGGAGACACTCGACGCCACCTTCTGGCCTCCCTGCGCACACACATGCAAACACATACACACACACCCATCCATACAGACAAACAATATGCACAGTCCCTGCGCACGCACATGCAAACACACACACACACACACACGCGCGCGCGCGCGCACACACACACACACACACACACACACCATCCACACAAACAATATACACGGTGTACACGGACAGACAAAACATCAGGTGTGGTGCGCACGCCTTTAATCCCAGCAGCTGGGAGGCAGAGGAAGGAACTCAGAGCTGGAGGCTCCAGGCCAGCCAGGGCTACACAGCGAGACCCTGGCTCAACAGTGGAGCCCGGGGAGGGGAAGGAAGGGAGAGGGGGGAGCAAGAAGCCAGGGAGGCAGAGGGAGTGGAGCTCTCACAGCTTGTGGGCAGCCTGGTCTACACGTCAGGTCCCAGGGCAGCCAGAGGTACGCAGAGAGCCCGTGTCCCAAACCCACAGAGACACCGTGAGGGGTCACGGAATCCATGAGCGTCTCGTCCGCCTCCCCCTCCGGAGCACAGAGCACCCTGAAGACACGGGTCACCACCGCCACCACTGGGGATGCGGCCCGCGCGCGCTGCAGCCCCTCCCCGGCCCCCTCGTCCTCGCCGCCGGCCGCCGCGTTCCCCGCGGAGCCTCCCCGCCGCCCTTCCTGCCCTGCGGGCTGCAGCCCCGGATTCAGTCCCGTCCCCGCGCCGCTGCCTCCTCGCGCGGTGGCGGCCGCCAAAGCCGGAAGTCCTCAGGCAGACACAGGAAAGGGCCCCCTCCGCCCGCTCCGGGGAGCCGAGCCCACCGGGCCACGCCCACGCGCCCGCAGGAAAGTTCCAGACGGACCCGGGACCCCAGGCTCACGCGGGCGTCTCTTCTCCCGGGGTGGCCGACGACACCTGGCCCGCGCCCGGCCCGCACTGCCCACCGCAAGCAGCCCGGGGGCCGCTCGCACAGCCCCGACCCGCGGAGCCCGCCGGGTGTGCACGGACGCCCCGGGGTCCTTCCTCGCGCTGTGCGACCTTCCGGGAGTCGCCCAACCTCTCTGGGCCCCGCCTCGGCCGAGCCCCGCGGAAGCCGCGCCGGTGACCGGGCTGCAGGAGACCCCGCCCGCCCCGCAGGCCCCGGGCCCGCTCACCTCCAGCGGCGGGTGCTCGCGGACCAGCTCCGCGGCCGAGCGGGGAAGCCGTACGCGCCGACCGCCCACCAGCAGCGGCATCGCCCGGGCCGCCGCCAGGCCGAGCCAGGCGCCCGCCCCGCCCGGCCGCGCCCCGCCCCGCGTCGGCCACGCCCATCTTGGAGACAGGCACGCCCCCACCATCCGCGCAGACTGCCGAGGAGAGGGATCCCTGCTGCGAGAGAGCCGCAAGGCATCACGGGAGATGCAGTCCCGACTGTAGGCGCCAGCCCCGCGGCGGGCCACGCCCATCTTGGAGACAGGCACGCCCCGACCCCACCGCGGAGACTGCCAGGAGGAGGGATCCCGGCTACGAGAGAGCCGCAGAGCATCACGGGAGATGCAGTCCCGACTGTAGGCGCCTTGCCCGAGGCCGCCGATCAGGGCGGACGCTGAAAGATGGCGTCATCGAGGTGGGCGGTCCCCACGCCGCCGTCACTCAGCCGAGACCCCGCCTCGGGCCGCGTGCAGTCAGCGAGCGCGCACGTGTTTGAGCTGTCGCCCGAGTCCCGGTAGCGCGGGCGGGTCGCGGGGGAAGGTGAGGGAGGGAAGGGGGCTGCCCCGGCGCTCGGACCCGGGCCCCACCCCTGCGTTTCCTCCCCGCCCTCCACCGCCCCCGGCGGCCGCCGCCCAAGCCACTCAGCTCCGAACGATGGGTTAAACTCCGTTTTGTGTGGTTGTGCCCACTCGGCGAGGACGCCAAGGCTTCAAGGAGCTTAACGGCACCGGATGCAAGTGTAAGACGGTCCGTATACTTCCGGAAGACCAGAACCAGCTAGCTGGGGCTCATCTCTGTGGGGAGAGTTGGAAGCCCTGGGCCGCAAAGGCAAGGCACTTTTAAAGAAAAACAGGAGGCTGCAAGTCCCAGTCCGCAGGGTCCCCATGGTTACAGAGATTGCTTAGCATGAGACCAGAGGTTATCACGAGACTTGAAGGCCTCGCGAAGACGACGACCACCTTTGGTTAGGTAGAATTCATGGGCACCCCTGTGCTCTGGGATTCCGCAGCTACGATTGTGGGCTAAGGGAGTAGCTGCCGATGAGGTTGCAGCTGCTCGTGGGTCTGAGCTTCTGGTCACGTAACCCCCCTCGCTTAGTTGGGGACTTTTATTCTCCTTATTCTCTCATCACTACATTCTTCCCCTAGTCTCTGGGTATTGGTTTCTCCATCCATTTCCTCAGTGGCCCAGAACACATCAGTGTGACTCCCAGTCAAGGCTGTCGCCCTAATGTCGTCAGGCAGGGCTGCAAATGTCACAGGTGCAGTTAAGTTCTGGCCAAGACAGGGTCTTGAGCCTGCCATGGTGTCTTCCTCAGCCTGCATGCCCAGCATTAAGTGTAATTACATGGCTTTTACAAAAGTAGTTGACCGCCGGAGGGGTAGAGGAAGGCTTGGGTAACAGGTACCAAAACACAGGAATAAAGTCTGCTTATTGAACTTGGGGGTCACAACCTGTTCCCCAAGCCAGGTTCAGATGCCTGCCCACAATAAGCCAACTCACTGATTAAAGATCCTAATTAAAAGTGGAACGCAGACGGGGGGGGGGGGGGTCTTTATTCAATATGGTCACATTGGGAAGGACAAAGAGGTCCAGGAAGACACCTCAAGTCCATCTTTGTAAGGTCAAAGTTTAAATAGAAGGGAAAGGATATGCACATCTAAGCAGAGCATTCACCACTGTGGGGATCCAGACTCTAGGTTAAAGGGGCCAGCCAAAGAAACACAGCCTGGCCCTGAAGCCAGAGCCAAAGAAACCCTCTGCTCTTGACCACCTCCATACAAAAACAACCAATCCCCGAACAGGAAAACCAAAATCCCTGAGCACAAAACCAACCAATCTCTGAGCTTGTCCAAGCTCAAGGATTGAAATCTGACCAATTACCGACCTGAAATTCTTCACCCTGGAAAAACTCTGCCCCAAGAAGCCCTATGGAAGCCCTGTGCCTGTTCCGTTGGGAGCTGCTTTTTGACACCCTGGCAGAGGCACTCATCCTTCTGGATTCCTCCCTCCTGATAAATCTCTTAACGTTTGCGTGAGACCTTCCTTGGCTGGAGTCAGCCACACAGAACTGTAACACTTTCACTGGAGAAACCTTCCCCTAGGGGCACAGAATTGTTACACTGGGGAGGTGTGTTGGTATTGACTGTGGTGGTATTTCTTGGCAAAATGCTTACACAGACCAAACCAAGACTTTCTAAGGGGCTTAAAGACAGAGATTATTTCTGTGTTCTTGTTCAGAAAGACTTGACAAAGCCTGCCTAACACTGAAACCATTGCCTGGTGTTTCTGGAAACCCGGCTCTTCTCCCTGGGCTGTGACTGTCAGTTCTAAGGCAGCTGTGTTTGCCATATCCTGTGTTCCTTTTGTCAGTATTGCCTGACTTAGCTCTCAGCTGACCTTAGCCCTTCCCCCCTGCAAATAGTATATATGATAGTGTACTTTCTAAAGATTGAGCTATACATTTTTCCCCATTCCCATTCCCTTCTCCCATCTGCCTGCCCCCTGTCCTCCATGCTCCCAACTTACTCAGATCTTGTCTTTTCCCCCTTCCTAGGCAGATCCATGTGTGTCTCCCTTAGGGCCCTCTCTGTCACATAGCATCTCTGGGGTGGAGGACTGTAGTCTGGTTGTCCTTTGCTTTATGCTTAATAGCCTCTTATGAGCGAGTACATATTAATATTTGTCCTTCTGGGTCTGGGTTACCTCCCTCAGGATAGCTTTTTCTGGTTCTGACAATTTGTTTGCAAATTCAAAGATGTCATTGATTTTTACAGTTGAGTAGCACTCTTTCGTGTAAATGTACATTTTCCTTATCCACTCTTTGGTTGGGGGCATCTAGGTTAATTCTAAATTCTGGCTAGGACAAATAATGCCAGAATGATTCCCAATTTTCTGAGAGACCTCCATAATGATTTCCACAGCAGCTATACAAGTTTGTACTCCCACCAGCAGTGGAGGAGTGTTCCCCTTACTACATATCCTCTCCAGCATAGGCTGTGATAGAGATTTTGATCTTGGCCATTCTGACAGGTGTAAGATGGTATCTCATAGTTTTGATTTGCATTTCTCTGATGACGAAGGATGTTGTGATTTCCTCAAGTGTCTTTCAGCCTTTGAGATTCCTCTGTTGGGATTTCTTTTTTAGATCTGTACCCCATTTTGTTTTTACTGGATTATTAGAACTTTTGATGTCTAGTTTCTTGAGTTCTTCGTATATTTTAGAAATCAGTCTTCTGTCAGATGTGGGATTGGTGAAGATCTTTTCCCATTCTGTAGGCTGCTGTTTTGTCTTATTGACCGTGTCTTTTGCTTTACAGAAGCTTCTCAGTGTCAGGAGGTCCCGTTTATTCATTGTTGCTCTCAGTGTCTGTGCTACTGGTGTTCTATTTAGGAAGTGATCTCCTGTGCCAATGCCTTCAAGACTGCTTCCCACTTTCTCTGAGGTTCACTGTAGTTAGTTTTGTGTTGAAGTCTTTGATCCATTTGGACTTGAGTTTTGTGCATGGGTGTAGATATGGAGCTATCTTCAGTCTTCTTTATGTGGACATCCAGTTATGCCAGCACCATTTGTTAAAGATGCTTCTTTTTCCCATTGTATAATTTTAACTTCTTCGTCAAAAATCAGGTGTTCATAGGTGTGTGAATTGACAGCATGGTCTTCAGTTCTATCTCATTGGTCCACCTCTCTGTTTCATTACTGTAGCTCTCTCGTAGTTTGAAGTCAGGTATGGTGATGCCTCCAGAAGCTCCTTTATTGTACAGGATTTTTGGTTTTGTTTTTTGGCTATAATGTTTTTGTTTTGTTTTTCTGTATGAAATTGAGGATTGTTCTTTCGAGGTCTGTGAAGAATTGTGTTGGGATATTGATGAGTATTGCATTCAATCTGTAGATTATTTTTGATAAGATTGCCATTTTTACCATGTTGATCCTGTCTATTAAAGAGCATGGGAGATCTTTCCATTTTCTGATGTCTTCTTCAATTTCTTTCTTCAAAGACTTAATGTCATACAGGTCTTTCACTTATTTAGTTACCCCAAGATATTTTATGTTATTTGTAGTTATTGTAAAGGGTGATGTTTCTCTGATTTCTTTCTCAACCCGTTTATCACCTGTATATAGGAGGGCTACTCATTTTTTTTTTGAGTTAATCTTGTGTCCTGCTACATTACTGAAGGTGTTTATCAATTGTAGGTGATTTCTGGGTGACTTATGATGTAGTTCTTAATAAACTTGCTTGGCATATATATCAGCTTCTGGAAGCACTCCAGGGTCCCAACTGTTACTGCTTTTTGTCTTCTTTATTTCTCCTCTATGGTCTTCCCGTTCAACACCTTGCTGTGTTCAAGGCCCATATTCCTGCTGTTGTGTCAACCCACTATTATAATACTGGACTTTTCATTCTGTGCTCTGACAAGTTGTTATAACTGTAAAGTCTCTCCTGGAGACAAGTTTCTATTTCCAGCATGAGGTTCCTGGAGAAATTCTCATTTCTTTGGGACCCATTGTTTCAAAGGTCTGATGATTGAGATTGGAGGAGTTTCAGCTTAGAGTTGTTTGTAGTCTAACATGAAGGGAAGTTGGGGCAGGCACTTGAGGCCATGGGAGCCTTGGCTTGTGCAGCTTGCTTTCCTAATGCACCCAGGACCTCCTGCCGAGGGGTGTTCCTGCCCGTGAGCTGGGCCCTTCCGTTTCTGCCATTAACAAGGAAATGCCCTACAGACTCGCCTACCAGCCTGATAGGGGCATTTTCTCAGTTGAGGTTCCTCTTCCCGGGTGACTTGAGCTAGTGTCAACTCTAAGTGTGTATAGGAAACCAACCAAGGTCCCAGTAACAGCCCTCAGCATCATTCCATCAAAGCTCACGCTGGAGAATGAATGAGACTTTTGGCCTTTAGGTGAGGGTTCTACAGAAATGTGGGTGCCCCCACCCAACCAGCTGCATCTGGAAAGCCTTTACCCAGCAGGAATAAGAGGTCCCCTCCCCTAGTCTTCCCAGGCCTAACTATTCCCAGGCCCCATGCAATTAAGGCCGAGTTGCCTACAACAGGTGACAGGAAACAGCTGCATCTCACACCCTTTCAACCCCTGTGGCTGAATGCAAATAGTCAACAAGCCAAGCTGGGACTATTCCTTTGCAAGGGGCTCAGGTGAACTCCCAAGAATGGTAGTCGCCTGGCTCCTAGAACAATGTCACAACATAGGTCCTCCTTCTCCAGTGGCCTGGAACTCACTGTGTAGCCTTAGGTTAATCTGAATTCATGACAGCCCTGTCTACTGAGATTGTGGCTTTTTTATTTTTATTAGGACTTATGTGTTAGGAGATCCCTGGAGCTGGCATTACAGGTAGCTGTGAGCCACCTAATGTGGGTACAGTCAGCAGAACTTGTCTTCTAGTAAAGGAGCAAGTGCTGGCATCCACAGCCATCTCCAGTCCAGTTATGGCTTTGGATCACAGTTGTATACAAACCTGAAGACAGGAATTTGAAAGTTTCCTGAACAATGAAATAGTTAAGGGTAGGAGTGCTAAACTGCACTCTATGTTCTCCGTTAATGTACATAATTTTAAAAACAGGATGTGTGGAAGCCAGGAGTGTGGGTCAGTGGACGTACACCTTTGTAGCAGGGTCTGAGGATCAATTCCTAGCAGTGAGATGTTTTTAAAAGAACATTATGTAAGAACTTAGTAGGCGGTAGACAAATCCCAAGGCACCGACTGCGCTCCCAGCCTGCGTATGGTATGGAGTCAGGCACGAGGCCCAGCCCAGCGGAGGCCCCACGTCACAATGACCGTGATACACAGAGGGCAAGCACGATGCATTCTGTGGGCAAGAGGCTCTACTGCTTAGAAAAGTTTGTGCGGGGAGCCGCTGCAGTGTGTGTGCTCAGCATGCTCCCCATCCCAGGCAACCCCAAGGAAACGGCTGTAAACTGTGCAACGCTTGTCAACTCTTCTCACCTCAGGAGAGGTTCCTGTTGAAGACCCTGGTGTCCATCCTCAGTACCAAAAAGACAACCATTCTTTTTTTCCAAGGAGACTCACTAGTTTCTTCCATAGATATCTATGTCTATCTTTAACTTAAAATACGAGCCGGGCGTTGGTGGCGCACGCCTTTAATCCCAGCACTCGGGAGGCAGAGGCAGGCGGATCTCTGTGAGTTCGAGGCCAGGCTGGACCGACAGCCTCCAAAACAGAGAAACCCTGTCTTGTAAAACCAAAAAAAAAAAAAAAAAAAAAAAAAAACTTAAAATACTCCTGCTTCAGCCTCCTGAGTGCTGAAATGATAGGTATACCATATGCTCAGAGAGCACAGAATTTCTCTGAAGTGTTTCATGGGTGTGCTTAAACCATGGGGACCATCCTAACCACTGCCCATTCATTTCTGAACCATCCCACCCCCATTTACTATAATAGCAGGAGGCTAAGATCCAAACACACCACTCAGGGGAACATTGTGGGAGGAGTCTTTATTACAGCCCTCATTGATATGAGTAGGTGAGCTACACCATTCTTTTTCACAAGGGATTTGTTCCCCAAGCCCCTCTGCAAAGAGGAATGTTTGTCAACACACCTTCTACGTTCTAGACACTTCCCAAACCCCACACCCTGTCAGCATCTATGGATGCAGTTCCTTTGTATCTTTTTTGTCAGCAGTTAAAAAGGAACCTCGAGGTTTCCTACTGACTTTCCACCAAGGCTGGGACTTCAGGATCTGCCTGCCTTGTACTGAAAGCTTTTTAAAGCAATAAAAATGTCTTTGTTCCAAAAAGGCATTAACAGGTAGACTGAAATCCAGAGGGCATCTGCATCAGTGTCAGTACACAAGAGTATATAAACCTTGAGAGAATTCCATTAAAAAACATTGTGACCAAGAAAATATTGCTTGCCTTTAAATAAATATAAGTGTCAAAAAAAATTAAATATACTTAAAGGGTTGTTTTCCCAATTACAAAGTTTACATGTAAGATCCCAGGAAGGACACCGGAAGTCTTCTCCACGTGCCCGCTGAGGAGCAGGAGCAGCGGCTTATGGTAAGACCGGCTCTTCAAGCAGAGTCCATGCTGTGCCATCTGTGAAACTGCGTTTCAGACACCCAGGCCACGATCAGTCTGGGTACAGCTGACGCCCGTGTTCACCCTCTGTCCTGCACGGTGACTTTTCCTGTCCTCCCGGCTTCTCTGTCCTTCTGCAGTCCTGTTCCGTGGGTGAAGCCAGCCCAAACTCTCAGCACTTCACCCCTGCCTGGCGTTTCCCTCTACCCCACATCACAAAGACAATTCCATCAAAAGGAAACCATTATGCCACCGTAAGCAGGATCCAGTTAAAGAGTATGTGCAGCAGGACTGATCCCGGAAGATTTCTTACCAAAACGAGACCAGCAGAGACTCTGATCAAAGGAACCTGTTACGAGGCCATCTACTAGGGCATGGCTGACAACAGCATTCGGAGCATCAGCACTGACTGCTATGCCCACCGTGAACTACTACACAGGACACTCAACCTTTCCTTCTGTCCATAGGGAGCAAACCGCAAACACGCAACCTGGGCCCCTTCAGATACTGGCCCAAGTCCAACAAGGAAGGTGGACACAGGAGGCACAGACTAGTCCAACACAGGGTCCAGGGGGGCTCATGGGCTCTGGGACAGCAGCAGAGCTCAATCACAGATCCTGGAGGTGAGTGGGGACTGGTCTGGCATGAACAGCACGGGCGGGGAGCCCACACTGCTGGAAGGACTTAGGAAGTGGGCGTCAAAGGAGCTTGGGGTAAGGCCAATCACTGCATCCATCTGGGGCACTTCACCTTTCAAAAAGTCATCGTCTTCTTCTTCCACTAGTTCCTGTGTAAAGAACAGAGCGTTGAGGACACCACAGTACCAGGCAGAAAAGTCTTCATGGGCTGCTGGAGGGGGGTAAAGGTGTGTCACCAAGTCTGGCCACCTGAGTCAGACCAGCATGTGAAAGGAACGAACCGACCCCCTCAACTTGCACACACGTACACACACACACTTTTTTGTTTTTTTCTTAATTTTTGTTTTTCAGCCTTTTGAGACAGGGTCTCTCTATTCATTCCTGACTGTCCTGGAACTTGTTCTGTAGAACAGACAGGCCAACAACTCACAGAGATCCTCCTGACTCTGCCTCCTGAGTGCTGGGATTAAAGGTGTATACCACCATGCCTGGGCCTAATATTTTTTTATTTTATGCATATGAGCATTTGCCTGAGGAGGTCCCAAGAGTGTTGTGAGCTCTGGGAACTGAATCCATGTCCTCTGGAAGAGCTCTTAACTGATGACCCATCTCCCCAGGACCCCTAGGTTTTTGTTTTTGTTTTTTTTTTTAATGAAAAGCTTACTAATTCCTTTCCTGAGCCAGAGAAATTACTCAGTCAGTAAAAAGGGAGCAGACTCCACCCCCAAAACTGAAGTAAAAAAATCCCAGCACTGGCGAAACAAACAGAACTAAGTCTAGCCTAACTGGCATGTCCCAAGCCAGTGAAAGCTCCCATCTCAGCAAGTACATTATGATGCTGAATGTACGGGTCAGAGTACTACAGACTACTACGGACAGCAACATCACTCATTTCCTATGGGGCAGTGGTTCCTAACCTTCCTAATGCCTCCATTCTTTAATACAGTTCCTCATAGTGTGGTGACCCCCAGCCATAAAATTACTTATTGCTACTTCATAACTAATTTTGCCACTTAGGTGCCCCTGTGAAAGAGTCACCTCCAACGGGTTGGAAACCACTGTCTTAGGTCTAAGTTCCTGTTGGGTAGGACTGTGCTGGATCCATGGCAGGAAGCTTGAGGAATGACACAGGTCTGTGTGTCCCTGAGGACTCCAGAACAGGAGCACACGTCACAGTGGCTGAGGGGCATTAGTGCTGGGGACACCAGCGGCAGTGAAGCTCTGCTGTGGCCTCACTGTGGCCTCAGCAGCCTCCCACATCCTGGGACGGCTCCACTTATTCTCAGTCGTTTTCCTCCTCAGCTCCCCGCTGCACCCCCACAGAGTCACCACCACTAAGCCACAGTACAGCCTGCAGGCTAATTTCCAACCAACTTTTACCTCCCAAAGTACCGGGTTATTTAAAAGCAAACAAGACTTGGGGCTGGTAAAATAGCTCAGTTGATGCGCTAGGGTCTGACTTCGATCCCCAGAACCCATAGTTTTAAAAGTCAGGTAAGATGCTGGCAGTGGTGGCGACACCTTTAATCCCAGTACCCAGGAGACAGAGGCAGGAGGATCTCTTTGAGTTCGAGGATAGCCTGGTTTAGGAATTTCAGAATAGCTAGGGCTATACAGAGAAACCCTGCCTCAAAACACCTAAAAAAGTAAGTAAATGGATAAACAATGAGTAAACAAACAATGAACACGGGAAACCTTGGCCTTGAGAAAGAGGAGACAGGCAGGCCCCTGGGCTGGCCACACTGGCCTACTTGGCAAACTCAAGTGAAGGGAAGGCCTTGTCTTCTAAACTATAGCTCCCGAGGCCCAGCACCAAGGCTGACCACTGGCTTACACCCTGATCTCACACACAAATACACAAATGAAGACTTGCCTAGTACGGTGGCAAACAGCACTCAGCGAGGGGAGGGGAGGCCCCAGACCTTCATGAAACCCCACGAAAGGAATAAATGAAACAACCCCACGAATCCTCTAACCTGGGCTTGGACTCAGAGCAGTGTTTACTGTGGTCTGTAACGACATGGGACTTTCACCAAGTGCCTCCACCACACATTTACCTTTTTAGTAGGTTTCTTCAACTCTTGTAGCTCTTCAGCACTCATGTCTTCCCAGACCTGATAAAGAGGATCAATAAACTTCTTTGACCTGGCAACAAAGACGGCAATCCAAAGTAAATCAGGATGTAGCAAGAATCCCAATCAGTACCGCAGCTCTTCTCAGACCAAAGCAGGGAGTGAGGACTGCAGCTGCCAAGGGAACTGTGAATCCTGAAACCCCAGTCACACACCGAGCAATGTGTCTGCCACCTCTCAGATTTCAGGGCCCACTTGTTTCTTGTCTCAGAGACAGCTGGGAGGACCTACCTCTTAAGCACACAAGGGTCAAAGGGAAAAAACGTGTCCAGTGGGTTGGTGCAGGTCTGCACGGAGTCCCCGCCAGCTGTGCTTCTGATGACAGGCAGCATCTGGCGATTGTTCCTCTCCATGATGGTGTAGCAGAACACAAGCTGGTACTTACTGGGGGCACACAAGACAGCAGATAAGCAACCCTGTGGGTCGTGAGGCACACAGGTCATACCTGAGAGGCAGGCACAGCAGTGCATAACGGAGGGTGACAGGAAACGGGACCACCTGGGGTCAGCTCTCTGAGCCTGGCATTTGCATATCTGCCAAGGAGGAAACAGTATCGAGGAGATTGATGGGACTTTATAATAGGAAAATGTCTGTTTTCTCTTTTCAAAAGGAATTAGGACTCATGAAAAAAAAAAAAAAAGGTTCACTGTTTACTGGGGACCAAGAGTAGATCCAGTGGACGTATTCTGAATTGTAGTGAAGGACTTGTGGTCTCATCCTGCAGCCTTGGCAATCTTCCAACCTCACGAGCATGAGCGAGCGTCACAGGCAGGAACCTCACACCAGCTGTGTCCCCTTCCTCCCCGTTCCCGCCTCTCATGTCCTCAGACAGGGCTTCACCATGGAGCAGGCAGACCTTGAACGGTCGGTTCATTCTCTGACCTCCCAAGTACTAAGGAATGAGCAGTTTTCTTTGTTTTGTGCACAGTCTAGGACTTGAAGTAGTCAAGGACATCTGCTGCTAAGCCACACTGCAGCCTGTTAGCTCATTTCCAGCCAACTGTGACTTCCCAGACAAGGCACTATAGAAAGTGATTACTTTTTAAAGTTGGGCTGGTGAATATAACTCAGGGTAAAGTATGAGAGTCTAAGCCATACCCAGAGCCTGTACTTTAAAAAAACAAATGTAGGTAATGGCTCAGCAGTTCAGCACTAGCTTTTCTTCCAGAAGACTCAGCTTTGATCTCCGCATCCATATGGTAGCTCACATATGAGGATGCAGCCTATGAGGTCGGACACTCTACTGGCCTCCGCAGGCACCGAGCACAAGGTACTACACAGACACACGTGCAGGCAGAGCACTCAGACACATAAAATGAAAGAATAAAAAGCCAGGTACAGCTAGGCATGGTGGCACATCTCCAGACGCAGGAGGATCTCTCTGTAAGTTTGAGACCAGCCAGGGCTATGCAGTGAGACCCTGTCTCAAAATAACAAAAAAACACACACAAAAATAAACAAACAAAAACAAAAAGCCAGGTGCAGGGGTGGTGGCGCACGCCTTTAATCCCAGCACTCGGGAGGCAGAGGCAGGTGGATCGCTGGGAGTTTGAGGCCAGCAGGCCTGGTCTACAGAGACCAGAACAGACAAGGCTACCCAGAAACCCTGTCTTAAAAAACAAAACAAAATAACAAACAAACAAACAAAAACCTCACACTCAAAACAACCAGGTGCAGTGCACACTTTTAATCTCAGGTCAGAGTAGAAGGAACTGGGTTCACTGACAGCAGCACTGTTCCCAAGCAAAAATTCACTTAAAATATTTTCATGACATTCAAGTCAGCATCAGTGAAAATCAAACATAGCACAAAACAGCCCAAAGATAGATGGATTCCACATTTACACACTGAGCAGTGATGGTGGAAAGAATTGAGCCTTTGCTTTCCATGATCAAACCATCACATTCCTATGGGGAGGAGCCCTGGCGTACAGTAAAAACACTGTGGCCACGCCGTGCTGTGGCCCCGAGTCTGAGCGGGGCCTGGGCAGCTGCGATGCAGCTGTGCTCAGAACCTGAGGGGTGGTGATGTGCCATGCGCGTTCAGGAACGCCTGGATTCACTACTGTTTGACTCTGAATTCACTGTTACGCAGTGAGAACTTTTACTGTGGGCAAGTTCTTCTTGAGGGCCCGCTCAGTTATCCCAACCTGTAACCACGAAGCTCCCTCCCGTTTGTTTTGAACGATGTACTCGTGCACCAGGTGTCTTTGACTTATGTGCACCTCGCAGATCACTAGCTGGCCTCGTAAGTATCTCAGAGTCCTAGGCCACTCTGGATAAGAGCACGCTTGACCCCCAGTGTCGCTGAAGAACAAAAGAGCTAGAAGCGGGACCCTTTCCAGGACTAGCGTTACTGGTTTCCTCATGCGTGTACATCTCAAATGTACTGGGATTTACTCTCAATGCCAGAGCGCATGGCAGCCAGCATAACAGTTCCCCCCTTGACTTTTTAAATGTCCATAAAGGAAATGCAAATGACTCACTTTGTGACAGCAGCAAAAAAGTTAACCACTGATGGTAGGCAGATCTTCAGAGGGTTTAGCTGGCTCAGCACGACACGCTCAAAGTTTAGACTCTGAAGATACCGTAAACCTTTGATTAAAAAAAAAAGGGGGGGGTTAAAATTATCTTTAAAAGCACAAATTATTACACATTTAAAAAACCAATTTAGCAGGGTGGTAGTAGCACACACCTTTTATCCCAGCACCCTGGAGGCAGAGACAGGTGGATCTCTATGTTTCCAGGGCTAGCCTGGTCTACAGAGTGAGTTCCAAGACAGCCTCCAAAACTACAGTCTTGAAAAATCAGAAGAAAAAAAAAATTAAGGGCTCTGTGGTACAGCATGTGCTTAGGATGGGCTTGAGCTCTAGCAGACCCCAAAATAAAGACATTATCAAGAAGCTGTTTGCAGAAATACAGGAATGACATTCAAGCCAACTGCTGTCCTTCAGTACAGCTTTTCTGAAGGAACCACAGGTCCTTCAGGTGAAGAATTACAGGGTGGTGGTTAGAATAGGTTCGGCACCCCACAGACTCAGGGAGTGGCAGGGTTAGAAGAGGTGGTCACCCTGAGGGCAGGCCTCCTGCTGCCTGCGGGTCAAGATGGAGAACTCTCAGCTCCTCCTCCAGCGCCCTGTGTGCTGGCTGTTACGCTCCCCGCCATGATGATAGCGGACTAAACCTCTGAACTGTCAGCCAGCCCCAATTCAATGTTCTCCTTATGAAATTTTCTGTGGTCATGGTGTCTCTTCACAGCAACAGAACACTATGGCGGACTCAGGACCAGCTGGACTCAGGATCTGACAGCTCAGGGCTGACTGAATACAGCACAACAGACTCTGTCTAACTTGCACGTCAGAATTGCACAGCCAAGCACCATTCTCAGGGGCTCATTGTGGTTTGTATCCCTCCCTCTGCCCGTCCCTCATCATAAAGTAAACCTGTCTCTTGAAGCCAAAGAATCCCTCCTACAATGGAATCCTAGTCTAGGCTGGGGTACAAGGATTATGAATTGAAGCTAACCAAGGATCCACTGTGGAATAATCCCCCCCAAAATTATCTTTAACAAAGTACACATATATTTATTATTTTGCAGCCAACAGACCGATTTATGTTTGTTTTCTTAGGAATTTTTGCTATGTGTTTTAATTTAAAAATTACATAGGGGCTAGAGATGGCCCAGTGATTAAGAGCATGCGTAGCTCCTGCAAGGGACTTGGACTCAGTCCCAAGCACCCACACGACGGCTCACAACTGTCTGATGCCCTCTTCTGATCCCCATGGCGCCAGGCACACATGGTGCAGACATACATGCAGTCACAACTCCCATACATGTTCTTTAAAGTTAATAAATCTAACCTATGATAATGCATCAGATATGTATTTTAATATGTATAAACCTATTTATTATTTATGGTCACATAAACCAAGTCAGGCGTGGCGCTCACCTGTGTCCCAGCCCTGGGAGGCTGAGGCAGGAGGACCACCAGGAGCTCCAAAGTAGCTTGGGCTACCGAGTGGAACATGACTCAGAACAATTTACAGTTACAGATAGATCTGGTGGAGGCTGAGCGGCCTATCTCTGCAGAGGACCAGGGCTCCATTCCCAGCATCTCCACAGCAGCTAACAACTGTGTAAACTAGTCACAAAGTCACTCTGAAGGCACGACAGGCACACAGCACTCAGACATGCACGTGCAGGTGAGGCACCCACAGACAGAAGTCAGTTTTAAAGAGAGAGACGGATGTGCTGGACTGCAAAGGTCAGAGCCCCGCCCACGGCTGGTGGGAGACTACCAGATAAAGCTGCCGGCCACTAACCAAGTCTGAGCCCCAGACACACACATTAGAAGAGAACTAACTGCCTCCCTCCTGCAAGTTGTCCTCTGACCTCCACAGCATGCGTGTGTGTGTGTGTGTGTGTGTGTGTGTGTGTGTGTGTGTGTGTGTGTGTGTGTGCGCGCGCGCGCATGTGGCTCGTGACCTCATTGGTCACGAGAACTTCACAGGGTTCTCTTAAAACCATCGAAACACAGATATTTACATTACAATCAGTTCATAACAGCAGCAAAATTACAGTGATGAAGTAGAAGCAAAAATAATTTTATGGCTGGGAATCGCCACAGCATGAGGAGCTGTGTTAAAGGTCGGGAGACTGAGAACCACTGGACGAGGAGGAGCGTCCTTCTGTGGAAAAGCAAGGCCACAAGGGCAGGGAAGTGCAGAACTCCAGGAAGGGGATCAGAGACAGCCTTTGCTCTGACTCCTTTGCAGTGGTTCTCTGGTAGCTAGCTAAACTATCCATAAACAGCAGAGGGAAAACAGAAATTGCTCATCTCTGAAGTAAACCCAGAGTCTAACCTTTGCCCTCCTCTGCAAGCCCGTGATGCCACGGCCACACCTGTGGCAGCAAACCGACATGAAGCCCCTCACACATTAAAAAAAGCATCAGCCCACGGCAGCCGCACTGCCCGACACCCAAGTACAGTAAGAGAAGCCGGCCTGAACCGCATTGCTGACCTTCCTTCAAGTTTCCACTCAGGATCTGCTTGTGTCTGAAAACGACAGTGTAGAACACGGCTTGGCAGGCCGAGTAAAACGGTCCATGGAGCGCGACATCGCAAAAAGCCTTTGTCCCCGAGTCCTGGTTATTAAGATACATGTGCAGCCAGTTAACCAAAAGATCCAGGCATGACTTCACCGTGCTGCAGGGAGAAGAAAGTCAGTGTTACTGGACTCATCAGAAAGCTGGAGGCAGAAGCACACACCCGTCCTTCTTTCACTATCCATTTCATGAGGGTTAGATACCACGGGCTCAGTGGTAAGCAATTGCTTTACAGCTATGAGGCCCTGGGTTCCATCCCCAACACCAAAAACCTTACCCATAGGCAGAGAAAAAAACAGAAGGAAAAGGGCAGATGGTGAGAAGGTTCCTTGCAATTTTTTGTTTTCAGGTTGTTTTTTGCCTTTTTTTTTCTAAACAGTGTTTCTCTGTGTAGCTCTGGCTGTCCTGGAACTCAGTCTGCAGACCAGACTGGCCTTGAACTCACAGAGATCACCTACCTGCCTCTGCCTCCCCGGTACTGGAACTAAAGAATGCCTTCCAGTTCTGTGAGGCAGCACTTATTTCTGCAGAGCAAGAGGCCTTAGGGATGTCCCAAGGAGCAAGGCCCAGGAGCACAGGCCTGTAACCCATCCCCTCACTCAGAAGACTGAAGGAGGGTTGGGAGCTCAGACCAGCCTGGTTCCAGAGCAAGACTTTATCTCAAAATGGAACAAAACAAAAGACACAAATACTTTCAGGGACAGAGCTGAGCTTCTCCAACTCAGCCAAGACTTCCCGGCTTAGCTCCCAGCCAGCCAGCAATGTGGCTGAGGATGAGGCTTTTCCATCTGGACTCAGAAACTGGAACCACAAGACTTAGTTGACTGGGGGGGGGGGGGGGCTTAGCAGCACCTGTGCCCCTGTGTCGTGGAGCCCCTGAAGAAAGCAGTCTCCTAAGTGTTAATGCTGGGGGTGGGGGCCAGGGCTTTGCAAGTGCTGAACGTGCTTGACCACTGAGCTCCATCCCACCAATTACTCTAAAAAGGGTTTCTTCATGCCAGGCGTTGGTGGCGCACGCCTTTAATCCCAGCACTCGGGAGGCAGAGGCAGGCGGATCTCTGTGAATTTGAGACCATCCTGGTCTACAAGAGCTAGTTCCAGAACAGCTTCCAAAAGCCACACAAACTCTTGTCTCGGAAAAAGACAAACAAACAAAAAAAGGGTTTCTTCAGGCCAAACGGACACAATTAATTTGAAAAGCAAATGAAGAACAGCAAGCCTACAACATACAACACGGCGCTACACATGAACAGAGACAGCAAACCTACAACATACAACACGGCGCTACACATGAACAGAGACAGCAAACCTACAACATACAACACGGCGCTACACATGAACAGAGACAGCAAACCTACAACATACAACATGGCGCTACACATGAACAGAGACAGGCTTCAGGTCAACACACACAGATGCCTCATGGACCTCCTACCAGATGGAGACCTGTCCATCTCAAATCACGTCTTGGAAATAAAAGCACCTTGCATTATAGTGAACAGATTCACCCCCTTGCTTTACAAAGACAGATCAAAAATGTAAGACCTATTTCTTTGACTTGAGACAATACTATAATCTCCCTAAAGCAAAACATTAAAAAAGCATTTGGAAAATTAGGTTACTTACATAAGAGGTATAAATTTAGCTCTTGCCAAAAAGCTCCCAATGTAATTCGCAGCAGCTTGCCTGATGATGGCGGGGTTATTTGGATCCTGCAACTTTTTCCAGAGATGCTCCAAGAATGCTTCTGCAAATCCCTGCAACGAGAGGCGGCTGGCTTGATACTTATTTCTAATGCATACAGACAGAAATGTTCATCACTGGACTAGAACAAAGACCCAGATACAAGCTCACACACCCGTGGACACTTGTTTTTTGACAAAGAACCCTGAAATACACACTGGAAAAAGGATAGTATCTTCAGAAAATGGTTCTAGTGAAGTCCAACGGGACAGCTCCATGTACAAGAATGCAAACAGACCCGAACCGCTCACCCTGCACAAAGCTCAACTGCAAATGAATCAAGGGCTTAACATAAGGACAGACACCTTGCGTCTGATAAGAGAAAGAGGGGTAGTCTGGAACTTACGGGCACAGGAGAAGAAGACTTTCTGAACAGGACAGTGATAATAAGCACGACAGTAACGGGACATACATCATCAAGTCAGAAAGTCTTTAATCCCAGCACTCCGGAGGCAGAAGCAGCTGGATCTCTGAGCTCCAGGACAGTCAGGGATACACAGAGAAACTGCCTTGGAAAACAAAAACGATCAAACAAAAAGCCCCACAAATATCTTTGGGGTTTGCAGGTCAGGGATAGCCCAGTGGGTAGAGTTTGTTTCCCTTGCGAGCTGGATTTGACTCCCAGTGTCACCAGGAGGAAGGGAAAGGCCACCATCTAGTGACCAAAGGCAGGACAACACCTTCAGTGTATCTGTATAGTAGTTAATGCTATTCCAGTTTTTAACGGGAAATTGTGGAAAAAGTAATAAAATGGGTTGGGGATTAGGAGCACATATTGCTCCACAAAGAACCAAAGTTCACCTGCAGGGACTCTGAGGCCTTTTTTCAAATGGTTTTTGGTTTTCTCAAGACAGGGTATCTCTGTTTAGCCCTGGCTATCCTAGAACTCATTCTGTAGACCAGGATGACCTCCAACTTAGAGACCCACGTAGGTGTGAGCCACTACTGCCTGGCCTGAGGTCCTCTTCAGATTGCTATGGGCACCGGTACTACTCATGCACACATACCCACAAACATGCATAGGTACTCACATTTAAAAAAATAATATTAAGTTTTCAGCTGGGCATGGTGGTACATGTCTCTAATCCCAGCACTTAGGAGGTAAAGGCACTCAGATTTCTGAGCTCCAGGATAGCCAGGATTAGACGAGACCCTATAAACCACTCGCTCACTCGCTCGCTCGCTCGCTCAGCATGGCAATGCCATTTCGCTCACCAGTTTGAAGCTGCACAGGAAGAACATGAAGAACTGTACGTGGCAGGAAGCATGTGTGGGCAGCAGCAGCTTGTCAAAGATGGATATCAGATCACGGTACAAGTCCTTTGTCTTATTATTGTCAATCTTACCTATGGAGAAAAAGCAAACTTTAATTTCATAAATACATTCTTTAGGGTTTTTTTTGTTTGCTTGTTTTGTTGTTTAAGATAAGGTTTCTCTGGGTATCAGCCCTAGCTGTCCTGGAACCAGCTCTGTAGACCAAGCTGGCCTTAAACTCACAGAGATCCTCCTGCCTCTGTCTCCCGAGTGCTGGGCCCAGCCATAAGTATGTATTTTAAAGGAACACTGTACCATTTAGAATCAGCATTTGGGTCAGGGCTGAGCATTCATGAGACTCCAAAGGGCGGGGGGCACAAAAATTCAAACAAAAGTAACACCCCCAAATTATCCGTTAAGCTATGGCTACAACAGTATTTAAATGACTGACTGACTTTGCTTTCTGTATGTGTGTGTACACCTTCTGTACAAGGGTCCTAGAGTCATCACAATGGCTCCAGACTGTTTTATTCTGTGTAATCCTGCAGTTACAAGGAAGCAAGCCTGTATATCACACAGCTGTGAAGCAACAAAAATGACCTTTCCTTTTTTGAGGGTAGAGGCAGGGGTTGTTTGAGTCAGGGTTTCAATGAAACAGCCTTGGTTGTCCTGGAAGTCACTCTGTAGACCAGGCTGGCCTAGAACTCAAGAGATCCACCCGCCTCTGCCTTCCAAGTGCTGGGAGTAAAGGCATGCGCCAACACCGCCCGGCCTTTCTTTCTGTTTTTCAAGACAACTGTAATTCATTATGCAGTAAAGGCTGATCTTGACCTCATGCTCTTCTGCCTCTACCTCCCAGGATCTGGGGTTATAGATGTGTACCACTATGCCAGGCTTCCAAATCTATTATGAATAAACTCATTATCTTCTTTTGTTTGTTTGTTTGTTTCCAGACAGAGCTTCTTTGTGTATCCCTGGCTATCTTGAGACTTGCTCTATAGACAAGGCTGATCTCAAACTCAGATACACTTGCCTCTGCCTCCCAAGTGCTGGGATTAAAGGCGTGCACCACTATGTCCAGCTAATAAACTCCTTCTTAAACCACAGCAAAGTGCATGGACACACAAGCTCTAGGCTGTTTCTTGAGGATTCGTTTGCTCAGTGCAGTTAAAGTCCCAATACTGGGCATAATAGGCATCTAGCAAGGGCTTCTCAAGGAACTATATGATACAGGTGGTCAAGACACCATTATTAAATTTCTAGAGCATCTCAAACACAAGGGATCTATTCTAAAGTTGGCCAGATTCCATCTATTGCACCCCAGTCTTTGAAGTCAAATACTAGGATCTTAATCCCATTCCCCCCATTTTCCAGCTGTGACACTGCCATGGAAGCTGATCTGTCTGAGCCTTTCTTGCCTCATTCTCAAGACACTGGGCAACTATCTAGGTTAGTCTGGTTGTTACCATCTACACGGCAGACATCCTCAATGTAGGACAGAAGCAAGGACAGCAGGATGTCCAGGCGCTCGGCGACGGGGTGAGCCATCTGGGTAGACTGGTCCAGGTCAGGTTTCCGTCCAGGGTCAGGGTCCTCATCTTCATCCTTTGAGGAAGTGAAAACAGACATTATGAAAAGGTCACCGAGGGTCTAACGTTTGGGAAAACTGGCATAGGCTATCATTTCTTCTAAAAGAGAAGTGCAACGCACACACTGTCCCAGACTCTCATTCACATTCAGAGATGTGGTTCAAAGTCACTTCTCGAGTTTTAAACAAACACCCGTCTCTTTTCCTTTTGTTTTTGGGGTTTGGGATATAGGTGGGCGGCAGAGCGGGACACTGGGACTGGTCCCCCATGCACATCAAGCATGTGTGCTAGCACTAAGCTGTACCCCAGCCTGGACTCTCACAAGATCCCAACACAACTGGCCTGCCAGCAGCACGTCCCATCCCTGACCGTGGGGACTTCCGTAGCCGCTGTGCTGGGGCTGAGTCACCAGCTGCTGGGCTGTGTGCCAACAGCTCATAGCTTCTCCAGTCAAGGAACCAATGCCGAGGAGTCACAAAAGGCACAGAGCCAGCAGGATTCTCAGTGAGTAAAGGTGTTTGCCACCAATCCTAGTGACCAGAGTCTGACCTCCAGAGTCTACGTGGCAGAGGAGAACAGACTCCAGAAAGCTGTCCAAGGTACAGCTACTTCCTGCCACATCCCAGAAAACAGGGTCTCACTTAGCTTCACCCCAGCCTTCTTGTTCTCTAACCCTGGCCCCAAGAGTACCTCAATTCAGCTCAAACTCTGGGGGGTCGAGCCCCCCATCATCACATCACGCACTCCAATTAGAGTGACTACCTCAAGGTATCTAACCGGCAGAGCACTTGCTACACTGGGACGCATCCTGCTTGCTGTTTACTCACAGATGCTTGTGACTTATAGAAGCAATGGGAAAAAAAGGGCAAGAAAGTGAAACAAATCTCCCCAAGAATCAATCTTAAAGCCTTGGGCATAAACTATTTATAGGCAGCAAATAACAGGTCAGCAATGGGCAAGGTATCACAAACCTGTAAACCCAATTCTCAAGTTTGTTAAACTATTTCATTTATGTATTGATGGGGAATGGTCTTCTGTATATGTTTATCTTATTGGTTAATGAATAAAACACTGTTGGCCAATAGGGCAGCACGATAGGCGGGTCTAGATAAGGAGGATTCTGGGAAACGTAGGAAGAGTCAGTCACTATGTAGGCTGTCAGAGGAGTAACATCATGCTGTGCATTACCAAGTAAGCCACAGCCTCATGGCAATACATAGGTTGATAGAAATTGGCTAATAATTAAGACAGAGCTAGCCAATAAGAAGGTCAAGCCAATGGCAACAGTATTATAATTAATATAAGTCTTACGTGTTTATCTGGGGGCTCCATGGCAGCTGCAGAACTGGGCGGGAAATTCGTTAGCATATTAATATATTGCCACGAGTATGTCAGGAGACACACGTGTGTGCATGCACGAGTATGTCAGGAGACACACGTGTGCGCATGCACATGGAGGCTGCGGGTTGCTTGGTTTATTCTTCCCCAGGAATGCTGTCCACTTCAAGAAACGGTCTTTCACCAACAATTACTCGAGATGGTCCAAGTACTGTGCCGGGGCTGCTCCTGTCTGTGCCTCGCTAGTGCTGGGACTTTGAATACATATTACCACACCCAACATTCTTCTCTGGGTTCTAGGGGGCACTCGGGACCTTATATGTACAAGGAAGCACTTTTCCAGCATAGCTCTCCTTCCAGCCCCTCCTCTGTTCTGCTCTGACAGAAAGCCCTGCAAAAGGCTTCAAGTCTATTAAAGACTCTAAGCCATTAGCTGTGTCTTTCCACACTCTGTGGTAGACTCCCAATGTATGCTTCTGTTAAGGACAAGAATCCAAACACAAGATGAAAACAAAGAAGTTTAAGCATCAACATGAGAACAGAGAGGCGCTGACCATGTTAAACAATCCTTCCGCGGCATCTGCCTCACAAGTCTGAGCTGCTGCCTCTTCGGCGTCTTCAATATCCTGCCGGGATACACTCACCTATGCCACAGAAACAAAAGAGAAAGCAGTTAAAAATGCAGTTACTTGTAGCTGAAAATTAATCTAATGCACACACTATTGTGAAATATTACTTTAACTAGGCAAAGATATGTTAATGTGCTTATGCTGTGGGATGAATATTGCTTTAACTGCAGAAAAGTGAGCTGCGTTTGTTGAATTACGTAAAGCTGTGCTGCACCTGTTTCACTTTGCCTGCCTCCCAATCTCGGCAAAAGGGAAGAGGGGAGGAGATAGGGAAAAAGACAGGGGCAGGTATGCCCAGAGCCAGAAGCCGCAGACGGCAGGAAAGTAAGATACCCTGGAAGACAGGAAGGGAGGAGACAGACAGGAAAAACCCCGAGACAAATCACAGATGAAGAGAAACACTAAGACTCAGTGCTCCTCCAGCTTCCGTGGGGACGGGCAGGGAGCTCCTTTCTACTGGACTCTGGTCTAGTCTCCCCTTTCTCCCACGCCCTTAGGGACTGGGGTTTACTCACCTCTCCATTTGCCCCCCTGGACTATCTTTTCTTTCTCTCCATTCTAACTTGTAGATACAGAAACATTGTTGAAAAAAAAAGAAAAGTGAGAGCGAAGGCCGAGAACTCGTAACTAATAAGTCTCTGTGTCATGATTTGGGAGCTGTTTGATGGCCCACAAGAAAGCCTGCTACATACTACATACTACATTGCCCAGACTGTCCTGGAACTCACTGTGCACACCAGGCTGACCTCAAACTCAGAGATGCCTCTGCCTCCTGAGCGCTGGATGAAAGGCTTGCACTACCATCCCCAGCCTACTTTACATATTTAAAGGGGTTCATCGGCTTCTTACAAAGGGCTGCAACGTAATGGTGGTACAAAATACCACAAAAAGAAGTTGGAACATTAAGGCAAGCCCTTCACCAATGTGCCTAACAGAGGTGTGATGTGACACCTTCAGCTTCAACACAGTGACATTCATTCCACCTCCTTCAAAGACCAAGATACGCACATGCATAGACACGTGGGCACATTATTCAAATCATAACTTTTCTTCCTGCCTATGAAAATGATCTTTGCAGGCATAATTTAAAATATCCCTTCAGAATATATGAGACTTCACAGGGCTTATATGCGCAGCTAGGCAGAATGTAACACCAAGAAACCAGTATCAGCACACACAACTACACAACTTCTAGCTCTTCCAAAATCGACCTCTTTCCGTCTCCCCGTTCCCTACAGTGTTTTTGTCAGCCTATGTGGTAGCATGTAACAGTAATCCCAAAACTCAGGAGACTGAGATGACAGGATCTACAATTCAAGGCCACCCAGAGCTACAGAAACCCCCAGAAAGAAGGAAAGAAAGAAAGGAAGGAAGGAAGGAAGGAAGTTCATTCACCGGTAAGATAAGGCCATGGTTAATAATTATGACAGAGCTAGCCAGTAAGAAGCCTTAGACATCGGCCAACAGTTTAATAATTAATATAGCGTCTGTGTGCTTATTAGGGGCTAAAGCAGCTGTGGGATCTGGCGGACAAGAAAAGACTACAGCAACAGTCTAGTTCACAGCTCCTGCGTCTACATTTGTATGACCGTGTATGCCTGCCCCTGCCACAAGACGTAAACTGTTTATAGCTGTCAGAAAGTAGATGACGTTCACCAAGTATAACCAGAGTGAAGTAAACGACTAGATTGCTTCCCCCATTGTGACCTGTCTCTGTTGCTATGACGAGACACCGTGACCATGGCAACTCTTAGAAAGAGAACATTTAATCAGAGGTTCAGTCAGTCATCGCCACGGCCGGGAGCATGCGGCGTGTAGGCAGAGGTGGTACTAGAGCTGAGACGCTACATCTCACAGGCAACAGGAAATCAACTGACACACTGGGCGTATCCCGAGCATAGGAAACCTCAAAGCCCGCCCCCACAGGGACACACCTCCTCCATCAAGGCCATTCCCACTCCAACAAAGCCACAACTAATAGTGCCACTCCCTGAGATTATGGAATTATAATCCATAAATGAAAACAGAGAAAATACAGGTGATCAGATACTTACATCTAACTTTAGTAACTTTTCAATAACAAGCTCCAGAATTTCACGCCTCAAAGTTGGAAAATACACACTTATCCTTAGTAAGTTATGAACATAGCATTCCTAAAGCATGAGACATGAAAAGATGAACAATTCAGCACAGTACTTCAGGAATTAGCAAAGCATTACCCAAGGTTTACTTTAAATACATGAATAGAAAAGGGACTCTCAGCTCAGAAACTGCCCTGTTCAAATCTGCCTGTGTTAATATAATTAACCTAAGCACCCCCAGTAAACATCTCCATTTAGGAACAATACACTGCTGCTTTCTGGAACTCTAATTTATTCATCTGTGTGTGGGGGGTCAAACCCAGGACCTTGTGCGTGCTAAGCAAGCACACCTGCAGCCTCCCTAGTAGGCATTCAACGCAAATATCTCAGGAAAGGAATCAGACACCAGGAGTTGTAGCTCACACCTATAATCAATCCCAGCACTTAGGAAGCCTTGCGGTCAGCCTGAGCCATGGATTAGGACCCTGTTTCAGGAAACACAGTAACAAAGAGAAAAGAACATAAGAAACGTTCTTTGTCTTCTCTTCCGATTTTTTTTTTTTTTTTGAGATATGGTCTCACACTGCAGCTCAGGCTCGCCTCAAAGACCTCTTGCTTAACCTCAGGCCTACACCACAGTGCAGTCTTGAGTTTAAAAATCTAAAAAGGCATTTTTAAGATAATAATAAGGTATTTTTAAGATGATAATAATAACAACAGCATCTAAGATAAAGTCACAAAACTATTTTTCCATGAAAGATTTCTTTTTTCTTTCTTTGTTTTGTTTTTTCGAGACAAGGTTTCCCTGTATTGTTTTGGAGGCTGTCCTGGAACTCGCTCTGTAGTCCAGGCTAGCCTCAAACTCACAGCCTGCCTCTGCCCCCTCTGCCCTCCCCCCCCCAGTGCTGGGATTAAAGGCGTGCGCCACCAACGGCCCAGCTCATGAAAGATTTCTTACCAATGTTCTCTCTGATTTTCTCACAAATGGAAATTTGTCTACCAATATTGGCATTAGAAACCACGGTGTCCTATTAGAAAAAAAAATACATTTCATGTTAATTGGACTTTCTTTTTTCCTTTTTTTTTTTTTTTTTAACGAGACAGGGTTTCTCTGTATTGTTTTGGAGGCTATCGGTCCAGCCTGACCTCGAACTCACAGAGATCCACCTGCCTCTGCCTCCCAAGTGCTGGGATTAAAGGCATGTGCCACCACTGCCCGGCCTAATTGGACTTTCTAAGAAGAGTAAAGATATAAGAGAAAAAAAAAGGAACCCTACCTCAAGCAACTAAAGGTCCAAATCAAGGGAGTTTCAGAGAAAAATTTAAAACAACTTACATAAAATACTCTTTACTAGCTTTGTTAATAACAGCAAGTCCAAAGAAGGATTTTCTTCTACCAAAGATTACCAGACTTTAGTCTAAGAACATGTATCAGCACATAAGTATATGATCTAAAGAGGCAAGGTATCATTAACTTGGCATGTTTTGATTAAAGCAGGATCTCATGTAGCCCAGGCTAGTATCAAACTGTGTGTGGCCAAGATGAATGTCTGGTCCTCCTACCTCTGCCTTCCCAACTGTTGAGGCTCCACGCATACAAACTTTTCCCCAGCTCCATTTTTAGTTAACAAAAGTATCATTAATATTCTATAGTGCCAAAGAAACCCCCAAGTCTGCTGCTTTTTGATAACCGGATTTTATCCATATGACAATACACATATATGTTCTCAGTGAAAGTATTTGACTGTCACTTCTGTTGAAGATAAAGGCAAAACCCCACCTTCTACACAAAAGCCAGGCGGCGGCAGCACTATGTGTAAATTAATTATGTTAAGCAGGCCTCGCATCCGAGTTTGAGCTCCAGTTACAGGGTAAGGTGGTAGAATGGAAACTAATAGATGTCCTCTGACCAGAACCATGGCACACTTCAACACCTGTGCCTACACCACACTCAAATTAAATCCTTAAATAAATTAATAAAATACAAATCAAAATAACAAACACAATGAATAAAAACAACACAATTTTCAACATGTGTTATCAATACAATTGAAATAGCAAAACAATGCAGTTTTTAGTCTATTAACACTCTGCAATCTACTCTTCCTTCCAAAGCTGTGTGCACACATTATGAGCAGGTGACCCACTGGAAGTAGCCCCAACCTGTTAAACTAAACATCATAATTCACGTCAACAAAAGAATACTCACGATGGGACATATCTTGTTATTATTTGCAAGGCTCTATGACATGTGTCAAAACGTGAAGGAAGATCTGCAAGGGAAAATTTGAAAGCATAAACATCAAAAATCATGTTCCCAAAGCTAAACACTTTCTAACCAAAACTCAGTAACTGATTAGAGAAATAAGAATTGCAAGGTTTGCCAGTAAGTGGTGGCACACACCTTTAGTCCCAGCACTCAGGAGGCAGAGGCAGGCGGACCTCTGGGTTCAAGGCCAGCCTGGTCTACAGAGCGAGTTCCAGGACAGCTAGGGTCACACAAAGAAATCCCCATCTTGAAAAACCAAGCCAAACAAACAAACGAAGACAGACAGACAGTACACTCAGGAAGCAGGGGCAAGGGGACCACAAGCTAAGGCCCTCTTCAGCTGCGAAAATTCCAGGCCAGTTAAAGGGTACACAAGGCCTTGTCTCCAAAAGAGGGTTACTATTGATTATAAGGTGGTTACTGCACACTATGAATTTGTTTAATAAACAACAACAACAAAAAAACCACCCAAAAACTATAAGCCCAGGTGTGGTGACACACGCCTTTAATCTCAGCACAGGAAGGCAGGTGAGTGATCTCTTGAGTTCAAGGTCAATGTGGTCTACACAGTGAGCTCCAAGGCAGCCAGGCTACATAGTGAGACCCTCCCTGTCTCAGAAAACCGAAAGCTACATTTTGTTGTCTCCTGGGAATAAGTGGAGAGACATCATTTAGGACCCATCTTTAAAGCAAAGGCCACGCCCACCGCTTTAGCACGCGTCTTTTACTCACTGTCATCTTCGTCATCAGAGTCCGAAACATCCACGCCACCTTCCTTAATGATCACTCGGGCTTGGAGGAGAAAGAAAATGTGTTATTCTATCATGGGCAAAAACAAGGAACAGAAAACTTTAAAGGCAGGGGTGGCTGGAAAGATAGCTTAGTGGTTAAGAGCACTGGCTCTCCCAAGGGAGCAGATTCCCGACACCCACACGCGGGCTCACAAATGCCTTTCAACTCCAGGTCAGCCTCTTTGGGCATCGTACACAGGGCACATACACCAAAAAGTTAAGTAAGTCCCGTCGACAGACATACTCCCTGCCTGTGCCATCACAGGCTCTGCAAGCAAAGGAGCAGCCATCAGAAGTGGCATCATGACCTTAGGCCACAACTGTGAGCCACACCAACCGCTGTCTTAGGACAAGGACGGTAAGGACAGAGAAGTAAGTGAAAGGGAGGGAGGGGGAGGAAGAAGAAAATCCTTTTTTACAAGCAAGGAGCTACTACTTACGAGGAACAAAATGGGAAGCAATCATACTGAGACATGGTCTAAGGAAGACAGTCTGCGCCGACACAAGGTTACCAAGGAAAGCCAAGTACTCCTCCACCACTGTGTGACTCCTCTTCAACCAAGGCAGTTTCTAGGGGTGCAAAGGAAGATGACAAAGTGTAACAGAGACATTCTGTTTTCAAAGCACTAACCTATCTGCTGGTCAGTGACATAAAGTGAACTTACCAGTATGATGTTTATAAGTTGCTCAAAGTCTTTTGTCAAGTACATGACAGAGGAGCGAAATTCCAGCAGCCAGTTAATGATCTGGTCATCCTTAAGTTAAAACAAAGAAAAATCAGAAACTGTCCAAGGTTACAGAAAAGTAATGGAGCCACTGTGTACCAGCCATCTATCAGTACATACTGAACTCAGGAAAACACACGCCCCACTAAGGTATGCCAGAGGCTGGCCACGGTGTGCACTCCCGTAATCTCAGCATGCGAGACGCTGAGGCTGGGAGTTCAGGGTCTGAGCCATACACTGAGTTCTCGACAGACCTGGCTTACATACATATTAAAACAAAGGCTCAGTGTAGGACAGTGACGACGTTCTTTCCTGCCATGTTGGGAGACCCTGGATTCGATGCCTAGCCCTCCCTGCACAAGCTAGGTAACTTGAGTCTGATCACCAGAAGCCACGTAAGTAAATACTGAAGGCGAGAAGCCAGCACAGGGACTGGAGAGCTGGCGCAGCAGCCAAGGCCACGAGCTCACAGAGATCACCTGTCTCTGCCTCCCTGACGCTGGGAGTAAAGGCGTGCGCCACCACCACTAGGCTTCCTGGTTTCTTTAGGCACCAGGCACGGACACTGTGCCGAGATACACACTCAGGGAAAACACCTAAACACATGATGATAACTTTTAAAAATCTGAGGCCACAAGCAGTCCTCGACGTCTACACGGACACTGCTGCATGTATGTCCACACACAAAGATAAATTAAAATGGAAGCTTTTTAATAAAAAGGCAAATGAGCTGCAAGGCACAGCAGCGCCTGTCTGTGTCTCCAGAAGCAGAGGGAGGGAGACCTCGCGTTTGAGGCTGCAGAGATGGCTCAGCGGTCAAGAGCTCACACTGTTCTTGCAGAGACGCCAAGCTCAACTTCCAGGGTCCCAGCGCCCTCATCAAGCAGCTCTCAGCTGCCCAGAATTCTGCCTCTAGAGGATCTGACACCCTGCTCACCCACGAGCAAACACACAAATATGCAACTTCTTGCTAGATTGTTTTGGGACTGGGTCTCTGTATATAGTCCAGCTGTCCAGGAACTCCCTATGTAGACCAGGCTGGCCCCAGATTCACAGAGATCTACTTGTACCTGACTTTGCCTTCCTGTACTGGATAAATGCATTGTTTCAAGTTAAAAATAAAAAGGGGGAGGAGGGCTGGAGAGATGCTCAGAGGTTAAGAGCACTGACTGCTCTTCCAGAGGTCCTGAGTTCAATTCCCAGCAACCACATGGTGGCTCACAGCCATCTGCAATGAGATCTGGCGCCCTCTTCTGGCCTGCAGGTGTACCTGGAGGCAGGATGTTATATTCATAATAAATACATAAATCTTAAAATAAAATAAAAAGGGTCTGCTGAGGGTTGGTACAAGCTGACTTCTAGCCTCAGCGTTAGGTCAGAGTGAGAACCTGCTCACATAAAATAGAGTGCAGCACAAATTGGCCCTTTGGACTCAACAAAGGAGGCAAAGGTCAAGAAAGCTAGATTACTCCAGATGCTCTTAAAGGGCAACATTTCCTACAGAGAGCACAGCTGCAGAGAACTAAAGTGAAGCAGTGTTGGCCTGCACATGCACAGTGAGCGAGCCAGAAGATAACTCTGGGAGCAAAGAAGAGTCACAGAGGCCACATGTGCTGGACGTATGGTTAGAAAGACCTGCTGACGTCTGGGAAAGGGACCCACCGAAGGAAACGCCAGAGAAAGCTCAAGGCAGCTAACCTCCCGTCGGGATCTGAGGAGGTGAGCAGCTTGTTCATTACAGTAGTAGCAACAGACCGACAGTTAGGATAGTCACTGTACAGCAGACAGTGTTCTAAGACTTTATCATGCATTAATTCATTTATTCCTTACAACCACCCCACAGAGCAGGCACTACTGACCTCCATTTCACAGAGAAGACACTGAAGTACAATCGGAAGAACTCGCCCTCGGGAAGGAGGGAACGCTGTCAGACCCAACGCTCAGACAGGGCTAAGGAGGGACACCGTAGACCCAGCGCTCAGACAGGGCTAAGGAGGGACACCGTAGACCCAACGCTCAGACAGGGCTAAGGAGGCCTCCAGTCACAAAGAAAGACATACAGGTGGCAAACTCAGGGAGTGAAGTGTCTCTTAAGACAGAACACAGGAAAGAGAGTTACCAGCTGTACTAAAGGTTAATCTCTACTCTCCTACAGGCATGAGGGTTAGGGATGACATGCCTAGGTATGTCCTGTGGAAAGATGCGTCAGGCCTCACTGTCCAGAGAACACCTATAGGAAAGAAGACAGCACAGGCAGGATCTAAAGAATAAAGAGTCACTAGAGGAATTCACACTTGCCAACACCAACAAACTCCCACGTGAAAGTTTTTTTTTGGCTCCAACATGAACGAATGAAGAAATACAGAAGGTGAGAAAGCCCACAAAGACTACAAGGTCCCTAAATCAAGAACTGGGTAAGCAATAAACCAAGTTAGCACACGGAAGGCGGCAGAGACGTGGGCTTGGGGAAGAGGCCAGTCTGACTGGCCATACTGGGGCACATTAACTCTGGTAGGCACAACGAACAGGTAGGAAGCAAGTCTGGGGTCCACAGGAGCTGCAACACATGCATTTAGGGGTTACTAAGACACATAGTTTGCAAAGCCTGTAGCAATCACACATGAAGACTCTAATGACTAAAATGAACCAAATTAAAAAAAAAATTCAGAGTCTAAAAACATTTTTTTTAATTGAGGGCTGGGCTGGAAAGGTAGCTCAGTGGTTAAGAGTACTTACTACTTTTCCAAAGAGCCTGGATTCCATTCCCAGCACCCACATAGCTGCTCACAACTTCTGGTCTCCAGCAATACCAGGAATGCATACACATACATGCAAGCAAAACACACATACACATAAAACAAAACAAACAAAAACCCCACTCAATACCAAAGTTAAGAACATGTCAAAAGAGTGGTCAGTGGTGACACACGCCTTTAATCCCAGTACTCAGGAGGCAGAGGCAGGTGAATCTCTAAGTTCAAGGCCAGCCTGATGAGCGAGTTCCAGGACAGCCAGGACTATAGTTTGTCCTACAAACTACCTCAAAAAACAAAACAAAAACAAAAAACAAGACAAAGAACCTACCAGTAAGGACAATAGAATAAAGTAATGAGAAGACAGAGAGATCACAAACAATGGAGATTTTAAGTGGGTAACCAACAGTGTCAATTGCTGTCAAACACCCATGTGATGAGCTCGTGAGACCCGGCTGGGGAAAGCAGGCGTGCTGAGACAAGAGGGTCTCTCATTGGTCCGTATAGTGAGTACCAGAACAACCAGGGCTGTGTAGACAGATCCGGTCTCTCAAGAAAAAACAAAACAAAAAAATCACTGGGGGTAAACACATGACTGCCGTTACCTTTTGTCAAAGTCATTTGAGCAGTAATAAACTGACGTAAATGTAGTGGGGACAGGAGGAATGGGTGTGCAGACCCTGAAGAGGAACAGTCACAGCTAAGGGTAAGTCCTTACTTCAGGGTGGAGGCTGTCCTAAGGCATCCTGGATAGCAACTCACTGAGTCTTGGTTCTGCCCTCACTCTGTCTTTTTTCTAGGAATTACTTTTATCTTATGGTTATGAGTGTGTTGTCTGCAGGTATGTACATGCACTGCAGGCACGCAAGAGACACTGCAGGGTCCAGAAGGGGGTATCATATCCCCCACCATAGCTGCACATGGTTGATAGCTGCCACATGGGTGCTGGGAACAGAATCTGAGTCCTCTGAAAGAACACCACTAGCCATGTCTTTAGCCCGCCCCTTTAAGTCACCAAGGAGATGTAGAGGGCAGGGGAAGCCCAGTTATCCGACCACTAGACGCCGCAAGTATCCCTTCCCCCCATTTCTGACAGCCAAAATGTTGCTAGCCATTGTTACATGTCTGCTAGAGGGGAACACTGCTCCTGGCTGAGAAACACTCAGTAAGTAAGATGGAATCATAGAACGCAAGTTCAAGAGAACAGACCAGGACCATGGAACCAGCATGACACCCCAGGGCCAGTCCTAACCCAGGACCATGGTACCAGCATGACACTCCAGGGCCAGTCCTAACCCAGGACCATGGTACCAGCATGACACCCCAGGGCCAGTCCTAACCCAGGACCATGGTACCAGCATGACACCCCAGGGCCAGTCCTAACCCAGGACCACGGTACCAGCGTGACACCCTGGGGCCAATCGTAACCCAGGACCATGGTACCAGCATGACACCCCAGGATCAATTGTAACCCAGGACCATGGTACCAGCGTGACACCCCGGGGCCAGTCCTAACCCAGGACCATGGTACCAGCGTGACGCCCCGGGCCAGTCCTAGAGATCCACATGGTAGAAAGACAGAGCGGACTCCCACAAATTGTCCCGGCCTTCACACTTGCTGTAGCCTGCACAGGTGTGCACATGCAAAATACACAATTAGAATGATAAATGATAGAGACAATTTTTAAAATTACCTTTATGTCAGGGTCTGAGAGCTGGTTCTTCAACAACTCCAGGTCACTTGTCTCACCCTGAACGAAGGGAAGAAATTTGAGTGCGATTACTATGTTTCCTTAAATACCACTGTTATGTCTCCATAGCTCATGGGACTGCAAAAGAACCAGTAGGACTTCTACATGTCACTCGCAATAATAAAGCCAGGACAATACAACTTTTAAGAATCTGGGGCTGGAGCCGGGCGGTGGTGGCGCACGCCTTTAATCCCAGCACTCGGGAGGCAGAGGCAGGCGGATCTCTGTGAGCTTGAGGCCGGCCTGGTCTGAGTGAGCTCCAGAACAACCAAGGCTACACAGAGAAACCCTGTCTCAAAACAAAACAAGACCTCAATCAATCAATCAATCAATCCATCGGAGCTGGAGAGGTGGCTCAGCAGTTAAGAGCACTGACTGCTCTTCCAGAGGACCAAGGCTCAATTCCTAGCACTTGCTAAAGTTTTCAAAGTTACTATATACAGCTCTTTAAGGCATAAAACCTCAACAATCTTGTTTTGACTGCTTTTTACACTTACAGTAAATATCATACATATCACTAAATATCTCCCTCAGTTCCCCCATCTTTTTAGACCAGGGGTCTCAACCTGTGGATCACAATCCCTTCAGGGATCAAATACCCTTTCACAGGGGTCGCCAATGATCCAGAAAACACAACAGATATTCGTGCTACTATTCACAAAAGTACAGTTACAGTGTAGCAAAGAATATAATTTTATGGTTGGGGGTCACTATAACATGAGGAACTGTATTAAAGGGTTGCCTTATGAAGGCTGAGAACCACTGTTTTAGACAGACTGTGTAGCCATGGCTGACCTCAAATTCACAGATATCCACTTGCCTCTGCCTCCAACTGCTTACCAAGCACAGAGTAAAATTTATTTTTAGGCTATTAAAGGAGCTCAACTGTAAGGGTTTTCCTGGTACGGACCAGGTCCCAGACACAATCCCCACCACTGAGAAACTTAAGTAAACACACATAATCGATAAAGTTCATTTACTATGTTTACTGTGCCCAAGGTCCTGGGAATCTGCTCTTGCGTGTAACACCTTCTGAATTCTGATTGACCCAAGTCACACCCCACAGAGCATCTCCTCATACCTTTTTGTATTTCAGTAAGACTTCTGTCACAGTTCCACCAAACCGAACAGTTTTTCTTGGGGAGGAATTGAAGAAATCACCCTCTACCGCAAGCATATCTGAAAGCCTGAAGAACCCAGAATACCAGTTATTAAACTCATGACAGATAAAACAGTGGACATTGCTGAACCAACATCATTTTGTGTGCTGAGGCTGAAGGTTCTTTTTTTTTTTTTTTTTTTTTTTACGACAGGGTTTCTCTGTATTGTTTCAGAGGCTGTCAGTCCAGCCCAGCCTCGAACTCACAGAGATCCGCCCGCCTCTGCCTCCCGAGTGCTGGGATTAAAGGCGTGCGCCACCACCGCCCGGCGAGGCTGAAGGTTCTTAAATGGCATCCTGTTTCCAATCTTACCCCCACCAATCCATTCTTCACTGGGCAAAACTGTGCTCTCATGGCACTTAGACTGAGAATCCAAACTCAGACTCCTGATGGGGAAATACACATCTAGAGACCCCGACACTTGGGAGGCCCAGGCAGAATCCAGGAGTTCAGGCCAACCCAAGGCACATAGTGAGATTTCATCTCAAAATTTATTCATTATTTTTTTAAAGAGACAGGGAAGGAAAAGAAAGAGACTCCAGAATAAGCCTCTGGGATCCCATTTAATGGGGCCCTTGCCTAACTCTCTGATCTCACGGTAAAGCACGGTGCCCTTCCTTCCTCAACCTGTCAAGCTGGTTCCATTTCTCTTGTCACTGCTAGAAACGCTACACTCACACACACTCACACACATACACACACTCACACACATACACACACTCACACAACGGGTGAAGCCCGCTGCAGCGCTGCTGTCCCTGATAGCTGAACGGGTCTTGCTCATCCACTGCTGTCCCTTCCAGCTCTGTTGGGTACAGGAGAGTTCGTCTCTGGGTAAGCTACCATCCCCAGTGTGCACAGTTAAGCACACGCTGCATACGTAGTTGTCAACATGCCAAGTGCTTTACAAGGGTTCCTCCACTTAAAGAGAGGTCCACGCAAAACCTCAAGGTGAAACCCCATCTATTTTATACTGATTTTTAAATGCTGGAATTTTTTTTTTTTTGGTTTTACGAGACAGGGTTTCTCTGTATTGTTTTGGAGGCTGTGGGTCCAGCCCAGCCTCGAACTCACAGAGATCCGCCTGCCTCTGCCTCCCGAGTGCTGGGATTAAAGGCGTGCGCCACCACCACCCGGCTTTAAATGCTGGATTTTTAAACGGGGTCTACGGCTCACTACTGCAGAAACAAACTTGACAATCTTTAGAATTCTGTTTGTCACCACTGACAGCATTCGCTCAGAAATCCAAGGCCCGGGGATGCCGTCCATCGAGAGGGAGGAACGGACGGACACGGGAACGGACACGGCGCAGACCACAGGCCGCGAGTCCCACAAGGGCGCCCCGAGTGGGAGAGAATGGGACAGACACGATCGCCAGCACCCCGTCCTCAGCACCGGACCTCAGTCCTCAGCCCGCGACCCCGGCTCCCCGAGCCCCGCACCCGCACGGCCAGGCCGCCCGGCTCTTACCCGGTCCCCGCCGAGCCCCGCGTGGCAGCGGCCGCAGCCGCCACAGCTCCGGGCAGGCGCGCGTGGAGCAGCGGGGCCGCCATCTGGTCGGAGCGGCGGCAGCGGAAGCGCAGCGCCTGCCGCCGGAAGCCACGGCCTCCAGCCCGCCCCGGAAGTCGCGCTGGGGATGCGGCAGACGGGAAGTCACGGCTCCCGGGGCCAGGCCGGCAGGAGCCCGGGCTGCGACAGACGGCGGGGTGGTCGGTGGCCGGGACCCGAGGCCGTAGCCGGGCTCTGCGGGTGCAGGCGGCAGGGAGGAGAGGGCTGGGCCCGGAAGAGCCCGGCGTGATGGTCGCCATGGCAACGCCGACGCCAGGAGCTCTGGGAAACGCGGCGCTCGCCTTCCCCGCGTGGGCACCCGGGGATCTGACGGGACAGAGACAGCTCTCACATGCACACAGCTCTCACGTGTACAGTGTCATAGCTCTCACATGCACACAGCTCTCACATGTACAGTGTCACAGCCCTTGCCACTGAGGGCGGGGCGGGCGGGGCGGGGACAGGGCTACCAAACATTCTAACCTCTTGGTATAGATACAGAAATAGAGAAACCAGGAGGCCCCACCTAAACCACCCAGACTCCGTGGGTTAGGGGCGTCGGTTTACGTCTGGCTTCCTCCTGCTGACCCGGGACGATGTGGGGAGGGGTCACATTCACCGGGCAGTACCGGGGGCGAGGTACCCAGTTAGCTGCCATCCTGTGTACCTCGGGGATTTGATGGTTGATGGGGGAGGTCTTCTGTGTGTGTGTGTCGTCTTATTGGTTGATGAACAGAGCACTGCTGGCCAATAGGGCAGCAAGATAGGTGGGACTAGGAGTCGAGGAGGATTCTGGGAAAGAGAGGCAGAGTCAGTCACGATGTAGGACACCAGAAGAGTAAGAGGTCTGGACTCTTTCTCCAGTGAGAGAAGACCACGTAGAAATATTCAGATTAGCAGTTATGGGTTAATAATTAAGTCAGAGCTAGCAATAAGAAACCAAGCAAACGGCCAACAGCTTCATAGTTAATCTAGCGTCCTGCGTGTTCATTTGGACTGACGCAGCTCTGGCACCATGCTGGTGGGAAGAATGCCCGTTCCAGATGGGGAATGTTCTTCTGTGTGTGTCGTCTTACTGGTTGATGAATAGAGCACTGCTGGCCAATAGGACAGCAAGATAGGCGGGACTAGGAGGATTCTGAGAAAGGTAGGCAGAGAGGACTCGTCATGTGATCCAGGAAGGGACGTAGCTGGGCAGAAACTGCCACTAGCTAACCATGGAGGTCTGAACAGACAGGAAGTGACGTAGCTGAGCAGGTACAGTCTATACGCAGGAAGAGGAAATGTCTCTTCTCTGTGGAGACACTGAGCAGCTGTCACCATCATGTAGCAGGCAAAGGAGATGCTGTTCTGGGAAGCCAAGACCACGTGGAACTAGAGATCGTAGTTGTGGGTTAAGAATAAGACATCCAAGTCCCCAGCCGGGCCAGAAAGGAGCAGGCACCTGTTCTTGAGGAGGCAGAGAAGGCAGGTTGGGTGAAGCTGCCCTCAGGATCCCCTGGATTCACCTCAGTCCAGATTCTGCCCTCAAAAACCCACTGGAGGTCCCACCCCGAGGAGGGGGCAATTGACCTTCCGATTGCTGATTTTCTGTTCCCATTGGGCCACCCAGAATGCTCTGCTCAGATTAAATGTGGACTTATTACTTCGGTCTGACTGAATTATTGCATCGTCAACTGTGCGTTTCCATTAACCTTTCCACTAACCAGGATTTTAAAGCATAATATGGAGATTTTGCTCTTGTGCTCCCTTGTTTTTTTACAGCTACTTTTGGAACCCGCGGCTGTGGGGAGGACATGTGGGCAGGGCTGGGACCCCTGTCGCTTTTGTTTAGGTTACTGGGTCCCCAATGGAACAGGAACCAAGAGATACATTAGCCACATGGAGTTTATTAAAGTGGGGGGGGCAAGAGGGGAAGAAAAGAGAGACAAGGGGAGAGAGAGAGGGTGAGAGGACAAGAGAACAGAGGAGAGAGCAAGGAGAGCATAAGTGGGCGGGGTCTGTCTTTAAGATTTATTTATTTATTACATATACAGTGTTCTGTCTACACGCCAGAAGAGGGCACCAGATTGAATTACAGATGGTTGTGAGCCACCATGTGGTTGCTGGGAATTGAACTCAGGACCTCTGGAAGAGCAGCCAGTGCTCTTAACCTCTGAGCCCTCTCTCCAGCCCTAATCATGGTTTTTTTATTTTGTTTTTTTTGTTTGGTTTTTACGATACAGGGTTTCTCTGTATTGTTTTGGAGGCTATTGGTCCAGCCTGGCCTCGAACTCACAGAGATCCACCTGCCTCTGCCTCCCGAGTGCTGGGATTAAAGGTGGGCACCACCACCGCCCGGGGGTCTGTCTTTTAAAGGGTCCTTTGCACCTGCGTGCAGACTTAGTTCTAATGGAACCCTGGGCTGCCCAGGGCATTGCCTGAGTGCATTCCGCCAGGTGCCAGGGCCAGCCCAGTGCCTGAGTCCTTACAGCAGCCAGAAAAAGCAGATCATGAGCATGGGCTGAGAAAATAAACAGGATAATGACTGGGTGTGGTGGCACACGCCTTTAATCCCAGCACTCCAGAGGCAGAGGAAGGCAGATTTCCACAGAGAAACCCTGTCTCAGAGAAAAAAAGAAATAAATAAAAATAAAAGAAATGGAGTAATAGGAAAGCCACATAAAGATGGAAAATACATAGTCTGGATACTGTATGCTATTGTGTTGTCCTTGAATTGTTTAATTGCTGTGGAAAGAGCAACAACTGCTAAAATACACTGATTATCAACGCTACTGAATTGATCCAACTTAAGTATTTTAAATGCTTTCACTTCTAAATATAAGGACAGGTTACTCGGGAAAAAGTTTTTGTGTTTCCACAGTAAATAAAGGCTGTGGATTCCTTCCAGGCTTCTATGGTTTGATGAAGGCAGACCTCCTGAAGCGGTGTGTCAGGCAGTCCAGCATCTGAAACAGCTAACATGATGCAGCCATGCAGACTAAAAAACAAGGACTTGGCCAGGTTTCTGTGTTTTGTCATGATCCCCATGGTATGGACAGCGCCCCCAACCAGCAGGAAGTAGTTTGAAATAAACAATGTCCAAATTTCCAAATAGTCTTTATGTTTGTTTTCATTAAATGGGGTTGCTTATTGATCACAACCAATCTGTTTTTAAGGGTAAAAGGGGATTATGATATATAAATGAGTACTTTGTATTGGAATGGATTTTCATTCATTGATACAAATTTAAGATCAATTTTGTGATGTGTATATTTTTCCTCTTGTTTAAGCATTGTGCTTATACTGATCTTTTAAAATGTAATGCATAGTTAAATACAGATTGTAGATAGTTACCTGTAATAGTCAAAACGTATATTTAGGTTAGGTTTTATACATATACAGATATATTTGAGATATTCTCCAAACCTTTCAAAGACCTTCAGAAAATGACATTTAAAATGGTTTCGGGTTTTTCTTGACAATGAGAAATGTCTGCTCCTGGCAGCACCAGTTACGTCTGAGAGGAAAATGGGCATTAAAGAAACTTGTTATGGAGTTTGCTTTCAACATGGCAAGTTAGCCATTTGGGCAAGAAACTGCTCTTGCCTGGATTGTTTGACTGTTGCTGTATAAACTGGACATGCAGGACCCACAGGAAAGTGACTGCTGAACTCAGTCCTTCAGGGTTCCTGCTTCATGGATTGAAGAGTCTGGCAGACATAGAAAAATGAATAATAGAATGCTGATGTAGATGGACAGTTTGAGACTTCCTGCTTTGCTGTGTATATGTGACACACTGTGGCCTATGGGCTGAAGATGGATGCCCCAATGTTACAGAGGAACCGGTCTTCTGTCTAAACCAAAATTCCAAAGTAGACTCTAATGCTGGTAAAGGAATCAACTTGATAGTGAGTGAGAGGGCCAGCAGGCAAAGAGAGCTTCGTTCTTCAATATTCTTTATATACGTAGGCGGCCACCAGAAGGTGTAACCCAGATTAAAGGTAGATCTTTCATGGATTTCTTTTTTTGGTGCTTATGAGGCAGGGTTTGTATGTGTAGCCCCAGAACTCATTCTGTAGACCAGGCTGGCCTCAAACTCAGAAAATCTGACTGTCTCTGCCTCCTGAGTGCTTCTTTTAGCAACCGTACATTTTGCTGCTCCTGAGATGGGGAATTTAAACTACCAGGACCCTGCCAATCTCAGAGTCCTCTCACCCTGAGACTGGACTTAACGATGAGCAGAATCTCCTGCTCTTCTCGCCGTGCTTGGTGCAACTGTTGCAGACTGGTGTGGACTCAGTAGGTCTGTGGGAACACCCAGGGGCAGTTTAAGGATGGTTTCTGCCTCCACAGCTGCCGGGGATCAGCATCTCAAGACCGAGACGTCTCCCTTATCAAGGACGTTTTATTGTTTTCCAATCCACACCTTTAACCAGCTGATTCCCATCCCCAAGCCTGGAAAGTGAGCCTCTCAGAGGGACAACGACAAACACCACGGTTGGCCTGGCCTCCCCAGGCTGCGTCCCTAAGCAAAGTCTCAGGACTTCAGACAGAGGCACCAGACACCCGGGCAGCGACCACAGGGCGGAACCCACAGGAGCTCCCAGCAGCCACGCCTTGCTTCGTCCTTGATGTCCGGTGCTGATGAGGGGTCCGGCGCAGCCCCGCCCTTCAGCCCCTCGCGAGCATCACTCCTGGCAGCCACCCCAGCCCTGCACCTGGGTCTCCGTGGGTGTCGCCCTTGACGGTCACACCCACCGAGTGGGACACCACGCACCAGCACCCGTACTGAAGGGCACGGACACGTGACGCCCAGCCTGGTCCTGGCATCGGTCCTGGAGGCCACGCCCGCACCCTATGGAGCACCCCGCGCCAGCACCCACACGGCACCTCACCACCTCACCACGGGGCCGCCCGCCCCGGCCCCCCGCACTGCGAGCCCGGCCTCACTCGAGGTCGCAGCCGTAGTGCGGGAACTGCCCGCAGTGCGGCTGCAGCCAGGGGCGCCACACGTTGTAGATGGTGCCGAGCTGCTGGTGCACCTGGCTCAGCGAGCTCCTCTGCAGCGCCGCCTCCTGCCGCAGCCTCCCCACCACCGCGTGGAACTCGGGCTCCGAGTCGGGCTGCAGCGGGCGGGTCTCACCCGGGTCGGCAGACAGGTCGAAGAGCAGGGGCGGGTCGTGCTCCGTCACGTCCCCGTAGCACGGGCACACGATGCTGCCGTAGCAGGCGCCCGTCCCAGGCCGGAAGTTGGGCGTCGTGAAGTGCACCTTCCAGACTCTGTCCTCTGCGGGCGAGCACACGCCTCACTCGGGGTAAGGTAGCGGTACACAGCCCGGAAAGCGGCCGCGCACAGGGGAGGAGCCCGGAAGCGCTGCCCTCCCGGGAGGGGCGGAGTCTGGAGAGCACTCACGGTCACGGTTGCGCTGCACCCAGCGCGCAGCGTGCAGGAAGACCTCGCAGTAGTGCAGCAGGAACTCGTGCTCCGAGCGCTGCGTCTCCCCGCGCAGCAGCGGCAGCAGGTTCTTCCCGTCGATCACCCTGGGGGCGGGCCGCGCTGACGTCACACCCGGCCCGCAGGCCCCGCCCCGCCCCCGGGGACGCCCCTCTCACCTGTCGGCAGGCAGGGCCGCGCCCCCCAGGAGCACCACGGTGGGGAAGACGTCCATGAGGCTCGTGGGCTCATGCACCACCCTGCCCGCGGGCAGCACGCCGGGCCAGCGGAAGATGCCGGGCACGCGGATGCCGCCCTCCCAGCCGCCCATGCCTTTGCCGCCTGCGGGGAGGGCGGGCCGGAAGTGGAGGAGAGCGGAGGGGGACGAGGACGCAAGCCAGGGAACCCCGGGGGGAGCGTGGGGTAGGGGCAGGGTTGGGGGCCGCTGGCCCAGCGCTCACCTCTGTAGATGCCGTTCCAGCCCCCGAGCTGCACGGACCCTGCGCGGGCCTCCAGGGAGCCGCCATGGTCGGACGCGAAGTAGACGAGGGTGCGGTCCGCCAGCCCCTCCCGCTGCAGCGCGCCCAGGATGCGGCCTGCGGGGGGCGGGGCCGGGAGTGAGGGGCGGGGCCAGGAGGGCGGGGCGAGGCTGCGGGGGGGAGGGACGGGGCTGCGCAGGAGGGGCTACAGTGTGGCGTCGAGAGTGAGGGGCGGGGCCGGGTTTGAGGGGCGGGGCGAGCCTGCGGGGAGGGGCGGGGCTGCGCAGGAGGGGCTACAGTGTGGCGCCGAGAGTGAGGGGCGGGGCTACAGGAGAGGGGCAGGGTCACAGTCGGGGCGTGGGGCGGGGCTACGGGGGAGGGGCGGGGCGCGGCCGTCACTCACCCACCATCCAGTCCATCTCCTCCACGTTGTCCCCGTACTGCCCGTGCTGGCTCCGCCCCCGGAAGTCCTCCGTGGTCACGAGCGGCGTGTGCACGTGCAGGAAGGACACCAGCAGCAGGAAGGGGCGGTGCTTATTCCTGGGAGTAGGCGGTGACGTCAGCGGCCACGGAAACTCCCGTCCCATCTTCGCCATCTGCTGCCCGTGTGTCAGCCACGTGCCCCCGCTCGCCCCGCTCAGCCCCCCCCTCACCCTCGCAGGAAGTCCTCCGTCTCCGCGAGCAGGAGCCCGGTGAGGCGCTCGAGGCGCACGGGCTGCTGGGTGACGCTGAGGTTCCGCATGAGGAAGCAGTCGGCGAAGACGATGAAGTCGCCCACCAGGCGCGAGGCGGCGTGGAGCGCGGCGGCAGCGGCGGCCAGAGCGAGCACCAGCGTCCAGGGCGCGCGGGCGAGCCGGGCGAGCCTCCCTCCCGCCAGGGCGAGCGCGGCGAGCAAGGCCGCCTGGCTGCCCCACAGCAGACGCCGCTGCAGCGTGGCGCGCTTCTCCGAGGGCTCCGCCCCCGCGCAGTCCCCCATCATGCCCAGCGGCAGCCCCAGGAAGCGCTGGAACCCGTGGCTCAGCGGGTGGTGGCAGTGGTCGGAGGCCGAGTGGCAGTTGAGACCCAGGTGCCACTTCCCTGCGGGACGACGTCACCGCGTCACACGACGTCACCCCGCCCGCGCCCCGCCCCGCCTCAGATGACGCACCGACGAGGCCTGTGACGTAGCCCTGCTCCTGCAGGAGTCTGGCGAACGTGATCTCCTGGGCGGGGAGGCCGCCCGCGCCCGCTGCCCACTGCAGGACGCGGTGGCCATTGCCGGAAGTCATGCCTGCCCCGGAAGGAGGAGGAGTCAGGAGGGCTGCACACAGCGGGACGAGAGCACACAGCGGGACGTGAGCACACAGGGGGACGTGAGCACACAGTAGGATGAGAGTACACAGCGGGACGTGTGCACACAGTAGGACGTGAGCACACAGCGGGACGTGTGCACACAGTAGGACGTGAGCACACAGCGGGACGTGTGCACACAGTAGGACGAGAGCACACAGTGGGACGAGAGCACACAGCGGGACGTGAGCACACAGTAGGACGAGAGCACTCAGCAGGATGTAGGACGTGAGCACACAGCGGGACGTGAGTACACAGGGGGATGTGAGCACACAGTAGGACGAGAGCACACAGCGGGATGTGAGTATACAGCGGGACGTTTGCACACAGTAGGACGAGAGCACTCAGCAGGATGTAGGACGTTTGCACACAGTAGGACGAGAGCACACAGTGGGACGTTTGCACACAGCAGGACGGGAGCACTCAGCAGGAGGGAAGGGCGTGTCTGCGGGCGGCAGGAAGTGACGTCACCTGTGCGGATGGGGTACCTCCCGGTGAGGAAGGCGGCGCGGCTGGGCGTGCACACGGCCTCGGCCGCCAGGTGCTGCGTGAGCCTCACGCCCTCCCCCGCCAGGCGGTCGATGTTCGGGGTCCTGCAGGGCAAGGCGGGGCGGGCGTCAGCCTCGCAGGGCACCATGGGAAACCCGGTGCACCCTGGGCGCCCAGGCCGCCCCTCACCTGATGGTGCTGTTGCCATAGCAGCCGACGTCCCCGATGCCCAGGTCGTCCGCCAGCAGCAGCAGGAAGTTGGGCCGAGACTGTGACCCTGCGGCCCGGCCCAGGCCCAGGAGGATGCCCAGCAGGGCCAGGCCGCTCCTGAAACGCGGTGACGTCAGCCCCGCCCCGCCCATGACGTCACACGCACGCGGGTTAACACAAGCAATGCTGCGTTCCCACAACAAGCGCTTCCAGAAGATTGTCTCACCAGCAATGTGGTAAACGCGGCATGATGCTCCGGCCTGAGCGAGCCTGCGAGGAGCAAACGCGAGTGTCCATCATCCCTCAGGACACGCCCACAGCCCGCCTGTCAGTCACTCTCAGGACACGCCCACAGCCCCGCCTGTCAGTCACCCTCTGGACACGCCCACAGTGTTCGCCTGTCAGTCACCCTCTGGACACGCCCAAAGCCCTCCCCTGTGAACCATCCTTGAGGGCACGCCCACAGGCATGAGACCCTTCCCATGGAGTGAGGGGAGTGACAGTTGACAGCTGTCCATCACCCGATGTGCCCTGTGACGTCATCACTGCCGCTCTCTATTTCATCCAGCAGGAAACCAGAGCAGAGCGCCTGGTGCATGCTGGGTGCAGTGCCAGGTGCCTGATGGGAGGGGCCTGTTCATTATGGGCGGGGACTGACAACTGGTGGGCGGGGCCTTGCACTCTGGGGGAGGCCTGGTGCTCGCTGGGAGGGGAGGCCCCGGCTCACGCTTTGAGTTGAGTTGCAGTTGAATGTTAAGATAAATGTCCTCGCCCAGTCGCCTCCTCCGGTCGAGCCGTGGATTTTCTGTCCTGCAACGAGGGTGGAATTGTGCCGGGGTGAGGGAATGCATGGTAGCTTGGTGGAGTCATGAAAAATTAAGTTTTAACTTTTAAAAAACATTTTTAAATCTTTACTATTCTAAAACTTTAAAAACTTTAATTTTTGAGAATCTTGCTTTGTCAAAAAACCATAGAAATAATGATTTTGCCGCGGTTTCCCTGTTCATTATGTTTTCATACGTGCCACACAGCTGGCAACAAGCAGTGGTTTCTTTTACTTTTTACTTTGAATTTAACTTTACTTCTATTTTAATTTTCGCTTCAGTGTGCTTTCAAGTTTCATTTTTGGTCGGATTCCTTCTTTTTATTTTTAAATTTAACCCTTCATATTATTTTTAAATCCCATTCCATTTAATTCTTGTTAAACTTCCTTTCCTAATTCTGCTTGCGAGTCTCATCCGTCTTGCTTCAATTTTAGTTTCCCCGACTCCTCCAAAGTTTCTTCTGCAAGAATAACTTTATTTCTGTTCTGTCAGCCCCATTCCTTTCACCCGATGGCTTCCAGCGCGGACCCGCGCCCTCCAGGCGGACGGAGAGGCCCCTTCCTCCCGGCTGTGCCCGTTCTCCCTCCCCGGGGACCCCGCCCGCCCGCGGACCCCGCCCGCAGCCCCCTCCCCTCCCCTCCCGCGGACTCACCGCCACCGCCACCGTTACCTTCACCGCCACCGCCACCGCCAGCCCAGCTCAGCCCAGCTCAGCCCAGCTCAGCTCAGCCCAGCTCAGCTCAGCTCAGCGGAGCATCTGACCCGGCTGCCGACCGTGCTCCTCGCCTCCTTGGTGGCCCCCGCCCCCGCCCCCGCCCGGGAGGAACCCGTCTGTCTCGTCGAGCGGGGTCGACGTGGATCCGGCTGGAACCGGTTTCCCGCCGCCCTTACGTGCCCGGGCAGCAGGGCTTCCTGTTGAATTTAACTTAATTTCAGGAGTTCCCGCCCCTCTCGGCCGCTCCGACTTTGGGAGTTGGAAGTTTCCATAGAAATGACTGCAGGGGCGGAGGAGAGGCCAGCAGCAGGGCCACCGGCTCCCTGAAGGCGGACTCTGCAGGCTCGCCCCCTGCTGCCCGGCTGTGTGCAGGAGCCCAGTGTGTGCACAGCCTGTGGGATGGCCAAACGTGCACCAGGCCCCTCCCACAGCACGCAGAACCCCTCCCATAGCACACAGGCACCTCCCACAATACACAGGCACCTCCCACAGCGCGCAGAACCCCTCCCATAACACACAGGCTCCTCCCATGACTCACAGGCCCCTCCCATAATACATCGGTCCCTCCCATAATACACAGGCCCCTCCCACAACACACAGGCACCTCTCACAATACACATAATCCCTCTCATAACACACAGGGCCCCTCCCACAGTGCGCAGAGCCCATCCCATAATACACAGGCCCCTCCCATAACACACAGGCCCCTCCCATAGTACATGGCCCCTCACATAATCACACAGGCCTGTCCTATGACACATAGACCCTCCCATAGCACAGGCCCCTCCCATGGCAACAAGCCCCGCCCATAGCAAGACCCCTCCCATGGCACACAGGCCCCTCCCATGGCACACAGACCCTCCCATAGCACAGGCCCCTCCCATGGCACACAGGCCCCTCCCACGGCATACAGGCCCTGCCCATAGCACAAGCCCCTCCCACGCACACAGGCCCCGCCCACAGCAGGCCCCTCCCAGCGAGTCCCTGGAGGGCTGCGGTTTGACCTGTGCGCCCAGCTTTCCCTCCATAAAGAGGGCAGAGGCGGTGTGGGCGGGCTCCTGATTACAGGCCGCGCGGGGCCGCGGTGTGGGGCAGACTGCGGCGGCCACCGTCCGGACAGGGCCTGTGCTGACACGGAGGAGCAGCAGGACAGCAGCGCGGGTGAGTGCGCGGCCATTTGTTCTCTTTGCCATCTTTTTACCTCCTCACCGCGGGCAGTGCGAGCCCAGGACCCCAGCAGGGGTCAGGATGGGCCCGTGGCTGCTGCAAAGGGCTTTCAGGGCTGTCTGCTCGGGCACAGGGGCCGTGTGTCCCCATCAGCCCCATCTGTCCCCATCTGCCCTGTCTGTCCCCGTCTGTCCCTCACAGCCGGCGATGATGCCTTTGATTGACAGCTGTGGCTGGGGTCTGGGCATGATGGGGAATGACGTTTGATTGACAGCTGTAGCTGGGGTCAGGGTCATGGTGGGGACTGAGCATTTGATTGACAGCTGTGGCTGGGGTCAGGGTCATGGTGGGGAATAAATAAGCATTTGGTTGACAACTGTGGCTGGGGTCTGGGCATGATGGGGAATGACGTTTGATTGACAGCTGTGCTGGGGTCAGGGTCACGGTGGGGAATGAGCATTTGATTGACAGCTGTGGCTGGGGTCAGGGTCACGGTGGGGAATGACGTTTGATGGACAGCTGTGACTGGGGTCTGGGCACCACCGGAAGTGACTAGAGCTTGATTGATAGGGTGCACAGATCTGGGGTCTGTGCCCTCTGAACTTGGCCCTCGGGCCCCAATAATAACGCGTCCAAGTGACGGGTCACCTTGGGGTCACCGTGGGGTCACCCGGAACATCAAAGGCACAGGAGGGTTAATTGCTGCCCACGGCTCTGCCCGCCAACCCGGAAGAGGTGCAGACACGCTGCATTCGCGTGGCATGCTGGGAGTTAGTGAGGGAGCAGGGGTTGGGGGGGGCTGCAGTGGTGTTAGCCCAGGATAGCCCACACAGGTCCAGGGACCGGTGAGAGTAGATGGCGTCAGGACGCTGCTGCAGGACTTAGGACGCTGCAGGACTTAAGACGCCGCTGCAGGACTTAGGACGATGCAGGACTTAGGACGATGCAGGACTTAGAACGCCGCTGCAGGACTTAGGACGCTGCAGGACTTAGAACGCCGCTGCAGGACTTAGGACGCTGCAGGACTTAGGACGCTGCAGGACTTAGGACGCCGCTGCAGGACTTAGGACGCCGCTGCAGGACTTAGGACGCTGCAGGACTTAGGACGCCGCTGCAGGACTTAGGACGCCGCTGCAGGACTTAGGGCGCCGCTGCAGGACTTAGGGCGCCGCTGCAGGACTTAGGACGCCGCTGCAGGACTTAGGACGCTGCAGGACTTAGGACGCTGCAGGACTTATGACGCTGCAGGAGTTAGGACGCTGCAGGACTTAGGACGCTGCAGGACTTAGGACGCTGCAGGACTTAGGACGCTGCAGGACTTAGGGCGCCGCTGCAGGACTTAGGACGCTGCAGGACTTAGGGCGCTGCAGGACTTAGGGCGCCGCTGCAGGACTTAGGACGCTGCAGGACTTAGGACGATGCAGGACTTAGGACGCTGCAGGACTTAGGACGCCGCTGCAGGACTTAGGACGCTGCAGGACTTAGGACGCCGCTGCAGGACTTAGGACGCTGCAGGACTTAGGACGCCGCTGCAGGACTTAGGACGCTGCAGGACTTAGGACGCCGCTGCAGGACTTAGGGCGCCGCTGCAGGACTTAGGACGCAGGGCCCTGGAGGCTCCGACCTGGTTACCGACACATAACTGCTGCACCTCCATAAGGCCCCGCCTTTCCCAGGACGCATCCTCAGGTGTCCTCCCCTCCCGGGGTTAACAGGGCGACCCCACCCTGACTACACTTCCCAGCATCCTCCATGCCCGGTCCCACCCATCCTGCTCCCTATTGGCCAAGGGCGCTTTATTCATCAACCAATGAGAGAGACATATGCAGAAAGACGTCCCCATCAGCATTCCTCATCCTGGAGCACGTGCTGACGTCAGCAGCGGACAGCAAGGGGACAGGAAGTAGTCACAGACACCACTTCCCTTACAAACTTCCCCCTCAAGGCTCCACCCTTTACAGGTGGCCCCACCCCTGACTCTTGCACAAGGAGCACAACAGGAAGTTTTGTCATTTTCTGGAAACCTGAGAAATATTTCACGGGTGTGAAATGAGGCCCGCCCTGGGCGGCCATGTTTTCTCAGTAGACGTAAAAGTCCATCAGAATGACGTCAGCGCGACCTCACAGCCAGGTCACGTGCAGGTGACCCACGTGACGTTTTTCTGTTTGTTTTTCTTCCCAGGAGAGAAGACAATGCAGCTACAGGACACTTGGTGAGAGGACACGCCCTTTGCTGCGGCTGTGAGGCAGTGGGCGTGTCCGGGGATGACTGACACAGGGCTGTGGGCTTGTCCAGGGATGACTGACAGGGAGGGCTATGGGCGTGTCTGAGGATGACTGACTCAGGGCTGTGGGCGTGTCCGGGGATGACTGACAGGGAGGGCTGTGGGCGTGTCCGGGGATGACTGACAGGGAGGGCTGTGGGCGTGTCCGGGGATGACTGACGCAGGGCTGTGGGCGTGTCTGAGGATGACTGACTCAGGGCTGTGGGCGTGTCCGGGGATGACTGACAGGGAGGGCTGTGGGCGTGTCCGGGGATGACTGACAGGGAGGGCTGTGGGCGTGTCCGGGGATGATTGACGGAGGGCTCTCCCCAGGGCGCTCTGGCTGTGTCTCCCGCTGTGCTTCCTGGCGGGCGGGCGGGGCGCGCTCCCGACATGGAACTCGCGGCCCAACATCGTGCTGCTCATGGCGGATGACCTGGGCGTGGGGGACCTGGGCTGCTACGGGAACGGCTCCGTCAGGTAGGCCGCGCCTCGTGAGTGGCGGCTGGGGCTCCGCGACCCCGACCCCACGTGACCTCTGTGACCCCGCAGCACCCCGAACATCGACCGCCTGGCCAGCGAGGGCGTGGTGCTCACGCAGCACCTGGCGGCCGCGTCCACCTGCACGCCCAGCCGCGCCGCCTTCCTCACCGGGAGGTACGCCGTGCGCTCAGGTGCGTAGCGCGTGACGTCACCCACCCGCCGCGTGACGTCACCGCCGCTGCACATGCGCGCACGTGACCCCTGGCCTCTTCCCCAGGCATGGCGTCGGCCAGCAACATGTACCGCGACATCGTGTGGCTGGGCGGGTCGGGCGGGCTGCCTAGCAACGAGACGACCTTCTCCAGGATCCTGCAGCACCGCGGCTACCGCACGGGGCTCGTAGGTGAGGGGCGGGGCGAGAAGGGGCGGGGCCAGGGCACTATCCTGCATGTGGCTGTGTCAGTTGAGGACCCTCAGACCTGGCGTGGAGGAAGTAGCCGCCCCGGGTGGGTGGGCCTTCCGGTGTGCACACCTGGAAGACTGCGCACGTGTGAGCAGGGCGGGGCGGGGCGTCGTGACGTTTGGCCCCGCCCCGGCCCGCAGGGAAGTGGCACCTGGGCCTGAGCTGCGCGTCCCGCGGCGACCACTGCGCGCACCCGCTGAGCCACGGCTTCGACTTCTTCTATGGCATGCCGCTCGGGCTGCAGGGGGACTGCGGCGCCCGCGCCCCGCCGGAAGTGCACCGCGGGCTGCGCGTGTGGCTGTGGGCCACGTCGGCGGCGCTGGCCGCCCTGCCCTTCCTGCTGCTGCTGCCCCGCCTGGCGCGCTGGTTCCCGGTGCCGTGGGCGCTCGTGGCCGCGTCCGGTGTCCTGGCTGCGCTCTTCTTCCTGGCCTGGTTCAGCAGCTACGGGTTCGTGCGCAGGTGGAACTGCGTCATCATGCGCGGCCATGACGTCATCCAGCAGCCCGCTGAGGAGGCGCGCGCCGCAGCGCTGATGCTCAGGGAGGCGCTCGCCTTCATCGACAGGTGACGTCACAGCCGCCTTGCCGGGGGCGGGGACCGGGGTGACTGACAGGTGGGGGCGTTTCCCGAGGGGTGACTGACAGGCTTGCTGGGGGTGTGTTCTGAGAGTGACTGGCAGGCAGTCTGGGGGCGTGTCCCGAGGGATGATTGACAGGCGGTCTGAGGGTGTGTCCCAAGGGATGATTGACAGGCGCGCTGGGGACGTGTTCAGAGGGATGACTGACAAGCTGGCTGGGGGCTTGTCCTGAGGGATGACTGACAGGCAGGCTAGGGGCGTGTACTGAGGAATGATTGACAGGGGAGGGCAGGAGGTGTATCCCGGGCAGTCACAGACCCCGCCACACTCTACAGGAACAAGCACCGCCCCTTCCTGCTGTTCCTGTCCTTCCTGCACGTGCACACGCCTCTGCCCACGCGCGGAAACTTCGTGGGCCGCAGCAAGTTCGGGCCCTACGGGGACAACGTAGAGGAGCTGGACTGGATGGTGGGTGAGTGACGGCCGCGCCCCGCCCCACACCACGTGACCACCTAGGCCACGCCCTCCCTCTCGCCCCGCCCCATGTGCTCACCTCAGCCCCGCCCCCAGGGAAGGTCCTGGCCGCCCTGGACCGCGAGCACCTGACCAATCAGACCCTGGTTTACTTCACGTCCGACAACGGCGGCCGCCTGGAGGCGCAGGAGGGCGGGGCCCACGCCGGCGGCTGGAACGGGGTCTACCGGGGTGAGTGAGGCCCCGCCCCGCCTGGGGCGGGCCCAGGCCGGGCCACATCGCGGCTCTCACCCCCTGCGCTCCCTCGTGACAGGAGGCAGCGGCGCGGGCGGCTGGGAGGGCGGCGTGCGCGTGCCCGGCATCTTCCGCTGGCCCGGCGTGCTGGAGGCCGGCAGAGTCGTGGAGGAGCCCACCAGCCTCATGGACCTGCTCCCCACCCTGAGTCACGTGGCGGGCGGTGTCCTCCCCCAGGACAGGTGCCGGCGTGGGGGCGGGGCTTGGATGACTGACTGACACGGGGGCTGGGCTTGTGCTGAAGCCCCGCCCCCTTTCCGTTCCCCTCCCCAAGAGTGATCGACGGCCGGAACCTGATGCCGCTGCTGGAGGGCCGAGTGCAGCGCTCCGACCACGAGTTCCTGTTCCACTACTGCGGCGTTTTCCTGCACAGCGTCCGCTGGCACCAGAAGGACTGTGAGTGGGGCGGGGCTGGGCGGAAGGGGGGGGGAAGCGGGAGTGGGAAGGGGAAGGGGAAGAGGACGTGGGAGGCAGAGGTGAGGAGGAAACAGGAAGTAGAAGAGGAAACAGGAAGTAGAAGAGGAAGGGAAGTGGAAGAGGAAGCAGGGGAAGGGGGCAGAAATGAGGAAATGGGAAGAGGAATAGGAAGTGGGAATGGAAGAGGAAGTAGGTGTGGAAGGGGTATGAGAAGTGGTGAGGAGAGGAAGGGGAAGAGGAAGTTGGGAGGGATAGGGAGGGGGGAAGGAGGAGAGTGTAATGCGCAGTCTTCCCGCCAGCTGCCTGGGTTCTGCTGCCGCTTTAGCCCCAGAAAGCACACGAGACGCTGCATCACGTATGAAGCTGTGGGCCGTTTGCTTTGATTTCTTATCCAATAGCTCTGACTCAGTTGTTAACCCACAACTGATAATCCAAGTGTTTCCACGTGGTCTTGTCTCACTGGAGAAAAGGGTCCGGACCTCTTACTCCTCTGGTGTCCTACATCGTGACTGACTCTGCTCTCTTTCCCAGAGTCCTCCTAGACTCCTAGTCCCACCTATCTTGCTTCCCTATTGGCCGACAGTGCTTTATTTACATATACACAGGACTCCCCCATCATCTCTTCTTTTCTGTCTAAACAAAAAGAAAGGTTTTAACTTTAACATAGTAAAACATATAGCAAAGCAGTTATTAATAGTAAGAACTATAGATATAATATTTAGTTCATTAACATTTAGCAAGATTTAAAGAAAGTATCTATCCTATCTTTGTGGGTCTAATGTCTTATATGTAGCTAATCTTTTATCATAACTAAGGAAAACTATGATGATAACTATCTGTCTTCAACTCCATCAAAGACCACAGAAGGATAATATATAAACACTAGGATTGACAGAGACATCTTGCTGCCTGGACAGTCACCCGAAGTTCCTCTGTCATGTCGGGGCATCCATCTTCAGCCCGTAGGCCACAGTGTGTCTGGAACACTTCTCGACAAAGCAGGAAGTCTCAAACTGTCCATCTGCATTGGCAGTCTGTCAGTCATTTTTCTGTGTCCTGCAGAATGTCTGCCAGACTCTTCAGTCCATGAATCAGGAACCCTGAAGGACTGTTTGAGTTCAGCAGTTGTAAAGGGAGGCTTTTCCTTGCTAGCTGCTTTGGTTTATCACCCGCCAGTCGCCTGGGCTCTGCTGCGTTGTAGTCCCCAAATAACACACAGGAGGCTATATTAATTATGAAGCTGTTGGCCTTGCTTGTTTCTTACTGGCTAGCTCTGACTTAAGTAATTACCCCATAATTTTTAATCTAAGTATTTCTCTTACCGGAGAGTAGTTCCGGGCTTCCTACCCCATGCATTACATCTTGACTCTCCATGTTTTTCCTTCCCAGAGTCCTCCTGGACTCCTAGTCCCACCTATCTAGATTCCTATTGGCCAGCAGTGCTTTATTGACATAATCACAGGACTTCTCCCATCAAGCAGTCACTTTCCTGTGGGTCCTGCATGTCCAGTTTATACAGCAACAGTCAAGCAGCCTAGGCAAGAGCAGTTTCTTGCCCAAATGCCTAATCTTGCCATGTTGAAAGCAAACTCCATAACAAGTTTCTTCAATGCCCATCTTCCTCTCAGACGAAATTGGTGCTGCCAGGAGCAGACATTTCTCATTGTCAAGAAAAACCCTAAACCATTTTAAATGCCATTTTTTGAAAGGTTTGAAGACTGTCTGTCTCAAATATATCTCTGTATATCTAGAAAACCTAGCTAACCTAACTATAAGTTTTGACTATAGTTATCTATAATTTGTATTTAATTATGCATTATGTTTTAAAAGATCAGTATAAACACGATAAGTAACAGGAGAAATATACACATCACAAAATTGATCTTAAATTTGTATCAATAAATGAAAATCCTTTCCACTACAAAGTATTAATTTCTATACCATAATTTCCCTTTTACCTTTAAAGAGAGATTGGTTGTGACCATTAACCATTTATAAGCAACCTTTAAATGAAAACAAAAATTTATAAACAATATTTGGGAATTTGGGCGTTGTTCATTCCATAATGCTTCCTGCTAGTAGGGGTCGCTGTCCATACTATGGAGATCATGACAAAACACAGAAACCTGGCCAAGTCCTTGTTTTTTAGTCTGCATGGCTGCATCATGTTAGCTGTTTCAGATGCTGGACTGCCTGACACACCGCTTCAGGAGGTCTGCCTTCATCAAACCATAGAAGCCTGGAAGGAATCCACAACCTTTCATTTTCTGTGGAAACACAAACAAATTTTTTTTCTCAAGTAACCTGTCCTTACACTTAAATTTGAAGTCAAAGCATTTTTAAAATGTATAAGTTGTATTAATTTAGCAGTGTTTATAATCAAGCATATTTTAGCAGTTGTTCCTAAGAAATTGAACAACTGAAAAACACAATAGCATACAGTATCTAGACTCTGTGTATTTTCATCTTTACGTGGCTTATATTACTCTATATCTTGTATATATTTTTTCTCTGAGACAGGGTTTCTCTGTGGAAATCCTCCTGCCTCTGCCTCTGGGGTGCTGGGACTAAAGGCGTGTGCTGCCACACCCATTACTCTCTTTGTTTTTTCACTATCCTGTTTCTTTTCTGTCCCAAGCCTACGTATATTTTTAAACACACTATAAGCCAGTTAGAGGCTTTACTTCATCTGAATCTGACTTTACTCTAAATCTTAGTTTTTCTGACCACGTGTCTGTCATCTGCTAAACAATATTGCTAGAGTTAAAGCAGAAACAGCCGCTGACTTCCCAACATGGTGGGCCGTAAGTTTGCCGCCAGCATCGGGCGCTGTGCTCACCGCCTTGTCTATGCCGGCGTGGAGATGTGGTCACTGCCCCTGCCAGCCGCTTGTGCACACCATTCAGTTACTGGCAGGGCCTCTTCACAGAGCCATGTAGGTTTTTTTCCACTTATGCTGAGGCAGGAAGACTCCCTTAATGGAGCCCTGTGAGTCTCTGCTGGTCTCCAGCAGAACAGAGCCCACCTGAGAGAAAGGCTGCTACTCAGTTGTTAACCCACAACTGCTAACCCGTGAGGGTCAGCGGTCACAGGAAGGAAGTCCGCGGGGGTGTGTCTCGCTGTCACGTGGTTACTCCTGCAGGCAACACCGTGTGGAAGGCCCATTACGTCACCCCCAACGTCTCCCCGGAGGGCTCCGACGCCTGCCACGGCCCCGGCGTGTGCCCCTGCTCCGGTGACGTCACCCACCACGACCCGCCCCTGCTTTTCGACATCTCAAGAGACCCCGCAGAGTCGCAGCCGCTGAGCCCCGACAACGAGGCGCTGTTCGACGCGGTGCTGGAGAAGATGGCCACGGCCGTGCGGGAGCACCGGGCCACCCTCACTCCCACGCCCCGCCAGCTGTCCACCTTCAATGCGCTCTGGAAGCCCTGGCTGCAGCCCTGCTGTGGAGCTGCCTTCCCGCTCTGCGGCTGCTCGGGGGAGGACATGTGAGTGTGGTTCTCCCCGAGGCCTGGATACTCCCCACATGGTGCTCCCTGATGGTGGAGTGCTCCCACGGGGCGCTCCATGGCAGTGATGTGCTCCCCACTCAGTGCTCCCTGATGAAGGAGTGGTTTCTCATGCAGTGATCCATGGGGTGCTCCTCACATGGTGCTCACTGATGGGGGGATGCCCCCCACATGGTGCTCTGTGACTACAGAGTGCTCCTCAAACTGCTCACTGACTGCAGGATGCTCCCCATGTGTGCTTATGATGGTGAGACGCTCCTCACACAGTGCTCGCCGGTGGCTTGGTGTTCCCCCCGTGGTGCTCCCTGAGAATGTGTGCACGCCACACAGTGCTCGCCGATGGAACTGTGCTCCCCAGAGGGGTGTTCACTGACTGCAGGGGTGCTCGACAGGCAGTGCTCTCTGCGAGTTGCAGTAACGATGATCAGGCTCCTCCCTGACAGCAGCCGTGCTCTGTAGAGTGCTCACTGACTCCAGCACTGACCTGGGTGCTCCTCCCGCGGTGCTCCCTGCCCATCACTCGTCCCCGCTCTGCTTGTGAGGTCTCGGGAGGCCGGTGCCTCAGTTTCCCCAGCAGGCCCGCTGTTTCCCTGAGCCCTGATAGTAAATCGTAAATCAGCGTCAGTGCCCGCCTCAGAGTGAGCTGCGCGTGCGCACATCGTCAGGCAGAACGGGGTCGCTGTCAGGGCCGCCCGGGGGAGCCAGTGGTGCAGGGCTGCTGCGTCAGGGAAGGGAAGGCAGCTGCGTGCTCCCGGGAGGAGGAGGAGCCACAGGGAGGAGGGGCGGAGGGGGCGGGGCCACAGGGAGGGGCGTGGCCGCCCCCGAGCTCAGGACGGGAGAAGCCACCCCGGGAGCCTCTGGAGCGAAGGGCCGAGCAGCCTGGTGCTTTCCATGCACTCAGGGCTGCTGAGCCCCGGGACCGAGCGCTCCCCGGTGTGGACCTCAGGCAAGACACGCGTGACCCTGGCTCTGTGACTCCTGACTGGAGGCGGGCGAGCCCCGGGTGACGGTGGGGCCCTGAGCCCTGACCCGACCGTCCCGGGCCCTGGCGACACTCGGGAGAAGCCGGCGGTGAAAGGATGGGGCTGGGGTAGGAGCCACGCCCTCGCGCTGCGCGTGCCAGGCCCCGCCCCGCCTCTGGGACACACCCCTAGCCCTTTTTATCTGGATTAGGTGGCTTCCAGCGCACTGTGGCGCCCTCCGTTCCCAGCTGCCCGGGGTGGGCACCGCAGGCTGGCTTCCTCCTACCCAGGGAGGGGAGGGTTCACTCGCTCCTGTCGGTGCAGCGCTTGAGCCCGAGTCGCACTGCGTGGCCAAGGCGGACCCTGCGCTTCTGGCCTCGAACCTTCCTGCCGCCCACCCCACTAAGTCTCAGAGAGCTGCCCCGCAGGCTCCAGCCGCCGCCCACTCCCGGGCAGTGCCCGGAGAGGGTTAGAAGCAATTCTCAGGCAAGCCCCTTCCTTCCAGCACGAAGGACACCGACATTCCGGACTGTCAGGGCCTTCACCCCCGAGCCCCAGAATGCCCTGCGTGGGGCTTCACAGATGGCTGAGGTTAGGTACGCTTGCTACTCTGGGAGAGGAACCAAGCATCCAGAGAGGGGGTGGCCACTGCAAATAACCCGTCACAGGGATTCTGCTACCCTCTTCCGGCCTCTGCGCGACACTACAGGTGTGGTGCATGCAGGTACGCAGAGGCCGACACACGCAAAGCAAGACCAAATCTTAACAAGACTGTCTCATTCAAGCTGGACGGGCAAGCCTGTGTCCGCATCTTCTTGAGTGTTTAATCGTATGAGCGCAGACCCTTAGAACGACTCCCTTTTCCTCCCTTCAGTGGTAAGAAAAACTAGCAACTGCTATTAATACACGCCATGCGTCTGTACAACTGCCAAACAGGTATTTGCTATTAAGCATACTTACTGCCGCTGCTATCGAGTTTGGGTATGCAGACTCAAAACCCGTCAAGTGCCGATACGTGATTGTTAATATGACAAGGGGCAAATGCTCAAGAGTGTGTAAGCGTGTCACCCCCTTGAAGCTCAGGGGACACCACTGAAGGAGGACAAGGAGAAATGCCGAGTCCAAAGGTTAGGGCTGACATGATGACCGGTAATCATGGAGCAGAAGGCAGACACGGCTTCAGCTCCACGGTTACGGCAATGTTAAGTCCAGGTTAACAGTAACGGTGCTACTGACGCTCCTTAATACGAGAGGTGGCGTCAACTGACCCTTACCTAGGATTTACATACCCTTTCCTCCTGTCTCACAGCTCCAAGAGAGCTTTGCAAAGGGGGGAGTTGCTAGACTGCACAGGAGGTATTAGCTTAACCGCAGGTGGAACTCCATAAAACTGCCTCCGGTCATGAGGGGTGGGACCGTACAGTGGTGGGGCTGTCTTGGGTCACCTACACAACTACACAACTGTTAGCCCCTCACTTGTATGGAATCATGACTTTGGTCAATTGTCAGTGCCCAATCGCCCCATGAAAAATAAGCAGAGATTAATGGCACATACAGCCTTTTACATGAAATACAAACAAAAGTATTTGCTGATACTCTGATTAAGGAAAACAACCTGAAGGCTGACAATTCTGACTGGCAGAGTGCTTGCCCAGCACACACAAAACCCTTGGTTTCATCTCCAGAATCACATAAAACAAGGAACAGTGTTCAGTCTTAGCATCTGGGAGGCAGAGGTGATCAGAAGCTCACGGACATTAACGACTACACATTTTTTTGTTGTTTTTCGAGACAGGGTTTCTCTGTATTGTTTTTTAGAGGCTGTCCTGGTACTCGCTCTGTAGACCAGGCTGTCCTCGAACTCGAAGAGATCCCCCTGCCTCTGCCTTCCGAGTGCTGGGATTAAAGGCGTGCGCCACCACCGCCCGGTCAATGACTACAGTTTTTAAACCAGCAGAGGTACACAGGATACTGTCTCAATAGAAAAGGTTGGGAGAATGAGAAGAGGGGAAGAGAATGATTAGATACTATAGTAAAAGACATGCTTTCTTATTAATCATTTATGTTCAATACTGGCTCTGAATAATTTTTTCATACCTATAACGTGTTATTTAGTTGTTTCGATGACATTTCAATATAAGACTGTATCCCATCCAAACTAGGTCTGGTGGCATGTTTTAATCGCAGTACTCAGGAGGCAGAAGCAGGTGGATTGATATGAGCCCTCGAGGTCAGCCTGGTCTATACAGTGAGTTCCTGGACAGAAATGGCTGGGTAGGGATCCTATCTCAAGCAGGCAGGGGAACCCTGTACACATGACATCTGCTGCACGCATGTTCTCACATCCTCTCCTTTCTCCTCCGCTTTCAACGCCAAAGTGAATTTACAAGGAAAAAGTTCTAGCAGACAATACGGGAGCACTGTGCGTTTCAGAAAGCACACTTTTCTAGGTAAGAAATCCCCAGCTGTTTTCCTCTCTCTTCGTGAGGGAGGTGAGAAGGAATTGCTGGGTATGGGCACTGGCGATGCTGGACTAAAGCCCTACAGCCATCTTTGATGTTTTTGTGGCTTTCATACAAAGTCATGCTTCCTATCTAATCTATGTAGTTAGGAGTAAACACACACTTTATGCAGCACAGTCAAGTGTGTATTATATAATATACAGCTACGAAGCAAATGAAGTAAACAACACATGCAGCATGGCCCTCAGGACATGTCCAAAACACAGTATTTTGTGAGCTACTGATGTCACTGTAGCTAGTAGAGAAAAGTGCCAAAACTGCCTTTGCCATTCCACTTAAACTGGTTTCCCATAATTTCGATGAACATCTCCTGTGACATTATGTTGTCATCAGCTTGCATGATCCCGAGTTCGCTCAATCGTTTCTTCACACGGCCTTTTTGCATGGAAGCGGCAAGCAGTTCACTGATAATTTCACAGTTTCCCTTAGCTTGTTCAGAAAAGTCAGCCGTGGCAGGAGGCTCCATTTTGTTAGCGACACACTGAAGCATTTCTTCCAGATCTAATCCTTCAGTGGCGTCCATCTCTCTAGTTTTCTGAATTGTGTTGTCTGTGGGAACAAATTACAATGAAGTTAAATATACGGTCTAAACCAACAAAGGGGTATTTCTAGCACAGTCTATTAGAGTCAAGTGTTTTCTGCCAAGAGTTTATAACAGGATTTTACTAATGCTTTAACTATAAGGACCTCAGTGAATCTTCTTGCAAAGTTTCAAGACACTAACGGGGTCGCCGAGTTTAAATTTCAATTTCCTTCTTCATCCTAGAATGTCAGTCACTGGACAGACATTTTCGTGGACACTTACTATCTGCTAAGCTCTGCACTGGGAGCTAGGATGCAAAGAATAATATAACAGGGCTACTTTTCTTAAGTAACTCCCAATCCGCCAGCTGATCGACCGAAGGCCCTCATGGTTCCCATCCTCAAGAGGGCACTATCATGATCGTTAGGTGACAAAAAGACTTTGCCTTATCACCAAGCAATGCAAGTTGGGACGACTTAAATGTTCCTGCTAGCTGGTTGCAGAAGAGGAACTCAGAGACAGCAATTAGATTCTCCACCAGAGCTTTCAGGTAAGATTCCACCCAACAGACTGGCAATTTTACCCTGCTGTGCCCTGAGGGGGAGGGACCCTGAGTGAGGACAGTGAGGCCGAGGCTTTAAACTCCCTCAGTATTTCCAACAAAGCACCATTGCTTCACACGTCTTCACGTCTGACTCTTAAAAGTGACTTATGCCAACGGCTAAAAACCACACATTCCCATTGAGTGCCCTCCCCTTTACGTGACGGGAGGCGGTTACTCTTATCCACGGAAGTAAAGGTATACGCCAATAACATCTCTCCCAGCTTTCATCCCACAGATACCTACAGAAGCCACTGTGCGTTCACACACTTACAAGAAGACAGAGGTAAGGGCCTTACACTGAGCCACATCAAAGCTCGGAATCAACAGATCAACAAGTCAGATCTGAAAGTTTCTTTCACGTTTAGACTCTGAAGGCGTCACCAAGCTTCTATATCTCTATAACCAAGGACATTCAATGCCTTTTGTTGTTTTTTGTTTTGAGGAGTAATCTCTGACTCTCTGTAGCTAAGCATGACCTTGAGTTTGATCCTCCTTCCCAAGTGTTGGGACTGAACCGACAGTTTTGTGTGTGTTAGCCAAGCACTCCACAAGTTGAGCTATGGTGCCAGACCTCTAGCAAAAGCTTTTAAAGGAGGGAGAAAAACTAAAGCTGTCACCAGAACTTATTGCTGAAATACAGTAAATTAGATCTAATTTTATACTCGGTAAGTACATTTAAATATTTTAATTAAGCATAGCATACCACCAGTCACAGCTCGGGCATTTTCCTGTAGATCACAGAAAATTGTAGGCTTCACCAAAACAACACCATACCCTTCGTTGTTATGTACGGTGTTGTTTATCATAGAGACTTTGGGGATGTCATAATGCTCATCAAGGAAGTCCTGTGACATTGAAAACAATCGCGTTAAGGAACTGTCACAATAAACAAGCTTCATAACTTCTCTACCTTTCAAAACATGGAAGTACAAAAGCTATGCAGATTTAAAGATAGCAAAAGACTACTGGAAGATCCTGGATCTGTAGAGCAGGCTGGCTTGGATCCATCTGCCTCTGCTTCCCTAGTGCTAGGTTAAAGGTGTGCTCCACAACCACCCAGGTATCAGAAGATTTCTAATCACTTTTAGTGTTCTTAAAATTTATGTAATGTTTATACTTTACCAAACAAAATAACAGAACACAACATGAGAAATATACATGGCTTTTTAGGTGAAATCATTCTAAGTCTTAGAAAAAGATGTTTCAGCCAATACCCACCTTGATGAGGATTCCTTCCTTGCAGTGATGGATCTCATTGTCAGTCAGGGTACACTTACTCCCAGGATATATTTCTATACCAGCACCCTGTAAAATATGAGGCACCAGCTTTAAAACGTTAAGAGGAGGGTCTGGAGAGGTGGCTCAGCAGTTAAGAGCACTGACTGCTCTTCTAGAGGACCCAGGGTTTAATTCCTAGCAACCACATGGTGGCTCATACAACATGAAAAATAAAAGCCCAGAGACAGATATTGGGGTTCAAGCTGAAAGGTCAGAGAAGCAAATCAGCCAGCCACAAGCAATTTCTCACCTCTACCAAAGCTCAGACCAAAGGCGCAATTGTACCAATTGCACCTCCAAACTGCATGGCTCTCCACCAAGCCTCAGAATCATCACTGCCTCTTCAATGTGGCTGCAGACAATCTGCCCAAGACTGACTCTGCTTCCCTTATCTTCCTCTCTCCGCCTGGCCACATCACTCCTGCCTCGACCTCCCTACTGCTAGAATTAAGTTGTGTGATCCTGAGTGCTGTGATTACCTTTGTGTGAGCAAATCTGCCTGCCTCTGTCTCCAGAGTCGTGGGATTAAAGGTGTGCACCACCACTGCCTGGCCTCGATGGCTTGTGGCTGGCTTTGCATTCTAAACCCGCAGGCAAGCTTACTAAATCATAAATAAAATGTCACCACAGCTCACAACCATCTGTAAGTCCAGTCCCAGGGGATCTGACACCCTCTTCTGGCCTCTATGAGCACCAGGAATACATGTGGTACACAGACATACAAGCAGGCAAATCAGTCACATACATGCAAATAAAATACATGTTTAACAAGACTATCACTTCTTAGCCTTTCAGACGAGATAAATACAAAAATATATTTTTGTTGTTGTTTGTTTCTCTCTCTCTCTTTTTTTTTTTCCAAGACAGGGTTTCTCTAACAGCTCTGGCTGTCCTAGAACTCAGTCTGTAGACCAGGCTGGTCTCAAACTCACAGAGACCCACCTGCCTCTGTCTCCCGAGTGCTGGGATCAAAGGCGTGTGCTACCAATGTACAAAATACACTGTTTTAAAGATAACTTTTGTTAGGTCTTCCTTTCACATTTCTATATTGTGTGGACCTGTGTAACTTCACTCACTGTGTGTGTGTGTGTACATGTGTGCGCGTGTATGTGTGTGCATGTCTGTCTGTGTGTGTATGTGTGGTGTCTGTGTGTGTACATGCCATGGTATATTTGTGGAAATTAGAAGACAACTTGTAGGAGGAGCTGGTTCTCCCCTTCCATCATTTTGGTTCTCAGACCCAAACTCAGACTTTCAGGATAGCAGCATCTAAACCAACGTCATTTACTGGTCTTTATTAGGAGTCCTAATCCATGTTGCCAACAAGCAATATTGGGGCAATAATCCAATGATGAACTACTGACAACTAATCACTTTCAAAACACCACATTCATTGAACTGAAAAAATGGTTCCTTTACTAAAGAGCCTGCAACACAAGCATGAAATATTTGGATTCCAAACACACACATAAAAAGCCAGGCACAACAGTGTGATCCTGTGCCTCCAGTGCGGGAGGAGACAGGAGGATCACTGGATTTCATTGTCCAGCCAGAGTGAGTTCCAGATCAACTGAGACTCTACCTAAAAGTAATGTAAAAGTGATTGAGGAAAAGACTCAATGTCAACCTCTGTCTTGTATATGCACAAGTACACGAGCGCATATACCCTTACACACACACACACCCTTACACACACACTAACATGCACATAAGACCACATACACATATACACTTACAAAGATGTATATTACAAAGAGTAAAGAGTGCCACACTTAATGCTTATTACACATTTTCACTTTAAACAAATTAATTTTCTGATTATGTCAATAAATTTAACAATTTTGCTGAAAGATGTTGTCATTCAAAAAGATGACCGTTTCAATAATCAGTTGGAGACACGCATTTAAATAGACAAGGGTGGGGGCCTCACCCACGCACACAGAGGCGGCGATACACAAACAGAGGGTTTAAGGAGCACATGAGGTTGGCAGAGACAGTGGTGGGGAGGCCGGGGAGGAGCTGGAGAGAGCAAAGGCGCCTATGTGTATTCATGCACAAAAGTCTCAAGCACTTGAAGCAACAGTGGCAACTGTTAGAAAATTATCTATTATTTATAGTTATAATCTTTAAAAAATATTCTAAAAATGGGGCTGGAGAGATGGCTCAGAGGTTGAGAGCACTGACTGCTCCTCCAGAGGTCCTGAGTTCAATTCCTAGCACCCACATGATGGCTCACAACCACCTGTAATGAGATCTGGCTCCCTCTTCTGGTCTGCAGGGATACAGAACACTGTACACATAATAAACAAACAAATAAATAAATCTTAAAAAAATAAAAATATTCTAAAAATGATTTATGTGTATATGTGTAGGAATGTGCACATAAGTACAAATGCCAGAGTGGTGTGGTGTCGGATCTCTGGAGCAGGAGTCACCAGTGGCTGCCAGTCGGCTGACAGAGGTGCTGGGAACTGAACCTGGGTCCTCTCCAAGAGCAGCGTACACTCTTAACCACTGAGCCACCTCTCCAGTCCCACAGGGTGTAATCATAAGGGTCTATAAGGTTATCACAGGGAAAGTTAGGCAATCATTTTCCCTCCCAGGGCCTTGCTTATAAAATGCTATAGGTCTTCTGTTTAATGACTAACTGAATTTTAGATGCCTGGGAGATTATCAGTGTTGGAATTCCCTTGAAGAAAGAGCAGATTTACACCTTGGCATCTTACTTGTTCGGTTTATTTTGAACTTAAACACCACGACTGCTTCTTCCCAGAGACAAAGCACTACCTTGGCCCCATAGATGTCTGAGTTCTTCATCACAAGCTCTGCTGAGGTACGCACTGTAACCCCTGTGGTCTCACACTGCAGTACACAGTTCTCCAGGGTGGTCTTGCCATGGTGAATGACTGTTAACAGAAACATTCATTCAACTACTTTAAGAGATGTACCATTATCAGAAACAGTTTACAGCTAACATTAGATGTCGTGATAACTATAAAAATATCTGTACACAGAAAAGACAACTTTTGTTGCACTTTGCAGCCAAGTTAATGTGTTGAGATCATTGAAGACTATGTACTTAGACAATACTGTTGTATACTCAGCCTATTTAAATTTAATCTGGTGTCTCAGTCACTGCTCTACTGCTGTGTCATGACCAAGGCAACTCTTAGAGGAGAAGTAAGAGAACACATTCAATCAGGGGCTTGCTTCACAGTTTTAGAGGGCTAGTCCACTATGTCATTGGGAGGCACGGTGGTGGAGAGGGAGCTGAGAATTTTACATCCTGATCATCAGGCAGAAAGCCGGCACAGAGTGAGACTCAGCCTGAGGTGGACCTTCTCCAATAAGACCACTCCTCCTGGTCCTTCCCAACAGCCACCAATGGGGAACCAGGCGTTCAAGCAGCCAATGGGGGCCGTTCTCATTGGAACCACCACACTGGCCTTTAGAGAAGAGTGTAATCAACTTTCCTTGTCTTCAACTCCCAAGTAATCAGCTTTTACTACATAAGCTAATGTATAGCTTTAAGTTATGTACTATTTCATGTCTTTGGCCATATAATGAGTGTGTTTCTGTACATGTTTTAGGTAACATTTGGCCGAAAGCAGTCAGCAAGTTGACAGTAACCTTAAAACAAAATCCACCAAAAGTTTTTCAAGCAATATGTGAATAAAGACGTGGCTTTTACTCAGTGAGTTTTCTACAGGAAGGGTGACCGTGGGTGCTCCCAGAGAGGAAACTAGGAAGTTTATCAGGGCTGTGATGAGGGTTAAGACTGCCGATGCTTCCAAAATGGAATGGAAAAGTAGAAAGTTTGTACAAACTGTGACGGTTTAGATCACAATCATACGCTAGGACATTTTCCAGAGTAACATTCACATTTTGTTACAAATGTTACAAATTCAAATTATGAGTTATTTTCTAAAGACTAAAGGCAACATTTTAAATAACAAATACCTGTGTCAGTGGGCAAAGCCCTTGCTAAGCAGGAAGACCTAAGTTGAAATGCCAGGACTCAGATAAAGCCAGGTACAGTAATGCACACAGGCAATCCCAGTGATCCTAGGAGAGGAGAGGCAGACACAGGAGAATCCCCAGACCCAGCCAGAACCCCGGCATAAACAGCGTTAACAATGAAGAGACCCTACCTCTCACAGGTGGAAACGATGCCAGACACACAAGGTTGTTTTCTGACTGTTGCCCACCCCCTACGCAGCCACAGAATGGCAGGTAGGTATCCACACACATACACACACACACACACACACACACACACACACACACACACACACACTGTAAACTAAGAAACAAAAAAGTACATATTCATTACATAAATGTATATAATATTTTTTATTATTATTGTATCAGTGAATAGCTCTGCTTGGTATCTTGGAAAGAGAAAGGCCCTTGAAAACAGATGGATACACAACCTATAAAACCAATACTAGAGAATGTCTTGGTCTTTCTGGTGTGCCTATAACCAAATTCCTCTCACATGGCTGTAGTATGTGTGAACTCAGAGCATGGTATCTGGTAAGACCTCCCCAGAAGCGTTACAACACAGAGAGGCATGAAGGAACAGGATTTGCACGGAGAAGGGCACACACACCAGCAAGGGAGAGTTCCGAGGTGTCGTGTCCACTCTTATAAGAACATGCTCTCGGGGAGCTGATCCGCTCCATCCCTGAGGAGAGAGCCCCCGGAATCTAATGAGTCACTGCTAGGAGAAATGCCCAGAGGGTTCCTCACGCTCACACTGCTGCACTAGTATCGGGTGTGGTGAGACATGTCAGTAACCCAGGGCTCAGGAGGCTGAGGCGGGTTTGCAGATTGTCATGATAGCTAGGATCAGGGTGACAGCCTGTCTCAAAACCCAAACCAAACCACCAAAACACTGACAGAAAAGAAACAAATACGCTTCCACGAATAAGCTGAGCTATTTTTCACTATGAGGGCTCGTAAAGGATTCACCAGCCCTCCATACATCCAAGTGTAGTAAATTTTATCTTCCATGAAAAGTCAACTTTTCCTTCAAAGCTCAAAGCAAATAACACACCGAATATCCGGATACTTACCTAAGATTCCTTCTACAGAATCGTGCTGAATAAATTTGATGCTTGAGATTCTAACATCCACACCCGTGCAATCCACAAAAGTGTCTCCTTTGCCCTCCTTTTCTATGACGATATCATCTGGCGGGCCGTATCCTAAGGAAGAGAGCCAAACTCCTAAGAAAAGTGAGGAGCACTGTCTGCATACAAAAAGGTCTGACTGACTGACAACGGATGGACAGACAACCGAGATCAAGCACATATGCACAATGGAGCCCTCAGCCACGAGAAGGGGTGCACGGGATCCACAGGAAAATCGACGGACTGCTAAACATTAAACTGAGTAACCCAGGCCCACAAAGAGAAACCCTTATTTTCTTTCTTGCATAGTTTCAAAATTTAGACTTTTTAAAATTAAAAATTATCAAGAGAGGCAAGAAAGATGTCATGGGCAGGGGACAGGAAGTGAAGGTTAGGTCTGGGCAGGGACAGGAAGTGAGGGTTAGGTCTGAGCAGGGACATGGGACACTGGGAAGATGGGAAAAAGGGAAACACAACTAAGGAACAGTACTTTACAAGTAAAAAAAATAACTTAAAGAATTTACATTAGCCATGCAGTGGTGGCGCACACCTTTGATCCCAGCACTCAGGAGGCAGGGGCAGGCGGATCTCAGTGAGTCTGAGGCCAGCCTGGTCTACAGAGCGAGTTCCAGGACAGCCAGGACGGTTAAACAGAGAAACCCTGTCTCGAAAACCACAGAAACCCCAAACCAAAAAGAGTTTAGCGCCCTCACGCATGGACAGCAAGCTCACAGAAGTCATGAGGTTTCAGATAAGGGTCTAACACCAGCTGTGGTGTACCACCCTGTGACCCGTTGACCAGAGACATCTCAGAAGTCTAAGAGAGAACAGGCTAATGTCACTGCTCTTGGTCACCCACCAGAACCTGAGGATAACGCACTTTTGTTACAGGATATAGAGAAGACGAGATGGGACCGTGCAGGAAACTCCCTCTGGGCTGGCCAGGGGTCACAGTACCAGGAGGCGCCGCGCAGGTTGCTAAGGGAACAATCTTATCGACTGTAGAACGTGCACACGATAACACGTACCTGCTGGACAGAATGTGCTCACTCATACAACGGTAGCATAGCTCTTTTGGGAGTAGCTAACTGCGGGGCATGATCCACCAGATAGATCACATATTTGGTGCTATAAACCTAGCCAAAACCCTGGGCTGAGAGGCTCGTGGGTCCAACGGAAGAGCGTGCGAGCCGTCTCCATGAATGACCATGCTGTCAAACTGCTTTCTGAACATGATGCTGCCCTTCGCAGAGACGGAGACACACGTGTCTGGTCAAAGGGCTGAGGATACGTGACAGCTGAGTGACATATCAACCTCTGCTGCAACAGCTGCCATCCGAGGCTCAGGAAACATCCCAGAAGTCTGGAAAGAGTGTCGTGAACTGCCGCCATCCATCCATGCATGGTCACGGCAACCATGAACAAACAGCATGTTTGGACACCTAGACAAGCCTGAGCTCTTCAGCCCTCCCATCACGGGTAGGTGAGGAGTTCACGAACCCTCACTCCTTCCTGAGGGGCTAGTGACAGGTAGTGGCTGCTGGAGAGGAGGGGCCATCATCTTCTGTGATGGTGTAGTCATAGGGTGCTACGTAGGAAGAAGTAAGCGGTTTATATGGAGAAGAAGAGAGATTGTAGAAGGTAATGAGAGGGCCAATAAAATCATAACAGAGTGTGTATACGAAACTGTAAAATGAGAAGGAAAAGACATAAGCAACTTTTTTTGTCTTAAAAATAGTCCTAAAGTTAAAGCAACAGTGAGTTAAAGAAAAATCAGCATGGTACTGTGTGGTGGATAAAATCCACATATAAACCCATGCAGCTACAACCACTTGATCTCTGATAAAATGCCAAAATTATTCATTGTAGAGAAGACAGTTTCTTTAACAAAGCGTGCTTAGGAAAAGATATGTGCATGTAGAAGAATGAAACTAGATGCTTACCCCTCATCCTGGATAGAAAAAAATTCCTAAATGGATTAAAGATCTAAACATAAGGCCCAAAACTCTGAAAGTGATAGAGGAGTAACAGGGGATACTTCAAGAACTACGCATAGGTAACAATTCCATGTATTCAAGGAGACCAACAAACAATAACTTGGCCCTCATGAAATTAAAAAGCTTTTGTTAAGCAAAGGTTAATTGAGGGAAAATGTACCCTTTAAAAAGGGTGAAAATATTTTCTAGCTATACATTCAAAAGATGGTTAACATATAGGATATTAAAAAAAAAAACTCAAAATACTAAAACAAGCAACCCAATGAAAAAGCAGGCCCTGAAACTGAACAGAGGATGCTCAAAGAAGAGGTGCGAATGGCCAATATCTCTAATGTATTTATTTCACTCTTTGCCATTAGGGAAAATGCAAATTAAAACAACCTGGAGATTTCATCCCACCATAGTCAGAACAACCATCATTAAGAAAATGAATGACAAAGCTGGTGAAGACGTGGAGAAAGAGAAAAAATCCCCCCCCGACAGGGTTTCTCTGTGTAGCTTTGTAGGCCAGGCTGGCTTTGAGCTCAGAGATCCGCTTGCCTCACCCTCCTGAGTGCTGGGATTAAAGGCATGCACCACCACTGCCCGGATGAAAGAGAAATTCTTATTCATTATTAGTGGGAACATAATATGGACTATGGAAATCAGTGTGGAAGTTTCTCAAGATGCTAAAAATACAACTAACATATGACCCTGCTCAAACCTACTAAAGAGATATAAAGAGATACTTGTTCATCCATATTTATTGCTGTTCCATTCATAACAAAAAATAGACTAGATATCCATCAAATGATAAAGGATGATGAAATTCTAGTACATATACACAATACACATATTGTGATATACATGTACAAACCAGTTCTAAAAAGGAAGATAAGAAGTTATAAAACTCACAGGTAAATGGAGGCAGAAATATTAAACGAGGGCATCCAGATTCAGAAAGATAAACACCCCGTTCTCGCTCTTACATGTGTATCCTGGTTTCTGATTTTTACGCATTTGCATTTAGATGAGAGGTGACGCATGTGTAAGAAATAATAAAACACATGTGATATGTAAGCAAAAGGGGGACACGGGGACCAAAGGGTTAAAACAGGGACAGGGAAGCAAGGAGGCAGTGACAGGCAGAGGGCGTGGCGTGGGTAAACTAAGACTAAACATACAGGAAACGTCGTAAGGACACCCGCTACTTTGTAAGGTAAGTAACAAATAAATTTACACACACGCATACTTTTTGTTCTAGAAATAGACTTCCTTTTTATAAATTAACAATCTTCTAGAACCTATGCTTGTTACTAACAGTCTTTTTTTTTTTAATATGCATCTATAAAAATCTTACCAACATACGGCCACAGACACCTATGATGCACACTTTTCAAACACTGGGTCAGTTTCTCATACAGTGTAAATATTCTTAAGGTGTCAATGCACCGCACTTGAAATCAGATGGGTCCAATCATCAAGTCAATCACGATCACTAATTTGTTGTTTACTTATTATGAATTATCGTTATGATATTCCATACTCACCTTCCAACTCAATGGAGTCCGCTATGGAGCAGGTGCCGTGAACCACATAATGGCCAGGACAAATAATGACAGTGTCACCCTCATGGCAGGCATTTACCGCAGACAACAGATCACTATGGAACTAGAAAACAACGTATTATAAATACACATCCCCCAAAGCCACTTGGATGTTACTTCAACCGCCTTCATGTGTCATGTGAAAATCAATCCAAATTTGGTTTTTATCCATCTTTTTAACAGTGTGTGTGTGTGCACTGCTTTCACTGAAAAAGAACAGTGCTCTTACTATTTGGATCTCACAGAAAACCAACTCCAGAAACCTCCTGCAAACACACTGTAGAATTGATGAAAATTTGGAGTTAATCAATCAAAAGCAGTCACTTAGAGCAACCATTAATTTTACCTGAATTTCTGTTTCTTCTTTGCCAGACTCCTCACAAAACCTGTCCCTAAATAGAGACCGCAGTAGACTTGTCTTCATGGTGGAGGAAACTACATGGGTAACCTTCTGGCCATTTTGACGAGTGCCCTTGGCTTGGTTATTAGAGTTCTTCTGATAACCAAAAACATATCTTAAAAAAACAAAATAAACACAAAAACTAAGAACCATTAGTTCTCACTAAGATAGCTAGTAAGACATGCTAAATAATTAAAATTAACAAGAACACGTACCTCAACAAAGGATTCTCAATGAGTTTTAGCTTCTGTTTCAACTGTTCAATCTCCGAATACAAATTTAACCCTTCCACCATGGAGATATTTTCCTGCTCAGAATCAGAATTACAATTTGACAAACTACTTCTCAGATTTAAAAATTTCCTGTAACTCTCTTCACATTGAGACAACAGATTGTGGTAGTCAACAATAAGTCCTGAGGGAACTCGATCTTCAAGTATATCATAATACCTGAAAGTTTAAAAGCAAATTGAAAATCCATTCTCTTTTCTAGAACATTTTCCTATCATTAAGATTTGATTTAGTCCCCAAAGACTTTAGCTTCTTTTCCCCCTTACTTTTAGCACTCTCTTTGTTTGCAAGTCACCATTCCAATAGGTCACTTCCTATTTTTTGGTGGGCGTGGGATGTGTGTGGGGGGGGGGGGGGGTGTGGGGGGTGGTGGTGGTGTTTATTTCAAGACGGGGTTTCTCTGTGGCTTTGGAGGCTGTCCTGGAACTCGCTCTGTAGACCAGGCTGGTCTGGAACTCAGGGATCCGCCTGCCTCTGCCTCCCGAGTGCTGGGACTAAAGACACCAGAGTCACTTCTTACCTTTCTGCTCTTCCCACTACCCATCAGCCATCTGCAAACTTACAAACTGTTCTCGATCTGAGGCCTGTGAGTGAGCCACCTTTGCTGAGTAAGCCTCTTATTTCCTTTCCCTAGCCTTTATGCCGCTGTCAAATCAGAACATTGCACTTTAAGAGCAACCAGAACTTAGAAAACACTCACTCTCTCAACAGTATTCAGGGCTCTTCATGTACTATCTCAGCTGAATATTATTCAGTGACCTGAACATGCAGGAATAAGGGTCCCAAACATGCAGGAATGCGTGTCAAGGGGGAGGGAGAAGGGGAGGGGGAGTGACGAGAACTACAAAAGACAGATTGTTGGGACCAGGACTTTCATAAGCTGATGACTTATTCCAAGCAAGTTTATTGGCTTGCAAGGGGCCAAATGGCCAAGGTCAGCAGAGAGCTAAATCAGATGATGTTGGTAAAGAAAACAGAGAACTCCTCATACACAGCTACCTTAGGAGTGATAACCACAGCCCTTAAGAGGGGAAAGCCAGGTTTCCAGGAGCCAAAACTGTAACTCCTTCAAGGCCCTGGCATCAGCCCTACACTGGGATCTTGCCAAGTTTACCCCTGGGTAAGGATAAAGAGCTAGTGTTCCCTGTCCCCTTTTTCTTTTCACTGGGACCTCTGAGGAAGCTTGGATTGGCCTGGATCCCAACAATTCAGGGTTACAAGCTTTTAACCTAGATATTCTTAAACAAAACAGAACACAAGTTTACATGCACGGGTGTGCGTGCGTGCGTGCGTGCGCGCGCGCGCGCGCGCGCGCACGCACGCACACACACACACACACACACACACACACACACACACACTCTGCAGGTTGTCTAGTTTTTCCCCACGAGGTTTATTTAATGACTTGTCACGACTGCACTGCACTAAGTGTTAGTCGGAAGCTCCTGTGTGTGTATCCACCACATCAGCAATAAGTACTTACAGTCTCAATCGAGGTTCAACACATCTGACAAAATAGTCATACTCATCCTCCTCTTCTTCATCCCAACTCCTCCAGATGTTTTTGTAGAAAAACCTGGAAAGAAGCTTAATGTCAATCAAATTCAACCACTGGCTCAAAGGTGGGTGGTGTGGTTTGAGTATGAGGTGTCCCCCACAGGCTCATGGGGGTGAGCACTTGGTCTCCAGCAGGTGGCAGTGTTTGGGAAAGTTCGGAAATGTGTAGGGGACAGAGTCTTGCAGAAACAAGTACCGGCCAGAGGCTTTAAGGTTAAAGCAGCATGGCTGCGCTTGCGGTCATCTCTGCTTCCATTCTGTCTGTACAAGGCTGGGGATGGCATCACACTGCTGCTACCTCCCCTATTGTGATGCCTAGGCCCCTCCCTGCAGCGGTCGGCGGAAAGAAACCCTTGCTTTTGTTGCTTTTGCTGGGGTATTGTGTCATAGCAATAGGATATAAAGCTTGGGTTTTAGATGTCTTACAGGTTTTATGTTTTAACAGCTGGAATTCTGGGGAGGTAAGAGATAAAGAAGAAATCAAAGCAGTCCTACCAACCAACAAACCAAGTACACATTATTTTCTAAGACTTGTCAGTGTTGGGTATTTGCTACAGTAGACACTCATGAGTCATAAAAGAAAGAAGTAAGTTTATCTACAATATTGTAATACTGTTGTTAGGGTGATCTGCTTTTGTTTTTTTTAAGTGGGGTTAGTTTCTGTCTGTTTAGTTTTTTGAGACAGAGTTGTATGCTGTAGTCCAAGTTGGCTCTGAACCCCTAATCCTCCTGCCTCGTGAGTGCCGAGATTACAGTGTGTGTCACCAGCAGCCCTGGCAGGACTTCCATTGTATCCATCAGTCACTAGACAGACGACAGTGTCATTTCTTTAGCAGTTAAGAAAGAAATCGGGGTTTAGATAAAAGTTGTTTTAAATGTATTCCAGGTGAGACGTTGAATTGACAACCAAACGAGTGATGTCTAGTGGGAAGATCAATGTAGCCTTTTCCTCTTCCAGAGACAAGGGATAATATACAACAACAGATGTAAATCTAGGACTTACTGGCAAGACTTATGTTTTTATGAAAGCAGTGAATGAGATGATGCAGGGACTTAATATAGAGCATTAGATTCACCCCAGCCATGGCTACAGAAGGGAGATGGCACAGGGAGATCAGCGAAGAGGAGAGCCTAGCGTGAGTGCTTGCCCTGGAGTGGGGACGTTAACAGGACAGGGTAGAGATGGAGAGGAGGAGCAGCTGGAACTCCAGCATCTAGGAAGGTGATGCTTGCGTCCTGTATACATATCAGTCATATGTAGCACTCACTGCATTCCCAGTCATCTATTATATATACACAGGTACTTATTACTTTTTTTTTTTAGCCTTGTTTTGATAAGGGCAATCTGTGCATAGTGAGTCTGGGTGTTAGGGAGGACTCAGTAAAATCAGTTTGTCCCAATAAAGGTATAGGAAGTACAGAGTACTATTTTTAGACTGTGGACCACCAAACAATATGACTGATATCACGTTATCCAGTCTTCTAGTTCCTAGAAGGATATGCATCTAGTTTTATTATTCTCAGTATCTTTTCAAATGTATGATTCTTTGGAATTTTATTTGTGAAAAACAAATTGTTTAAACAACCAAGGCTTACTAGTGAAGAGTGATTGTGTACACCAGGGCCTATTGTATTGACATAGGAGAGTGGTATTTTTACTCTCCACCTTAAAGAGGCAAATACAAAGCAAGGAACAAGTCTAGCAAGCCTGACTGCATACACTGTATAGAATTTGAAAACACATGTTTGTATTACTAATGCATTTTTTCTTTTACTCAGCAATTTAGAATCAGATTTTAGTGTCCAAATTCCAGATATTCATATTATATATCCACTTTAAGCAGTTAAAGCAAAATTTCTTTCTTCCATCCTTCCTTCCTTCCTTCCTTCCTTCCTTCCTTCCTTCCTTCCTTCCTTCCTTCCTTCCTTTCTTTCTTTCTTTCCTTTTGGTTTTTCGAGACAGGGTTTGTCTGTATTGTTTTGGAGGCTGTCCTGGAACTCGCTCTGTAGACCAGGCTGGCCTCGGACTCACAGAGATCCGCCTGCCTCTGCCTCCCGAGCCGACCAACACCCAGCTGCATAATTTCTTTAGTAAATATACATATACCGAAATATACCACATCTGTTTTCTTACCTTTCATCTTTTTTTCCTGTCCTATTACATTCAAAGTGTAGCAACCACAAGCCTTAGCATTCATGATTTGAAATACTGTTATGGAATAGTTCTTTACACTGTGTGAAGATATGTAACTGGTTTTATAAAAAGTTAAATGGCCAATAACTAGGCAGGATTTTCAGGGCAAAGAGAACACGGGAAGAAGGCAGAATTGCCAGCTAGATGTGGAGAAAGCAGGACGTGTAGGCGATGAGGACACGGAGCCATGGCAGCAAGTAAATTAATAGAAATGGGTAAATTCAAGCTGTAAGAGCCAGTTACAAACGAGCCTGAGCTAACAGCACAGCTTTCATAATTAATAAGAAGCCTCTGAGTCATTTATTTGGAAGCTGGTTGGCAGGACAGGGAAATACACCCTACAAAAGAGTTTCTAAATCCATAAAAACCAAAGTACGGCTCCTTTAGAGTTTGTCAACATTTGAAGAATTTGAATGATAAAGAAGAATTCCATATTCTTTTCAACTTTTCAATGAGTTGGAAGTGATGACAAGATGAAAATTTAAGATATCAAGACTTTTGTTTTTGTTTTAAAAGATTTTCCTATGTTGTGGATGTGCGGCTCAGAGGTAAAGACATTTATCAGCGTCCCCTTCTACCTGACATGCTCAATTGCAAGTGCTGTCTGGTGACATTCATGGGAGTCATCGGCCACCACCCAGAGCTCCTGCAGAGGCAGCTGGAACTCCTTCAGGTCCAAAAGCTCCTTCACATTCTCCAAGGTAAAAGTGCTCAACTTAGATTCATAGATACTCGGCTCTGCGAGTCTCACCACGGCCTTCAAGGCTGAAAAGTCCACGTTTGTGACCTGTAATTCAAAATAACGTTCCTCATTTTAATACCCAGAATCAAAACTGAAACACACATATAAAATGCTCTTTATAACCTACCTTAAAAAAAAAAAGTATGAAACAGGTTAGAATGCCTTTTAAGAATAAAGAAGGGAGGCAGAGGCAGGCGGATCACTGTGATTTCGAGGCCAGCCGGTCTACATAGCGAGTTCCAGGACAGCCTCCAAAACAATACAGAGAAACCCTGTCTCGGAAAACCAAAAAGAGGGTAAGACGGCAGAAAAGAGACTACTTCTGTGAGACACAGTGAAGAAAAAAGTCTCAGAATGTTGAAACCAGGCTATCTCAAGGAGAAAGAGCACTGTCTAAATTAAGACAGCAGTGACAGGAGAGGAAAATGAACACGGTGATGGGAAAATGGAAGCTGGAGACTAACTTGGGGGAGGGAGGGAACCACGCGGACGGGGCTTGTGGGGAGGACAACAAATGAGAGCACAGGCTGTCACACACGTATGAGGTGCCATGTATTATGAAAGCTGTCACATATAACCTTAAAAATGACCCAGGATTCCAGGGAGGATTAAAAACCAACAGATTAGTTCAATCCAGGGCCCGGAGAACAAAATCAGAAACACAGAGGCAAGCTTGGCAGACGTTTTCGTAAGATGATTCAACTTACCTCGACCAGCACCTCAAACACGTTAGTGTGCCAGACTGCCCACCATCCAGACGGCTCAAGGGCCTGTTCCAAGAAGCTGACTGTGAACTCCTTCACCTCAGAGGCCTTGCAGTCAGCTACAAATTAAGTGAGAAGTTAATACATTCACCCGAACCCATTTTCTCAGAACAAATGACAACCCAAGGGACAACCTACTTACAAAAATCAAACTATAGAAAGACAAGAACTTACTCACCCAAAATGTAATCTTGATAGGCTCTGAATCTCTCATAAAACAAAAGTTCATTTGTTTGGATGATCTGTGGAAAAATAATTTTTCCTTCCGGCACAAGAGTTTTTCCAATAGCACCTGACTGGGTATGAGGATCTGCATCCTGTAATAAACCTAAAACAATATAACACACAAACTCAACTGTCTGGTCATTTGTCTTCCTAACTGTAAGTCTATTCAGACAATCCAAACAAAATAAAAATAAGGATTTTGAGGATGAATGCCCTACTTAACTTTCCATGATCAGTAATATCACCAGTTATTACATCTTAAACATCTTGAAGTGTAAGTTACACTTCAAGCAACAACCAGTTAGAAAATTTCAGATATTTTTGTTACTACCCGTGATGGTTTTGGAAGCCACACAAGTTCTCTTTCAAAGGTAATAGTTATATATAACTATTACCTTTGAAACTCTTACCTATTGTGGGGTTCACTCCTACAGTTATGATTTTCAAAGATTTTTATTTTTAAGTACTTGTAAGAGTAGAAGCCTGTGTGGGGGTATGTATACAGGAGTGCAGATGTCCAGAGGCACCCCTTGCACCTGGAGTTACAGGCAACTGTAAGTCACCCACAGCAAAACCAGTAACTGCTAAGCTCAGCAGTTAAAACCATGCCCTGCTCTTCCTGGTGACCACTGTTCGAATCCCAGCACCTACGTGGGAGCTCACGGGAAACCAAATGCCCTCTTCCAGCCTATGCAAGCCGTTGCATGTACATGGTACACATGAACCCATAGGAGCACACAGACATTCACGAGAAAATTTTACTTTAATTTCTAAAAAACACTCACTGCATTCCTACACTCCTTCTCAAAAGGAGTGTTGAGACCTCTCTTTATTTTCTACGCTATGAGTCGATTAGTGGTCCCTCAAAAAAATACAATGACCTTTTTTTTTTTTTTTTTTTTTTTTTTGGTTTTTCGAGACAAGGTTTCTCTGTGGCTTTGGAGGCTGTCCTGGAACTCACTCTGTAGACCAGGCTGGCCTCAAACTCACAGAGATCTGCCTGCTTCTGCCTCCCGAGTGCTGGGATTAAAGGCGTGCGCCACCAACGCCCGGCTAGAATGAGATTCTTAAGGTTTACTCGATTAAGACTACTGGGTAGACTTCTAATTCCAGTAACTCTGTGTAAGGCAAGAAGTAGAAAATACAAACCACCTTAGACATAAGCTATGTGTAATTAGGTTTCATAGACACTAGCATATCTAATTCTACAAATTAAGTTTTTTTTTTAGACAAAGTGATTATTAAATAAATGATGCCATGGTAGCTCTTAAGACTCAGCAGATTGCTTTCCTGAGGTCTCAGAAGATGGAACAATTCGATATCAATGTATACAGAATTTGCATATTTTAAGCAGTGAATAATTGTCCAGAAGCATTTCTTCTTTTAAAACATGACCATGTTTTCAACATGACCATGTTCTCAACATTTGTTTTCCAGAAAATTCCTACATACATTACAGAAAAAAGTTGGTAAATTACAGTGTTTGTAATGTAAGAAGATACAAAAAACAACCCAAACAACAAAACAACAACAACAACAAAAAAACCACTTAAAAACCACCTGAGATAAAAACATAGCATCACTAAATCAGTCCAAAAACAGAACATCTCTACAATGACTGATCATTACTGGGAAAGTTTATGTGCACATGATATAAACCATGAACTATATATATATTATCTCCTCGAAATAAAGTCAGAACTTGAATTAAATTTCTATTAGCAAGTGAAATTGGTCAGTTTCACTCAAAGACAAGTTCTCCGATGCAGATATTATGGCTGCCATGTTGAATTCAACTCCAAAAGCAGATGTCAAGGTCACATAGAAGAAGGGTTATTATTGCTGAGTTGAAACGGTATGACCAAAAGCAACCCGGAGAGGAAAGGGTTCATTTCACTCACAGTTCCTTATAACAACAGCTCCTCATCAGAAGCAGTGAGGACAGAGCTCAGACAGGGTAGGAACCTGGAGGCAGGAGCTGATGCAGAGGCCATGGGGGGATACTGCCTACTGCCTTGATCATCATAACTTGCTTGGTCTGTTTTCACAGAAAACCCAGGACCACCAGCCCAGGGAAGGCACCACCCACAATGGGCTGGGCCCTCCCCCATCCATCACTAATTAAGAACATGTCCTACAGATGGATCTCATGAAGGGATTTTTTTCAATTGAAGTTCAGTCCTTTCAGATAACTCTAGCTTGTGTAAAGTTGACATAAAATTAGTCAGCATAGTGACCACAACCCAGGAACAGTTTTAGGTTACCCCAAATTCTATGTTCCAATGTGGAAGCAGTTCTGCTAACTTTTTTTTATAGTAACACAACAACAATGAAAGAAGTCATCAATCAAGACATTTTTCAAAGACATTGGTGGAAACCAGAGGCCAGTTACAGGCCAGCAGAGAACTCTCAGCTAGAAACGTCAGATTCTGATAGCGTTCTCTACCTTTGATTGGTAGAAGCTAGGGTTAAGTTAATGCATTCAAAGTACCGCTTAGCCACACCTGCTCGTCACAGGCTGTTAGGTCTAACGTTATCTGTTAATCTTGGGATATTAGACCTGACATACAGGTGGGCAAGGGATGACTATCTGAAGTAACCCAAGATCAACTACAATTAGGGCCCACGACTGATGTCAATCAGCTTTTGTATCCATGCCTTAAATAAACTTTGACACGTACAGGTTAAACATGCCTTTGCACACAGAGCTTCTTCCCAGGCGTTCGCATTCACATGGCTGTCATCACTGTACACGCATCTAAACTGCAGTGCTTTAAGAGCAAAGCGATGATTTGAACTGATCCAACTGCAACTGAGCAACTACTAAGGAAACTGCTACAGAAACCGTTTCCATGTTTTTCTCCTACGAGACAGACACGAAAGGACAGTTTAGATGTAAACACCAGCCACGTTATTTGCCCTTGAGGCAATAATTTAAAAAATTTCCAAGAAATATCGCAAACTCATCTACTGGCAACGTTCACGTTTCTATCTATGTGTTAAGAAATGACTACCACAAGAAGGCTGATTCCCAGCACCTTACATAGCTTCATTAAATGTCCTTTGTGCTGTTCAGTACCTCTCTGTTGGCAAACATCTCTCAAGGATGTCATCCCTGTCCCTCCTGCTCCTAACAGTACTGGGGTGACAGGTGGGTACCATCACCCATGGCTTGTAAGTACAACTTTTTCATATTCCATGTATGCTAGCATAGAAATCTAGTTCCTTACAGCACTTTAAAGTCGACCCTTTCCTAATGCAGTTTTCACGTCAGAACTACTGACTGTTTCCTATGGGGGTAAACCGTACAAAGACAATTCTGGCCGTTCGCAAAACAGGTTAGTAGCAGCATTAAGCCACACCTATGATTTCTCACTTTCACAGGACGGATTCCACCACACAGTATAACTGAACACGTTAATATAAACTAGCTTTAGGAAATTAACGGGGAGGGAGAGAGATTACCAGGGCCGGGCATGGTTTTGCAGACCTCTAACCCCACCCAGTACTTGGAAAGCAGAGGCGGGTGGCAGTCTGGGTTCGAGGCTGGTCTGGTCTACATAGTGAGTTTCAGGTCACCCTGCCTCAAAACAAACAACAAACAAACAAAAACAAAACAAACCAGGAACTGGGGCTGTAGCTCAGTGGTGGAGTACTTCCCTACCGTATGCAAGCACCTAAGCAGGCAAATAAAAATTACATTGGCAACAGAATCTCCACGGCCAGATACAGAGAACTTGAGGGCTACAAAGACTGGGCTCCTTCTATTACTGGATTCTACTCCAAATCAGCTCTGCAGACTGCGGGCGAGGCATCTGCCCTCAGCGCTAGGGACGGTTACTGACGGCAGACTTCAAGCTTGTTTCCCAAAAAGGAGAATGTAGCGCATGATCACTTAGGTGTAGGATGTATGCATGTATGTATGCATGTATACACACACACATATAGATATATATCTATGTCTATCATCTGCCTATCTGTCTATCTCTTGGCTCAACACATAAACGTCATTATCTATCTCCCTATCTCTCTCTCTCCCCCTATCTATCTCCCTGCCTGTCTGTCTGTCTGTCTGTCTGTCTGTCTATCTATCTCCCTGTCTGTCTGTCTATCTCTTGGCTCAACACATAGACGTCATTATCTACCTACCTACCTTCCTGTCTAATCTTGACTCAACACATAAATGCCTTTGCATTTGCGGGGTTCCCGGCCGGATCCCACTCCCTCTACTCTCCGGAAGCGTTGTCCGGAGGACGGAGAGCCCAAGGCGGCCACAGCCCCTCCCGAGTCCGCGGTCGCGAGTGGGTGCAGGCTCGCACAGCCCTCCCTCCCTCCCTCCCTCCCGCGCCGGCTGCAGCGCTCACCTTCCTGCCGGGACGCCGGGTCCTCCTGGGGCGCCCAGGCGGGGCTGGCTGGCAGCATGACTCCAGACCCCGAGAGTCCTCCTCCCCGCAGCTCTCCTGCCATTTCAAAAGTGCGCGGGCGGGCGGCGGCCGCGCCCCAGACGCGATGACGCAATCGCCCGACGGAGGGGCGTCTCCGGCTTCCGGCCACTCCCCGGACGGGGCGTCAGCACCACCTAGGGGATGGGCGGACCGGGCTGGGCGGAGTTGTTGGACCACTCCCTGGTTTACCCAACAAACGAAAGTCCCTGGAATGGTGATGTAAAACTTGAATGATTTCTGAAAACAAACAAGCAACGAGCACACACAAGCGGAACCTTGGGCGCTGAGCACAGTAGAAAAGATGATTAAAATGCAATGATTAAGATCACGCCGTCTTGTTCTGGCTACATTCTATGTTTGCTTAGAGACTTCTCGGCCCAGCCAGACTCGGAAATCCATGTAAGATTTCATTGGCCTTGATGTATCAACTGGCAAATCATGTCTAAAATAACTACTATTCCATGTCAAGAATGAATGCTCCAAGGTCACGCTAACCCTCATCTTTGGTGTGTCTTAGTGGGTTTTGCTTTGAAAATGTATGCATCCCTGAGCTTGGGCACCAAGAGTCTTTCCAGAGGCTCCAGCCTGCTCTTTGTCTGGCCTTCACTAAAAAGGGCTTAAAAGGTTTCTCTTGTGTGTTTGTTTTATTTTTATTAATTTATTTTTTTTAACATTCCAATCCCAGTTCCTCTTCCCTATTCTCCAACTATTTCCTCCCTTCCTCCCCTCCTTCCATCTGCTCCACGGAGAGGGTGAGGCCTCCCCTAGGAAGTCTACTAAGTCTGTCCCATCATCTTGTTGAGGCAGGAGGACCACGGCACCTCTCTACCCCCCACACCCTGTGTCTAGGCTGGGCACGGTATCTCTCCATACAGAATGGGCTCCACTAAGTCAGTTTGTGCATTAGAGTTAGATCTTGGACCCACTGCCAGTGACCTCATGTATTGTCCCAGCCACACCATTGTCACCTGTATTAAGGGAGTCTAGTCTGGTCTTATGCAGGTTCCCCATTTGTCAGACCTGAGTCAGTGATCTCTCTCTAGCTCGGGTCAGCTGATTCTGCGGGTTTCCCCATCACGGTCTTGACTCCTTTGTTCATGTTATTGCTCCTCCCTGACTTCGATTGTACTTCAGGAGCTCGGCCCATTGGTTAGTTGAGGATTTCTGCATCTGCTTCCATCTGTTTCTGGAAGAGGGTTCTAACTTCTTTGGGGTTGTAGATTGTAGGCCAGGTATCTTTTGCTTTATGTCTGGTATCCACTTATGAGTGAGTACATACTATATTTGTCTTTCTGGTTTTGGGTTACCTCACTTAGGATGTTTTTTTTTCTAGTTCTGTCCATTTGCCTGAGAATTTTAGGATGCCATTGTTTCTTACTGCTGAGTAGTACTCCTTTGTGTAAATATATCACATTTTCTTTATACATTCTTAAGTTGAGGGGCATCTAGGCTGTTTCCAAGATCTGGCTATTACAAATAATGTTGCTATGAACATAGTTGAGCAAATGTCCTTGTGGTGTGAATGTGCCTCCTTTGTGTATATGCAGGGTCTTGAGGTAGGTTGATCCCTAATTTCCTGAGAAATCTCTATACTGATTTCTACAGTGGCTGTACAAGTTTGCACTCCCACCAGCAGTGGAGGAGTGCTCCCCTTTATCTACATCCTCTCCAGCATAAGATGTCATCGGTGTTTTTGACCTTAGCCATTCTGACAGGTGTAAGATGGGATCTCAGAGTGATTTTGATTTGCACTTCCAAAAGGGCTGAAAAGTTTTAATTGACTTAATCAATGTGGTTTTCAATTACTATCTTCAGTGGATCATTGCAAAAAGTAAAAAAAAAAAAGTGATACTTATATATGTTTCAGCCATTAGTGCTGTTACCATGGGGAAATCCCTTCAGGACTCAGAAGCTGTCCATAGGATGAAAGTGTATTAGGACGTTGGCCTAAATGGTTCTGTCACTGTCACTAGAAAGAACTACCAGACACTGGGTAGTTTCAAGTAATGTTAAATTATATTTAGATGGGTTATGGTAGCATATACCTTTAATCCCAGCACTCTAGAGGCCGAAACAGAGGCAGAGGCAGAGGCAGAGGCAGAGTCAGGAGGCAGGTCTCAGGGAGTTCTAGGCCAGCCTGATCTAACAGATCAAGGCCAGGTAGTGAAACCTTGTCTCAAAAGTTACATTTAGTTTGCAAATTTATTAGCATTTAGTAATTTAAACTGTAACAAACAATAATAGCAAGCATTTACTATGAAAAATACTGTGAGCAAGTTTTGCTTGCAATATCTTTTCTAAATTTCAAAAAGTATTCTATGGAGCTGGAAAGATGGTCCAACTGACAAGACACTTTCTAGGCAAACATGAGGACCTGTGTTTGGTCCCCACACCCACATAAAACCCTAGGAATGGTGGTGCACACTGGTAACCCCAGTGCAGGCACAGAGATGGTTTGGAGAGAGGAGGACCCTGGATCTTACCACCCAGTAAGGCTATCCAAATTTGCAAAATTCTGGTTCAGTGAGAGAACTTATCTCAAAAAATAAGATGGAAGGAACAGAAGAAGACACCAGACCTCAGTCTTGGCTTCCACTTGTGGACACCACACACCCACATGGACATACACGACCCTCTGACACATAAGTATGTAAGATCAATCATATGTATGTCTTCAGTAATTAATTAGTCATGCTACTGCCCACTAAGCTGCATCTTGCCATGTTTACAACAAACCTTTTTTGTTTTTTTTTAAATCCTTGTTAGATAAGAATAGCAGTACAGTCTACTCAGTTCACAAAGAGATGCAAAGCCACCAGGAAGTTGACTAACAGCTACCCTGCTTGTTTATTTACTTGTTGATACGCCTTGCTCTATTCCTGTGATCAGGGTATTTATCAACACAAATACCACAGTACCCAGAATTGGATAGTGTATAAGTGCTTGGTAAGTGGTTTTCTTGGAAATGAGTGAGCAAGTGAAGGGATTTATCACTCACCTACTTGATCCCCGTGATGCCTGTTACAGAATGTATGCTCCTGTGTGTATTTATTTATACAGTTTTATTTATGATGTACACATAATGAGTGCTTATAACAGTGGGTGGACCTAAAGTGAGTAAATATAAATTTAATGGTGTTAACATTTTATTCCATGCGACCCCTGGAGGGGACCCCCGACCCGTGGGGATGAAGTGATGAGGGTCGCTACTAATTTAGTGGGTCTTCACGAGAAGATCCGATCTTAAAAGCAAACTTCAAGAGGTTAAGGAAAACAGACTCAAGCATTTATTCTTGGGGTGAAATGGTTTTTATAGGAAGAGAATCTCAGGGGGTGGTACAAGCATGTCAATCAAGTCTCAACTCAAATATACACCAAATAAGGTAAAGACGAAGCTGTAATTTTCCATCAGTTGCATTCCACAAATGCTTGTCAGCGTAAACCAGGTACAGGAATTAGGGAGGGGTAAAAAGTATTCAAAGGAACACATTAACCTTTTGTTAACAAAGACAACTGCTGTATAAGGGTTACTTCTGCCTGCCTATCATTATGGTAAAAGCATCCAAAGGAACACATTAACCCTTTGCCAACAAAGGCAATTGTTCTATAAGAGTTACCTCCCCCTGGCTAGGCGGGTGGGCTGCCCTGTGTAAATTTAACTTTTGTGGTTAGCTTTTTCCTTTGTGTGCCCGCAGTCACGTAGGCAGAAGGCCAAGAAATGGCTGACAGACTCCATTTTGTTCAAGGTTCTTAGCGGTCACCAACAACTCCCTATAGGAAAAAAATCATTTCATAGTCCTCATGCCATAGATACTAACTCTGAGGGCTTCAGCAGCCTGCCTCCTGAGGTAGAGCATGACAGCAAGGCTGACGTGCAGGCGTTTACCTAGTTGTGTTCTCTTTGCAAGCATGGCATTGCTAGAGACAGAAGGCTGGGATGGTTCCATGAGAAGAGAAGCTCTGAGTAGGTCGGGATGGACCTTGGGTACGATTCCCCCATTGTGCTCATGTGATGTTGATCAGAGAAGACCCATGCCATAGAAACAGTTGAAAGGTTCAGGCATTACACTGGCCTGCCCTGTTACCTGGCAGGATGCACCCACTCAGGCAGCACTCTGGCCAGCCCAGAGTTCTGTGAGAACCACGCAGGTGCAAAGGACCCCTTTAAAGGACTGACCCGCCGGGCGTTGGTGGCGCACGCCTTTAATCCCAGCACTCGGGAGGCAGAGGCAGGCGGATCTCTGTGAGTTCGAGGCTAGCCTGGTCTACAGAGCGAGTTCCAGGACAGCCTCCAAAGCCACAGAGAAACCCTGTCTTGAAAAACCAAAAAAAAAAAAAAAAAAAGGACTGACCCCTGCACCTGCATACCTTCTCTGTCTGTCTGTCTGTCTGTCTGTCTGTCTGTCTGTCTGTCTGTCTGTCTATCTATCTCTGTCTCTGTCTCTCTCTCTCACACACACACACAGCTCTGCACGGGTTGGCTACCTCTCACCCCCCTTTCCCTCCCTGTCTATCAATAAAACACCATGTGGGATCGTTGAGTCACGGTTTTTGTCTCGTTACTGGGTAAACCTAGACATTTATTTATTTATTTTTTTATTTTTTTGGTTTTTCGAGACAGGGTTTCTCTGTGGCTTTGGAGGCTGTCCTGGAACTCGCTTGGTAGTCCAGGCTGGTCTCGAACTCACAGAGATCCGCCTGCCTCTGCCTCCCGAGTGCTGGGAAACCTAGACATTTTAACAACATTAGTTCCCAGACCGGGAATCTAGACATATTAACAACATTGATTGTTGATTCCCTGACCGGGAACAACAGTGTTTTTTTTTTTTTCCCTAGTGATAATCTAAAAAGAAGGCCCCAGCCTTCTGGAGTATGCAGAAGGCGTGGCAAACACTGGCCTTAGACTAATGAATACACGTCAACAAGGGACAGGCAAGGTGACCCTTTGGCATCTGAAAATGCCCTCGGTGGCCTCCTGCAGCCCTAGTGTCAAATCTGATTTGACCATTCCCTATTAACTTCAAGAGAAACTCATCCACAGAGAAATACAAGGACACATTTGCCTCAT